GCCGGTACAGTTCTCCTTGAATGAGTGTGCATCGGGCCGCTTTTTGCCTTAACGTCCATGCCTCTTTAGCGTCTTCCGGTACCGTACCCTCTCGTAGATACCGCACAATTGGGGCTCTCCAATCCTCATCGCCCGTGAGTTGGGTGGTATTAATCGCTGCTTCTTGGCGAATGTCCTCCTCTTCCTTTTGTACCGACACGAGACGAGTGACCTCAAAGTCCGTGGCAGTTGCTAGCTTGGATAGTGCGTCAGCGTGCACGTTTTCCTCTCTCGGTATTTGCATGTAGGTTACCGCCTCGAAACTGGCTGCTCGCAGCTTGACACGCTCCATGTAATGCGCCAGAGTGTCTTCTTTTGCGTCGAAGGCTCCGTTCAGCTGGTTGACCGCCAGCGAGGAGTCAGAGAGTACCCTTATTGTTCTCGCGCCCAAATCGTGGGCGGCGGTCAGTCCCGCCAGAATGGCCTCGTACTCAGCTGTGTTATTTGTCTTCAGTGCTCTGAATCTGATAGCTATCTCGTGAACGACGCCTGTTGGCGTGCGCACGACGACCCCCGCGCCAGCACCGTGTTTACTGGCCGCTCCGTCGACGTAAACTTCTCATACTCCTTCTGGTGTGGTTTTGAGCGTGACTCCTTCGGCGATGAAATCTGCTAGGATTTGGGCTTTTATTGCTGGCCTTGGCGCATATTGGATGTCGTACTCTGAGAGTTCGACCGCCCATTTCACCATGCGCCCTGATACCTCCATTGAAGTCAGGATTTTCTTTAGTGGGAGGTTGGTCAGGACGGTGATCTGGTGCGCTTGGAAATAAGGACGCAATTTCTGCGACGCGCTCACCAATGCCAGGGCCGCCTTCTCTATTGGGGAGTATCTCGTTTCGGCGCTGATTAGCATGCGTGAAGTGTAATACACAGGCTGCTCGGTGTTATCGCTTCTTCTGGATATCAGAACTGCGCTTACCGCTCTCGTTGACACTGCCAGATAAAGGAACAATTTTTCATTAAGCTTGGGAGCTGTTAACACAGGGGGGGATACAAGATATGCCTTCAGGTCTTGGAAGGCTGCTTCACACTCCTTGTTCCATGAGAATTTCGCGCCGCTTTTGAGTGTCTTGAAGAAGGGCGCGCACTTGTCAGCTGACCTTGGGATGAATCTACCCAGCGCTGCTATCTTTCCATTCAGGGATTGGATTTCAAGCGCGCTCCTTGGGGCCCGCAGTTGCTGGACCGCCGTGATTTGTTTTGGGTCCACTTCGATGCCGCGCTTGGTTATCATGAACCCCAAAAATTTCCCTGCTTCCGCTCCAAAGACGCACTTCAGTGGGTTCAAGCGGAGGCTGTGTTTGCGGAGCGCCTCGAATGTCTCCCGTAGGTCTTCCAGGTGCGAGCCGCCAACCTTGGTCTTGACGATCAGGTCGTCCACATACGCCTCGATGTTCCGCCCCCTCTGTTGCGAGAATACCGAATCAATCATCCTTTGGTATGTCGCGCCCGCGTTCTTCAGTCCGAACGGCATTCCGACGAAACAGAAGTTTCCGAAGGGAGTCATGAATGCTGTCTTTTCTTCATCCTCGCGCGACATCGGAATTTGATGGTACCCTGAGAACATGTCCAAGAAGGACAATGTCTCGTGATCGGCGGTGGCGTCAATAAGTTGGTCGATGCGCGGCAGGGGGTAGGGGTCTCCCGGGCATACCTTGTTGATTGTTGTGTAGTCCACGCACATTCGCCAAGCGCCCGAAGATTTTTTTACGAGGACCACATTCGCCAACCACTTTGGGTATTTGACCGGGCGAATCAACCCTGCCGACAAGAGTCGCGCCACCTCCTCCTCGATGGCTTTCAGCTTGTCGCCCGTAAAGCCCCGGCGCGCTTGTTGCCTTGGAATCGCGCTCGGTGGGACCACGAGGCAATGTTGGGCCACATGCCTTGGCACTCCTGGCATGTCTTCAGTGCACCAGGCAAACAGCTCCTCATATTCTTTTAATAGCGCAATCAGCGGCTCAATTGCGTTATCGCGAACGTGAGTCGAGATGCGTATTTTTCTTGTCGGCTCGGCTGGGTTCAGCGCGACCTCGAAGTCGGAATCCATTGATTCCGGACGGGGCTCCTCTGGCCTCGTGTCGACAATGTTCGTTTGTCGGGGCTCTCCTTCTAGCTTCAGGGCTCCCCATGGTGTCCCGCGCGCTTCTCCGGTTCCCGTTTTGGTAGGGAACTTCAGTTTTTGGTGGCACGTGGAAGGGAGGGCCATGAACTTCGCTAAGAAGGGTCGGCCCAGGATGCCGTTGTGAGACGATTTGCAGTCGACTATGGTGAACTCGATTTGTTTCGAGACGCGCGGCTCCTAGTCACCGATGACCACGGGGAGAGTGACCACCCCAATTACTGGCACCCTCGCTCCGGAGAAGCCGACCAGGTTCCCCTGAGCGCGCTTGATTAAGCGCGGGTCGATGTCCATCTTGTCGATGGTGCTTTGGAAGAGTATATCTGCCGCGGCACCCCCGTCTATCAGGAGGCGGTGAATTTTACAGGCGGCCACTAAGGCGGTGATGATGAGCGGGTCTTCCGACGGAACTCCTTGTGGTAGTTCGGTGTCGTCGAAGCTCAGTTGACCCCCTACTCGTACATCAGCTGCCGCGAATTCGATCGCTCTTTCGCGCTTGGTTTTCTTTTTCGGGCGATCTCCTTCCACCGTCACCACCCCTATTTCTTTCCGCACCACATAGTCTGCGGTGGCCTCGTTGTAGTCATCTTGCGGGGGCGGTGGCGGTTTTTGAGGTCCCCCAACTTGCTCCTCTTTCTCGTGTGTGAACTCGGTTAGCAATCCCCGTCGCACGAGGCCCTCTATCTCGTAGCGCAGCTCTCGGCAATCCTCCGTCCAGTGCCCCGTTGCTCTGTGAAAGTCGCAATGCTTCTTTGGATCTCTCATGTGGGGCAAGGACTTTAGGGGCGCGGGCCAATTGAGCTTGTATCCCTTCCCGCGTAGAACGTGGAACACGTTCTTTACGGAGTCGTTGAGTGGTGTGAATGCGTGGGGAGTGCGCCTGTCTGGTGATCTTCGCCGCTGCGCTTGCTCTTGTGGGGGAGGGGGGTGTTGCTTATGTCCGCTGTGCAGCTGCGCTAGTTGATCCCGTGGCAGCGTGAGCTGCCGGCGTCCCTGCTCTTCTCGCGGCAACTTGGCCGGCTCGAAACGCCTAACAGATCCCGCTCCGAGGGTTTCCTCGAGCGTAATTGCCGTCTCAATCTTCATCTCCAACTCTGTTGATAGAGTTACGGGCCTTTTTGCTAGCGCCCGCTTGAGTTCCATGTTATTTGTGGCTTCCATAAGGTGATGTGCAGCGGTTTCAGGAGTGAGGTCACGCACTGCCATTGCTACTCTGGACCATCTGGCGTAAAACGCTCGTAGACTCTCCCCGTCTTTTTGCCTGAGATCTACTAGCGCCTTGAGGTGGAGGGGCCTTCTTTTCTGGGATGCGAATTTTGTTGTGAATAGGAGTATGAACTCCTCGAATGAGCGGATGATCCCGTTTGGGAGTCTGTTATACCAGTCTAGGCATATCCCAGAAAACGTCGACGGGAAGGTGCGGCATAGCGCCGCGTTGGAGTTGGTTTGGAGCTGCATCCGCAAGCAGAAGGTGCTCACGTGATCTTCGGGGTCGGTCGTCCCGTTGTATGTTGGAAGGGTGGGTGGCATTCCGCTCAGGTGTTCCGCCATGATTTCCGCGCTTAGCGGCTGGTGGAGCGCCTTCTTGGGCGCGTTGAGTCGGAATTGCGGAGATAGGTGTTGCTCCAGGAAACTGAGGTCTGCCCTTCCTGGAAGCTCAGGCGGCTGTGTTTCATGTACGGGGAGAGGTGGCGGGACCGTCCCCGACGTTTCTCCGTGGGTTTGACGAGGCGCGACTGGTATCACGCATACGGGGAGCGCGACTTGCTGCGCTTCGTGCGCGGAGTGCACTGGTAGGACAGCCGGCGCGGATGGTGTCACGCCAGCTGTTGCCGCGGCCTCTCTGCTCATCATGAGCGCCACGACCTGGCTCATTTGTTTTTGCATGTTAGCTATGACGTCGTTCTGCTTCGCCACCAGCTGTCTCATTTCTCTGGCTGTGAGCTCGGGCTCTTCCTCTTCCAAGAGCACCGCGTTGAGATTGCTGGCTTCCGCGAATTCCCTTGGGTTGGTCATCGCCTTGATCGGGGTTGACTCGTCAGGCGAGTCAGAGTTATGTTCTGCCATAGATTGATTTTCTTTGCTTCTCTGCTTGGCCCCACGGTGGGCGCCAATTGTTTGAGCCTAACTGGGTGTAGGAGGGAGACTCGGTAAGATGGGTCAAGGCGAGCAAGCAATGTGGAATTAATCGTTGATAGAAGAATGAAGGAGATTACAGGAAGGGTTGAGAGAGAGATTTTCTAGAGAGAGAAGTCGATAATATTAGAGATAGAGTCTCAAAAATCCGATCCCCTTCACCCACCGCAGTAAATGCCATATTTATAGGCTACAGGGTGGTGGGTGAGTGGTTGAGATACTTGTGGGGGACCACAACATGTGGGGGACAATGACGTGGGCACTGACACGTCAGGGATTTGGGCCATGCTTATACCTAGGACGTGTCAGGGGGCTACTTAGGACTGTACAAAGGGTTCTGATGTGACTACACCTCGGGAAGTAAAAACGACGTTTTCTGCTGCCCCCTAGGTGTAGTTGACATTTCGGTTTTTCCACGTGCGTGTAGCTTGCGTCGCGCTCGAGGATCTGCTCCCGCCTTCCTTCATAACGCTGCGCTAAAGGTCCTCGCGCTGGGCCGTTCTTTTAGTCTTCAGTCGCGTTGCGTTTCGCAGGGCTTGGCGACATTCGGGGCGGTGTTGGTGCGCTTTATCTGGCGCGGCTAGGTCCGAGTCACATGCCCAACAGTTCCCTTTTATCAGTAAATAATTTTTATGATATTTTTCACTATGAAATATCGTGAACAGAATCTATACACAACAATTTGTGTTTTTTTCGCTTCCTCTTCTCTTAATTAGATATTGTGTCCATATTGATTCTTATATTGATTATTGAATTACTACTTTTTTGTTGTGGAGTTTATGAAACTAAGATGCATTTTTTTGAGAAACATGAAACTAAGATGCATATTGATAAAGAATGTAAGGTGTAATCTTCCCTCTTAAGGCTTAAGCACTACATACCATTGTTTACCTACTGTTAAATCAAAGTCTTTCTAACTTGAGTACGAGTTACAATGACTTTTATTGTTGTCGATTTTTCTCAAAATATTGGGTATGTTGCTTTTAGTTCTCGCATTCTTTTCAGTTTGATTTAACATTTTATGTGTTGCTCTATTAGTTGAACTTGCCAGTTGGAGATCTGCAGGCTTCGACTACATTAATGTCACATTGACTTCTATATGAAATGCCACTCGAAACATGAGTGTGTGATTTAGTTTGTTTCTTATTAAGGACACTCTAAACATATAATTTGTTCCATTATATCATTGAATACACTAAATTCAATGAAAAAGTCGAAACATTTTATCGTATACTGAAGATTGATTATGCATGTATGATGTAAAACAACTCTTACCATTGTTCTTTTTAGACATTTTTATATTAATACGACTTCGTTTGAAAATATGTATTTATGTTAGTGTAGTTGGACGTTGTTCGTCATTTTTAAAACGTTGTTAGTCAAATACATCAAATACTTTCCTATATTATTAATGGAGAACTACCAAACTAAATAGTTACTTCAAACCCCAACAACATGAACCATAACAAAAATATATACCTACACTTATACATGACAACATGAGAATCAAACTCTCCCGGCCAAAAAGCCGCCGGGAGATAATTTAGTAGGCTTAAGGACCGGATCCTACCCGACTAACTACCAATGAATTACATAGATTAATATAAAAATGAGGAATGACTTAATCAAATAAACCTAACAAAATATGGCAGCGGCAAAGGATACAAATAGTCCCGACGGCGGCGGCGGTGGAGGGTGGCCCTTATTGCCGGAGGAATTACTCACCAAGGTTCTCAACAGGCTGCCCTTAACTCGCTGCCTCTTCCAATTCCGCTGCGTCAGCAAATCGTGGCACCGTCTCCTCTCCGACATTCCCAATTTCATCAGCCGCCGCATCCTCTTCAACGAAGATGACGAGAACGCTCCAATCATGGTCGCCCGCATCGCCGACAAGGACAAAGCGTCGGTACGGTACACCGCCCTCTGCCCCGACACGCTCCGGCCCGTCTCGACTTATTCCGGCGCCTCATTCTCCTCTCCAACCATCGCCGGCTGCCGGAACGGGATATTCTGCATCCACGACAGTCCCGGCTTCCCCTGCCCCACCGAAACCCTAATCGCGCTCTGGAATCCCACCACTTCCGAATCCAAGTTCGCGCCCTCCCTGCCGACACCTCCTCGATCAAATTGCGCGACCGTTGGGTTCGGATTCGATCCCCAAGCAACTGACTATAAGGTGCTTGTGATATTTACCGATTCCACAAGAGAAGAAAACAGAGGAGGGAGCATCACTGCCTGGGTGTACAGCCTTAGGAAGAATTCATGGACGCAAGTCGAAACCCACGGCATCAATCGCCCAATCTATGGCCTCTGTTCTGGGTTCCATCACTGGCATAGTAGTAGCTCGAGATCCGAGAAAATCTATATCTGGCAAGATAACATCGGTGGCGAGGCATTCAAACCTGCAGATTACTATGCTACTGTGGTTTCCTTTGACTTGAGCAAACAAGTGTTCGAGACGGTTTACTTGCGCTTGCCTCGTCCTACCTATGTGACTGGCAGTGGACATTACATTGTTCGTTCGATGTCCGTGGTGGAAGAGTGCTTGATCGTTGTTTTGTCTATCAGCAAACGTCTTGAAGAGAAAGTGGACTACGAGGTGTGGATGGTGTTGGAACCATGGCTTGAGCTTGAGCCTGGATGCCATCACTGGGTTAAGTTGTTGGTCGTTTCGGTTGATCGTTTCAGTTGTCTTGGCATTGCCGGATTTTGGAAACATGGGAAATGCTTTGTGGTGGATTCTGATGGGAGGTTGTGCCTTCTTGATATGGAAACGGGTTGTATCATCGACCAACTGGAAGTTGAAGGAAAAGGGTTTATTAAGCAAGAAGTTATGACTTATGTTCCATCCATGGTTTCATTGTCTTCTTGATACTTATACCTGTCCAACCCTAAACGTATCTATATGTTCATCCACTAGTCCAAGTTCCAAGGTACTCCCCAGCAAGTTTAGCTTCACTAGTCTGGATAGATGGTAACTTTGGAATCAACCTCAATGGACTATGATGTAACTAGTTCATGTTTCTTCTGTTGGTTTTCATACGATGTTAGAAATTGTTTCTCTTTCTTTTGTTCTCTCAAAAGTATTATCACTGAATGCGTTTCAACTCAGGTTCTCATCAAGTTCAAGTTGCATGAAACTCTTGTTATAGTCGATTAAGATTAGTATTTACTTTTTTCAACTCGAATTTTAGTCTAGATGATGATAATAATGGTTATTGTTGACAAAGATATCTCAAAGATATGATCGATTCTTTACCAAACACTAATTTATTTCTCTTTATCCATCTTTCACTCTTTCACTTCTTTTCCTTTATAAATAAGATTATGTTAGTTATTTATTGCTTCGTAGATCTGTCGGAGTCAAAGATGAATTGTGCAGGAACTCTATGATGTATCACCGTATGCTACAAAACCTTTAATGCAAAACTGACACTATGCTAAAAAATAACACTAAGGGGTCGTTTGGAAGTTGCGATTGTTTTGTTGAGATTGTCATTATACATGTATTGTTTACAATGCATCGTTTTTTGTTTTTTGTTTTTTGTCTTTTAGCAGAAACAATACATGGATTGTTTCTATCAAGGTTGTCAAACCGGTTTATACCGTTGTGCCGGTTTAGAAAGTGGAATGGTACGACCGGTGGTATAACCAGTTTGTGCCGGTTCACGCCGGTTTAAAAAATGTGAAAACAATTGATATCTCATGTATTTAATCATATATAAAACATATTTGTGGACAATTTAGTTCTAATCCAACAAATATCATCAACTTTTAACTATCACATTCATAAAATGAATAATAAATTATTTTTTATTCATTAAACTCATTAAAATGATGTCATTTTACTTAGAATGCGTAAGTCGATCATACCGGCCATACCGGTGGTGTCATGCCGGTTTCATGACCGGCACAGGTTGAACCAGGTTCAACCGGGTGGCATGCCACCGGCATGACAACCACTTTCTATGATGTGACAGAAACTATCACTCATTTTGAGTGATTGTTATATCTCAACTTTTAGTTGTGATTGTTGAGATAGTTGAGTTGAGATTGTTTTGTCTCAGCTTTTAGCTGATGCAACATACACAATCATACATACCAATACCAAACGTTGTATTCTACAATGCATCAAATTCGACAATACATGTATAATATTATACATGCATTCTCAACAATACATCTATTTAACAAATCGCAACTTTCAAACAAACCCTAATATTAACAATTAATAATGGTAAATACTGACGATTGAGGATTCGTCATATGAGGAAAGGCCAAACTTTTGCTTTGTGGATATAATAATAATAATCAAAACCGGCGGGAGGAATTGATTGGGCCGCCGATCTTTGTCTATAAATCGTCTTCCTCATTTCCTCAGTCTCTCAAGTTTACTCATCTATTATCAATCGTTCATCCATAGCTAACCCCGTCATCTAGCACGATCGGATTCCTTTTTTCCTCTCTTTTCTTGCTCCAGCGCATTTAAGCAAGGAAAAAACCTCCCCTGCAGTCACCTTTGCTGATAATAAGAAAGGAAGAGGAAGCTAAAGACCACAAAAGACCGAAAAAAATGTGGATTTTTGGGTGGAAAGGGCAATCTGGTTTCTCAGCTCGCTCCACTGCTGAAGAAGTTACCGAAGGAATTGATGCAGCTGGCCTCACCGCCATTGTTACAGGTTTCTGCTTCCTTCCTTATCTCTCTCTCGCTCTCTTCTAGGTTTTTTTCTTCAACTTCACCCCTGTTTGGTTATAGAGATAACCAATAATGGAAAATTGGGAAACTGGGTTTCTTACTACTGATCGAGCAGTAACTACATTCGCCCCCTGTTTCAGCTTTCTACTCTGTCTACCACCTTTTTTTGTGGGCTACTGATTCGGAAAAAGAAAACCCCTTTTTGGATTTTGCAGGAGCTACGAGTGGAATTGGAGTGGACACAACAAGGGTTTTGGCTCTGCGGGGCGCCCATGTGGTTATGGCGGTGAGAAACGTGGAAGCTGGCAAGAAGCTCAAAGAGTCCATCCTAAAAGAAATCCCTAGTGCCAAGATAGATGTTATTCAGTTGGAGCTCAGTTCCATGGCTTCCGTCAGGAAGTTCGCCACTGAATACATCGATTCTTGCCTTCCTCTCAACATCCTCATGTAAGAATTAGTCAATAAAAAGCAAAAGATGCATCGAGTTATCGAGATGAGGGGGTCTTTTTCGATGATGATGCTAATGAATTTCTTATGCTGCAGTAACAATGCAGGAATCATGGCACCACCTTTCTCGCTTTCTCCCGACGGCATAGAGTTGCAGTTTGCTACCAACCATGTTGGTAATTAGCTGCTTCCTTACTTTCCAAGTGGAATGTAGTGTTAGTTTTATGTTTATGACTCGAAAGGAATGGAATTTGTTCAACTCTTTTAGTCCATGTGCAGGACATTTTCTGTTGACCCATCTGTTGCTGGACACAATGAAGAAGACGGCTCGTGAGAGCAATCGCGAAGGGAGGATCGTGATTGTTTCGTCAGATGGCCATAAATTCGCATACAGTGAAGGCATTCGATTCGACAAGATCAACAACGAAGCAGAGTGAGTAAATTTTGTATACCACTTTTTCTACCCAAATTCTGTGGATTAAGTTGGTCAAAATCAAATGTTGTGCAGATACAACTGCTACCGGGCTTATGGACAGTCTAAGGTAGCTAACATCCTCCACGCCAAGGAACTCGCTAGGCGCCTTAAGGTAACTAAGCTCATGGAAAACATGCTGACCCCTAGAAATGGCGTTAGTAATAATGCTGAAAATGACATTCTTACTTACAAGTTACAACTGAAGGACATATGTGTTTCCTTGATGTGATGTGCAGGAAGAAGGGGTGAACATAATGGCTAATTCACTTCACCCTGGTGAGATCGCTACTAATCTTGGACGCAACAATGGTCTTCTTAATGGTAATAATACATGCTCATCATTGTCTGGACTCCATCAAACATTCCATACTGTGGTGTTGTTGGTTTCTTATGCTAGTGTTCCTGTTATTTGCAGCCATCTCCAACAGCTTTATCAAGTACCTCCTCAAAACTTCAAGCCAGGTACTATACAGAATCCACACACAATGACTTCCTGCTTTACTTGATCGGTTGTGAAGCCATAGTTTCTTTCTTGGACGAGGGTTAAATCGTGGCTTCTTTCTTGGACGACGGATAAATTATTAGACTTAACAGAACAATGTATCTTTAATGATTAAATACAGGGAGCTGCAACTCAAATATACGTGGCTCTGCATCCACAAGTGAAAGGGGTGTCAGGAGAATTCTTCAAGAACAGCAACATATCTGAAACTGGAACTGCTCCTGCTCAAGATGAAGAGTTGGCTAAACAGCTCTGGGATTTCAGCATGAAGTTGATCAATACCTAGTGGATCAATTATGTTGATTGCCGTAGCGGTTTAGTTAGGTGCATAAGAGTATGTGCTCTGCCAAGGAGGGAAAAATTAATGTAACTTAAGGTGGTTTGATTTGTTTAGGGTGTTGTGAAAGATGAAGTAACAAAAGGGAAGAGCTTGCAAGTTTGCTGCTATAAGAGTTTTCATTTATGATTAATATACTTTTTTTCGTTTTTGAACAAATTACACGAATGATAGAAAAAACCAGACAAAAAATCCGGGGGAAAATCAACAAAAATGTCTGCTGTGTTCAGTATATTGCAACATAAATGTAACTTGTGTAAGACATGGGAAGTTACTTCAGCAGAAAGGGTGGACCAAATCTAAGCTGAAATCCCAGAGTTTCTTAGCCAGTTCATCATCCTTGGCCTGAGGGCTTGGTTTGTATAAGTTACTGTCGCACAAGTATTCACCCGTCACCGCCTTCATTTGTGGATGCAGTGCCGTATAGCATGTAGTTGCAGCTCCCTGCGAGGACGAAGAAGAAAAAACCATGATCAACATTTTGATCTAGTTTCAACACAAAAACACCAGCCTATCATATGATAATCAAAGAGAGAAATGCTTACCTGTGGAAGATTTTTTAGCACATATTTACCGGCGAGATTTGTAATGGCTGTTCAAAAGGAAAAGAAGGGAACCATGGCAGACCATACATAGTGGATTAATGGTCAATTAACTTAGAGAAAGCTAAGACAAGATTCTTGGATTACCCCCAATAACACCAAGATTGCGAAAGAAGTTTGTAGCAACGGCTCCAGGGTGAAGTGAGTTCGCTGTTATGTTGATTCCTTCCTCCTGCTTGAATGGAGAACACAGGAAAGAGAAGGCAACAAGGATTAAGAAATCGACCTAATGTTGGAATGCCTTAACTTGCTGATTATCAGTGAAGAAGTAAGAGTATGGACTCATTGTAAAAGTTCCATGATTTATGGAACTACACATTATCAAAGCTAAACGGTGGAAATGGTTGGAAACTTTGAAGTACCTTAAGGCGCCTCGCAAGCTCATTAGCATGAAGAATGTTAGCAAGCTTTGACTGCCCATAAGCGAGAAATTTGTTGTACCTAAAAATTACCAAGCAGAAGGTAAAGAATCCAAGGACACGTGGTGAGATCAAGGAGAACAGCCTCTTTTGTTTGTTACAGAAGAATCACTTACTCTGCTTCGTTGTTGATCTTGTCGAAACGAATCCCTTCCTTGTAAACAAACCGATGACCTTCTGATGATAGATTCACAATCCTTCCTTCCTGATTACTTTCACGAGCAGTAGATTTCATTCTTTCCAACAGAAGATGTGTCAACAGAAAATGTCCTGGGGAACACTTGAACCATATTCCTTTGAGTCAGTTGTCCAGTTTGCATAGATAATCCAATGGCACAACGAACTAGTTTTTTACAACTTACCAACGTGGTTGGTGGCGAACTGCATCTCTATGTTGTCAGTGGAGAGCATGTAAGGGCACATCATGCCTGCATTGTTACTGCAATCAAACCAAAGAAAAAAATGATCACACTCAACCTCTGGCATTCCTTTCATGTAGCAATAAGGTTGGTCATGTAAATATTATAGGAACACAAGTTTCTTTACATCAACAGATTCAGTGGAAGGCCTGAAGAAACGTATTCCGACGCGAATCTCTTCACTGATGCCAATGAACTGAGATCCAAGTGCATAACGTCAAGCTTAGCCGTGGGGATTTCTTTGAGGATTGCTTCTTTCACACTTTTCCCAGCATCAACATTTCTTACTGCCATGAACACATGAGCACCGCGCATAGCTAGGACTCTTGCAGTCTCCACCCCAATTCCATTTGATGCTCCTGAATAAAACATTCAGGAATTGATGCCCCTACATTTCTACTCTCAAACCCTAGGCAATCAAACAAACTGGATTCAATCCCCTCGTCCTACAAACAATTCATGGAAATCAGTTGATACCCAGAGATTCAATCATCAACCTAAACAATCCTAATGCATGTTTTATGATATAACATAACTTCTCTGTCCATGTTGGGGCTTGATTCAGTAACTGAAGCAACGGTCAATCCACCATCAATTTCTTATTTCCCAGCAACCAAAGAGAACCCAGAGAAAGCAAGTCCAAGTCAGATGAAAACAAGTCATGCTTGTTAAGACTGCAGTGACTGAAGTAAAGGTCAAGCTACCACAAATTTCTTTGCTTTCCCAGCAACCAAACAGAACCCAGAGAAAGCAAGTCAATACCTGTGACGATAGCAGTGAGGCCAGTTGCATCGATTCCGTCAGTAACTTCTTCAGCTGTGGAACGAGCTGAAAACCCAGATGCTCCCTTCCACCCAAAAATCCACATCTTCTTCCTTCTTGGCAAACGAAAACAGGGGGGTTGACAACAGTGACAGAAACTAAAAATGGGCAGGCGATGAAGGGATGAATCAGAAACCAACCTGAAATGACGCCCCGGGAAGATGATGGGTCGATGAAACTTACTTGTGATTTATTACAATAATATAGTATTTTCTGGAACTGCAGCGCCATTGTTAAAAGGTTTTGATGAGCTTTTGTCGGTGGAAATACGTTACTGTCACCAGAACTTTGATACAGATTTCATATGGTCTCCAACTCGGCACGGCAAACCTGTCATTTCCGTGATGTTCTTAGAACGGTTTATTTTACTGTTTTTTCTAATAACCAGAACGGTTGATTTTCTGTAGTCAAAACTCAAAACTGGTCTTCTCTTAAATTGCAAGACGATCAATTTCAGGGGAAGATGTTAGCAGGTTTTGGATTATTTTAATTTATAGGGATTTGAGGGTTTAATGAAGTTTTATGATTTTGGATGATTATTTGGGTTTGTTTTTTGAAGTCTAGTTATTTTTGTTAGGAAGTATAGATAGAGGGGATTTATCAATTAGAAAATTTTCGTTAATTAATTACAGAACATAATTTTTTTTTATAGCAAAGTCAGCTGAATAATAAAGAGTCACAAATGGGAAGAAAGAAAAGCGCGGGAGTCGACCAATAGTCGAACTCCCGATGAGAGGGCCTTTTGTGTCACATGATGGGCAGTCCTATTGAGTTGACGAAAACAAAACAGAAAAAAACACTGCTGAAAGAAGATGCCAAGCTCCTACCTTCCTCTAGAATAACGCACCCCGAACGTGATCCACATCGCTTGTTGCATTAATTACAGAACATAATTACTCAATTATATTCTCTCTCTTTTCCTTTGGTTTTTTCCTTAAGTCGAAGGGGCTCAAGATACAGTGTATACACCTATTCATAACTAAATCTATGTTATTTATTCAGAAAATCCAATTCTAAGGGTGGATGATTAAAGACATTTTTATTTTTTCTTGTTTTGTTAATCGGCTCAAATCTTCTTCGTTTTAACTCGGATTTCAATTTTTTTTTTTTTGCACAGATGGAACGCGTTCGTTGTGATCTACAAAATGAGATCCATATTCAATATTTTTATAGAAAAAAAAAATTAACGCCTCTCGTTACCAACTGCATACCATATGATATTTTATTCGTTTTAAAGTCGTTTCTGAAAAATTTTGCACATAATGAAAGAGTTCATCGTGATTTATTGGACCTACAAATTAATGGGGTGAAAAAAATACAATTCCAAAAAATACCACACAATACCACCCTGATACGGGGTGGTATCTTGTGGTACACAATGTTGAAAGTGGTAAATGACAATTAATATACTCCTACTATTGGTATGTTCATACCACCATGGTACGCTTTTCATACCATATGCTATGCTCTTATTTCAATATCAGTCAATATCATATGGTATAGACTGGTAAAAAATGTCTGGTTTTTTTTGTTCAAAAACTATATCAACTGTGTAAAAATAAGAGCACAATTAATCTTATCTAATTGTGCAAAAAAAAAAAAAATTCGACTTAAAACTAGTGAGAAATGAATTCTGATTGAATTATGCATAGTTATTGACCACAAGGTTATTGACCGGCCTAGCCGACGACTCTTCCTCTCTCTCTTCTTCTTATACAATTTTACTACTAAATCATCTAATCTAAATCTCCGTTATCGAAATTCTCCTATTATCACATTTATAGGAACCCTAGACGGTGACGCCTAGATTCACAATTATTGTATAGTATGATGAATAAACATCCCGTTTGGTTTTCTTGTTTCACAAACTCAAACCTATACTTAATCCTGTAAACCTCAACTGTCTGCAAAATTTCAATTGATCAGATAGTTTCGGGCGAGCTGGAGACGATTGACAACTGGTGAGGTAAGGATGGGTCGAATTTCGGTTAACTTAGTTCATTCTAAATTACCTTCAATTGAACACAATCCCCCTTACCTGCTATCAGATCAATAACAAAGTGCCCTAATGATAACAGTAGTGGTAGTAGGACATGTACCTAGCAAGCCAAGAGCTTGAACAGATTAAAAAAAACTAGAACGGAAGAGCTAACCATTTATTCGCAGAGATAAATAACTCAAATGATAGAACAAGAAACAAGATCTGGAGAAAAGTGAACAAAAACATCTCCTTGTGTTCAGTATGCCAAACATGTATGGTAAGTTCTGTAAGAAAGAAAGTAGTGTACTAGGTTCAACCAAATATGACTAGAAAAGTAACATTTTTAGCAAAAAGGGTTGACCAAATCCAAGCTGAAATCCCAAAGCTTCTTTGCCAATTCTTCATCCTTACCCTGAGGGTTTGGTTTGTATAAGTTACTGTCACAGAAGTATTCACCTGTGACCCCCTTCACCTGTGGATGCAGTGCCACATAGCATGTAGTTGCAGCTCCCTGCAAACAACCACGACGAGCAACATTTCGATTGAGTTTGGACACAAAAAATCTCTGGCTATCATATAATTTTAATCAAAAAGATAAATGCTTACCTGTGGAACATTTTTTAGCACATATTTACCAACGACATTGGTAATAGCTGTACAAAAAGAAGGGCACTTGTTATGGAGGATTTATACTTGAATTCAAGGGAGACCATGATGGTCAAGTAACTTAGAGAAAGGCTACACAAGATCTGTGGATTACCCTCAAGAAAACTGGAATGGCGAAGAAGGTTTGTAGCGATGGCTCCAGGGTGAAGTGAATTCGCAGTTATGTTGATTCCCTCTTCCTGTTGAATGGAGAAAACATGAACAGGAGAAGGCAACAAGAACTAAGAAAGGTAACTAATGTTGGAATGCCGAACTTGCTGATTAATTAGTGAAGATGTACGAGTTTTGAATCATTTTAAAAGTCGCGTGATTTATGAACTACGCATATTATCAAAGATGGAAATTGTAGGAAATTTAGGAGTACCTTGAGCCGCCTAGCAAGCTCATTAGCATGAAGAATGTTAGCCAGCTTTGACTGCCCATAAGCACGTATGTTATTGTACCTGAAAATTACCAAACAGAAGGTAAAATTCAAGGACAAATGGCAAAAACAAGCAGAACAGCCTCTTTTGTTTGTTAAAGAAGAATCATTTACTCTGCTTCGTTGTTGATCTTGTCGAAACGTATCCCTTCCTTGTAAGCAAACCGATGACCTTCTGATGATAGATTAACAATTCTTCCTTCCTGATTACTTTCACGAGCCGTGGATTTCATTGTTTCCAACAAAAGATGTGTCAAGAGAAAATGCCCTGGCAAACACTTGAACCATATTCCTTTCAGCTCCCCTTCTGAACTACATGTATAATCCAAAGGCACCAAGAACTAGTTCTCTAAAACTTACCGACATGGTTGGTAGCAAACTGCATCTCAATGTTGTCCGTGGAGAGCATGTAAGGGCACATCATAATGCCTGCATTGTTACTGCCATCAAATCAAATGAAAAAAAAATCATCACTCTCGTCCACTAGCATTTCCTTCATGTAGCAAAACAGTCATGTAACTGATATAGGCAAACAAGTCACTTTACATTAACAGGTTCAGTGGAAGGCCTGAAGAAATGTATTCCGAAGCGAATTTCTTGACTGATGCCATGGAACTGAGATCCAGCTGCATAACATCAACCTTAGCAGTAGGGATCTCCTTGAGAATTGCTTCTTTAACACTCTTCCCAGTATCAACATTTCTCACTGCCATGACCACATGAGCACCGCGCATAGCAAGAACTCTTGCTGTCTCCACCCCAATTCCACTTGATGCTCCTGAAGAAAAACTCAGGAATCAATGCCCTACATTTCCCATACTTCTCTACTCTCAAAGCTCAGGCAATCAATCCAGATAAAAGACCCTCGCCATACGAACAACTGATAGAAATCAGTTGACATACATTCAAAAGACCCAGAGATTCATTCATCAACTAAGTAATCTTAATGACAGTTATATGATGTAACAAAACGTCTCATCCCATATTGGGGCTTTGATTCAGTGACTGAAGTAAAAGTCAACCTTTCATCAATTTCATATTTCCCAGCAACCAAACAAAAACCAGAGAAAGCAAGCCAAGCACAGATGAAAGCAAGTCATAACTGTGACGATCGCAGCGACTGAAGTAAAAGGCCAAGCTACCATCAATTTCTTTGCTTTCCCAGCAACCAAACAAAGCCCAGGAGAAAGCAAGTCAAACCCAGATGAAAGTAAGTCAATACCTGTGACGACAGCAGTGAGCCCAGTTGCATCGATTCCATTAGTAACTTGTTCAGCAGTTGAACGAGCTGAAAACCCAGATGCTCCTGTCCACCCAAAAATCCACATCTTCTTACTTCACGGCAAGCAAAACCCAGATGTTTGTGATTTTTGCTGCACAGATGGACTCTTCTTTCGCAGCTTTTTCTGGGTTTCTTGGCTACAAGAAATGGAGACGATGATGACAAACGGAGGAATTAAAAACCCATCTGAAATGAGGCCCTGGGAAAGACGATGGGATGGGTGAAGCTTCCTAGTGAGTTATTATAATAGGATTTTCTGCGTAGAGAAAGATTGATCAGAGCTTTTATTTGTCCTTACTTTTTTCGAACACAGTGCCTTGTTTTCGTGAGCTTATTTTGTCGTTGCAAATACGTTACTGTCAGTAGTGTTTTGGATATATATAAAACCTCTGCCATTTGTTGTGACGTTCCTATAATGGTTTATTTTCTCCTTATAAGTTATAACTATAACAGGTTTATTTCTATAATTAAGTTATTCGTTTGGCCTTTCTAAGATTTCAAGATTTTACATTGAAATCTTAGGGGAATAGAAGAAAGAATATGTTTGTTAATTTCATAAAGAAGTATAATCTGCCGGATACGACTTGGTTTCGTCCACAAGAACCCCATATACTACTCAAAAACAACAATCAACAAGCAAACAAATTCCGATTTTAATTGCAATAGTAGAACATGTAAATAACAAAGGCAGAGAGCTTCAACAAAGGAACGAAAACAAGGATGAAAGAGCTTCATGAATTTCAACTGATAGAACCAGATAACATTGCAAACCTCAAATAAAACAGTAAAAGCATTTCATTGTGTTCCACTCCAAATGTGAGCATGTGTCGATATGAAGTTGTGTAAAGCCATGGGGGGTACATTCAACAAAATACGACTGGAAAGTAACATTTAGCAAAAAGGATTGATCAAATCCAAGCTGAAATCCCAAAGCTTCTTTGCCAAATCCTCGTCTTTAGCCTGATTGTTTGCTTTGTATACGTTACTGTCACTGAAGTATTCTCCAGTCACTCCCTTCACCTGTGGATGCAGTGCCACATAGCATGTAGTTGCAGCTCCCTGCAAACCCAGGATTGAAGCATGTCAATATTGGATAGATTTTCGGCACAAACTATTTGGTAATCACTAGTCAGACAGAAGAACTGCTTACCTGCTGAACATTTTTCAGCACAAATCTGCTGACGGCATTTGTAATTGCTGTAAGAAGGGAAACATGGAACTTGTTAGGAGGGTTCGAACGTGAATGATGAATCCATACTATCAGTATGTGAGACCATAATATTTCATGTTAAAGAAAGCCAAGACAAGATCCATGGAGTACTGACTTGCAATAACACCAGTATGACGATAAAGGTTTGTTGCGATGACGCCAGGGTGAAGAGAGTTGGCAGTTATGTTGATTCCCTCTGCCTGTTTGAACAGAGATAACTGGAATTAGACATGGCAGCAAAAATTAAGGATCCCACCTGATATTGGAATGCTTTAGTATCAGCGAAGATCTGAGAGTCTGACTCATTTATTAAGTTCTGTGATTTATGGACTTTGCATGTTACCAAGATAAATAGAGGAAATGATTGGAAAACTTTTCGATTACCTTAAAGCGCCTAGCAAGCTCATTAGAATGAAGAATATTAGCGAGTTTTGCCTGTCCATAAGCACGAATGTTGTTGTATCTGGAAATGAGCAAACAGAAGACAGAAATCAAGGAGCTGTTAAAGCAAGCAGAAGGTACTAATAAAGCAGTGAAGAAGAATCGTTACTCTGCTTCGTTGTTAATCTTTTCGAAACGAATTCCTTCCTTGTTACACCAACGGTGACCTTCAGACGATACAATAACAATTCTTCCTTCTCGATTGCTCTCACGGGCAGTGTATTTCATTGTGTCCAACAAAAGATGTGTCAACAGAAAATGTCCTGGAAAATACTTGAACCATTCTCCTCAGTTTTCTCTTGCAGTTAGCATATAATCAAAAGGCACAAAAGAACTAGTGTTCTGAACGAACTTACCAACATGGTTGGTAGCAAACTGCAACTCTATATTGTCCGCGGAGAGCATGTAAGGGCACATCATGATGCCTGCATTGTTACTGCCACCAAATCAAAGAATCATCTCTCAGCCAATACCATTTCTGTCAGAGACACTTCCATAAAAAAAATTCACAGTAAAATCAAATTGATTGTGGGTCTCTTTACATCAGAAGGTTCAGTGGAAGGCCTGAAGAAACGTATTCCGAAGCAAATTTCTTGACTGATGCCATTGAATTGAGATCCAACTGCATGACATCAACCTTAGCTGTAGGGATTTCGTTAAGGATTGCTTCTTTGACACTCCAGCCAGCATCAACATTTCTTACTGCCAAAACCACATGAGCACCTCGCATAGCAAGGACTCTTGCTGTCTCCACACCAATTCCACTTGATGATCCTGAACAAACATTGAGGAATCAATACCCTACATTTCTACTCTCAAACCCTAGGCAAGCAATCATAGTATCATCACTTCTCTCTGCTGACAAGACAATCAAGAGTCCAGAGATTCATTCAAAATTTCAGGGGATTGATCATTCCTGATTAATCTATTCATCAAAACTCATAATGAATGTAGGAAAATAACAAAACGCCTGTAAACCCAAGTTGGGGTTTGATTCAGTGACTGAGGTAAGTAAAGGACTACTGATTGGGAGACTATTCAACATGAAGCTACCGTCAATTTAAATATCCTTTTTTTCCCAATCAACCAAACAGAACCCAGTAGAAAATAAGTCAAACCCAGATGAAAGTAAGTCAATACCTGTGACGATAGCAGTGAGGCCAGTTGCATCGATTCCATTAGTAACTGCCTCAGCCGTAGAACAAGCGGAAAACCCAGATGCTCCTTTCCAGCCCAAAATCCACATCTTTCTTCTCGGTAAAGCAAAATAGAAATCGATCAACAACAGTCACAGATACCAAAAAACCTGCAATTAAGTATCAGTAGACAGCCGATGCTTCTGCTGCAGAGATGGTCTCTTCTTAAAAAGCTTCTCTTGGCTTGTTGGCTAAGAAAAATGGAGAAGATGATGACAAACGGAAGAATCAGAAACCCATTTGAAATGACGCCCTGGGATGAAAGAAGATGGATGGACCGGTGAAGCTCTAATCTTGTTGTTGTGATTATTCTACTACTACTTTGGGTTGCAGCGAATTTGGTCATAGCTATTAATTATCCTTTTCTCTTTTCGCAGTGCCTCGCTGTGGTGACTGGTGACTGGTGAGCGTTCGTCGTTGCAAAAGATGATTAGACTGCTTCCCTTTGTTTTTGGCTACAAATTTGAAAATTGCTCCAATTCCTTGGTATGGAAAACATTCCATTTTAGATACACAAAAAGAAAAGGAAAAACATCCCATTTAGTGACGTTCTTAGTACGGTTACTCTTTTTTTTATAACTACAACGTTTATTTTTAGAGATAATTTTGTTGAATAATGAGTTGTGAGAAATCAGAAATGTCTTTTTTGAATAATATGTTGAAAGAGTTTGTTTGATAGTTGATACTATGCCCTCATTGCAAAAGGACAATTTAATTATGGGTAAGACTTAAAGAGTTTTTTGGATTTGATAAATGAGAGTTTTGAGAGAGAAAAATCTCAGCATTTAGGATGGATATGCAGTACTACGAATTTGAATTTTGAAGAGTCTATTATTTGGATGATAGATTTATATCTATGATGAATTTGTTACATATATGATATGTCACTATCTATTAATAAGTTACAATTTCCAATTCAATATGTGAGATCTACAAGTCTATAAAGTCCACGAATTTGAATCCAAAATAAAGATAAAATTTGTGGTGTCCACAAATTTGACATTCGTCAACAAATCATCTTACTATATATTATGGTTGTTCAAAAACAACTTCTTGTCACATAAGCACTTGGAGAGTTCACAAGTTGCCAAGATTGACAATTTTCTTACAAACAAAAAACTTAGTTAATGATTTATTTATGTTATCTCTCTTCTTTTAATGATTCTTTCTTCTTTTGTTCTATAATTCATGTTTGTTTTTGTTTTTATATTATATCGATGTTTGTAGAGTGATACATATTGTATTTGTTTAAATCAAAATATCTTATTAAACTTTATTAAGTAAATTTTCTACTCATTTTTACTAAACTTAATAAGAGGTTACATTTTATTGAAATTTTTAAACAAACACATGCATAAATATTAATATAATTTTTCAATTTCCCTAAAGAAATATTGTTTTTCAATTGAACAAAATATAACGATGAGAGAAAACAATTGTTAGACAATCGAATTTCAAAAGTGAACTATATTATTTTATATTTTGCTATTAAACACTCTCTTATATCTAATGTGTATATCTAGAAAATAAAACAAGTATTGTATGGAAAAAGGTATGGATAGAAACTTGACGATGTACAAGTGTTATATGACATGTGTGAATGTTAGAGAAATATTTTTTGAGTATGCATGATAAACATAATGTTTCAACAGCCACTAACCTAGCATTGACCTAGTATGTATGATAAACAAGTTTATTTACTAATCAGGGTTAAAGATAAAGTAAACTCTTTAGATAAGCTTAGATATTAACAGTAGATGTGTCTACAATATATGTTCAGTGTAGACATGCTTTATTAATTATTAAGATATATAATGAAAAATTTTGTTCCAGAACTAACACCAAAAATAAGGAAAATTTTACAAATGCGCATTAAAAAGCTGGAAAATTATACACTAAAAGACCTTGCTAAGAAGGGAACCCTTGATAGTGTGTGAGAGTTTTTAGGTTTGAGATTCTAAGCCAACATATAAACAACAACCATTGACTGAGGATTTATCCAAACTTCAATAATTAACAATTGATACATATTAAGTAAATAAAATTTAATAGCTAAAGCTTTCAAAAAATTTAAATTATTAGCCAAACCATTAAAAATACTAAATATTATCCAAATATTTTGTATCACATCAAAATATTAACCATTTGTCTGTTATCAGTAATAATTTGTAACTCTTTTTCTAATAAAAATAATAAATTAGAATATAGACCGTCATGTGTCTCTTCCAAATCATGATCATGTTGTTGAGTCAAAATTACTAACAAAAATGCTAACGGAGAGTTAACGTCTGGCTAATACTTTGCATTTTGAAAAGTTTGGTTGATAATTTGAAAAGCTTGAAAGATTTGGCAAATAAAATGTATTTACTTTATTATCTAAGATACTAAATTTGAGTCTCTGTACAGACAAATTTTAACATAATATGGTTAGCTGAGACTTCATGAACATTCACATGAAAATGAGGCAATGTTAGAGAATTTGATCATCATAAGGGGCACGGTGTATGTCAAGTTTCACTTGAGATAAACACAATTTATCCAATAATGAAGTATATTTATCTAATAATCTGAACTTTTGATAATTGGTTAAGAGTTTTGTCCTATCTCGAGAATCATGAATTGTTATATGTTTTATAAGATAATAAATTTGAGCACTTTGGTTGTCAAATCTTTGTATACTATTCTAAATGGGACATGATAAACCTTCACAATATGATTTATGATTAGAGAATCAAAGCATCATAGGTGAGCATGCTAAGTTGAGAATTTTTAATATAGACATATCACATACTCACTTATGAAGTGTAAGCATACAAATTAGAAGGTTAATTTTTTTTGAACATATAGATAAATTAATTAATATCAATAATAAAATAAAATTATTTGGCCAACGAGCCGGGTAAAAAACTAGTTCCAAAGATTGGGTTACACGAAGAGGAAAACTGGAAAAGAGGCGCTTTTGCAAACCAAAGGAAAAAATGAGGTCGAATGACCTCCAACTGGGGAACCTTGTTGCAGGTCTACCCGAGGGTGTGTGGCACCCGTTTTTATCACCTGGTCCGGGTCAAACTGTGAAGCTGCGGGTTGATAACCGTGATTGCATTGGAGTTTTTTTTTTCAATAGCTCCATTGCATTTCAACAACGCAACGTGATACAAAAATAATCCATCCGAACACAATAGGGATCGTCTACAAAACTGTAGCTCTTAACCAACTACAGAAATCAAAACCTTTGTAACCCAACGGGTATAAATGAAGGGTCTTCCTGGTCACTCAATGAGCCAACCCATTCGCCTAACAACGAACAAATCTCACTCTATAACCTGGCACTGTTGCCAAAAGTGATCTAATCTCTGTCAACACTACTCCGCGTCTCCGGCCATCACATCCCTAACTTCACACGCACGTACGTTATCGATTATATTTTAGCATCCTCACAATGTCCACCTCTTTAAGCCCCATCCCTAGGCACTGATGATGCAATTCATGCAAGTGATAAAAGTCCTAGAATGTTCTAGAGTTATATTCTACAAAGTCTTCTAATGCATAACTACTCACACCATACCATCCATGCTCGATCAATATAGTAAAGACTTTTAGAGTATTTTATAGCAAAGCAAATAATAAACATGAAAGTAAAGTATGCAATGAAAAGTAAAAGATGTTTAGGGGTTTTTCAAGTTATATAGATGCATAAAAGTAAAGATACGTATTGAATAGAAAATCATATTTGAGTTCTATCTTAAGATAGCAAGCATCAATGACTTATCTATATCATCACTCCATCCCTTACACTAAGGTCGTCCTATTCGAGTTTTCGCCACATGCAATATGAACTTGACTAGTAGACTATTAGACTTGAGTTAAATCCATGAAGCTTTAGAATTGAATACCAAATTCATGAACAAAATGCAACAAGCAATATACGTTTTAAAAGGCGGATAATGCCTATTACACTACTGTTGTGGTTGTGGACTTCTTGTATTATACAAAAGGCCCAGCGTTTGAGCGAAGCCCAGCTTCTTAAGAATCAATCAATTGCACGTAGGGAGCCGGGCCACTTCTGGGCTGCTTCTTCATCAATTGCACGCAGGAGGGTACGGCCCAACTGCATGCTATTTTACAGGCCAGGCCTGTCTTCTTGGTATATACGGGCCAGGCCCATCTTCCTGAAGACTTCCGCTCCAGTCATTCAGTTGGTTTCCTCTCTCGAGCTTCAATTTTACTAAATAACTTGAGAAATCGTCTGCGAGAGGTTTATGAACACGATCGATAACTGAAACCCCTTCTTCTCCGCCTGCATTCCTCCCACTCCCTCATTTCCCCAAGTATTCCGCTTCCCGATTGTGGCGTGTGCACTATCATGGAGGACGAGCCCAGCATCCTCGAATCCTTACTCGACGATGGAGAAGAAGACGTCGAGATGGTCGACGTCGAAGAGGGCCAACTCTACGAACTAACTACGGATACTACCGCCCAGGCCTCCGGCGAGGCTAAAAACAATGGCGGAGGAGAAGGGGAGTCTCCAGACACCGCTATGAATCCGAGTAAAAAGAAGAGGAAGAAGAATAGGAAGAACAAGAAGAAGAAGAAGCAGCCCAGCAGTGGCCCGGCTCCTCCAGTGGAAATAAATAGGTATGGGAGTGGTAAAACGGAAATGATCTATTGGGCTTAGGTTAGTTTCATTCTATTGCTTTTCTTTCCCTTTAACCCTAATCTCTGTTGGGGTTATTATCTATTTGTGATTGCAGGTTCGTGATAGATGCTTGTAGGCGTCTGAAAGAGAAGAAATCATACTTGGTCTACTCCGCTGTGGGAACTCTTGGAGTTGAAGCCGTGAGTGATCTGGTTAGAGAGGTTTGTTTTCTTGATCAGGGCTTTCACTTATGAATCCCTCCTTTATCGTTTTATGGTGTTTAATCCTTGCTAGGTGATGAATCATGTTGTCTGCTACCTGCATTTGAGACCTTGTTGTTTCTGCATTTGAGACCTTGTTTGGTGAAGTTGGCCAATTTTGTGTTTTGTAGGTGGGTGGTTGATTAATCGTTGCTATGTTTAGTTTCATCCATCCAAATCCGTTCATTCAAGTAAAAATCAACTTGTCATGTTTCTTGTGATGTGCCCAACTGCTCATTTCTCAGCATCCTTCATGTTAGCACCTTGCTGTGGTTGATGATCATAACGAAGATGATAATCTGGATCATGGGATGTTTTGGCTCGATTTGGATGCTTGATGCTTACCATTCTACTCAAAGGCGTTCCTCATAGTTGAATGATCATGTATGTTGTTTCCCAGACCGTTGCGGACTCTCATTGCCAGAACTCAATTCTGGTGCTTCAAATTATGTGTTCTGAGATGAGATATACCCTAGGCTTCTCTTCTCCTTTATGTAGGTTGTTTGTTCTTTTTTCTTTGTTAAGTCTTTATCCATGGGAAAGTTTGTTACCAATGAATGAAAGAAACGAAAGGGTAAAACTTCGCTCTTGGGATTCTGTCATGGAACTCATACCTGATTCCTAAAGTCATTGCAGTAAGTCAGTAACGATATGATGACAATTTCAACCCGTCCCTTTTCCAGACCTGACAATCTACTGTCTTCTCTCTGTTTCTCTCGCAGTCTTAGTTCTCTCCTTTGTCTGTGTTCCTATATTAGCCTAATAGTTATAAATATGCTGAAAATTCAGGTGGATGCTATTCAGTCGTGTGGGGGACAGATGACTGCAGATGGCAAACGTTCTAGAACAGGTGGTGGGATATTATGGAACATCTTAAAGTCAAGAGAACCTGCAGCATACAGAGAAATAATGAAGCAAGCAAAGGAGTTTGAGGTGTGTTACTATATGTTTTTGTTAAACGACTTTTGCTAGGAATCTTGTGGGGACTTCATTTGTGATCATGTCAGCTCTGTGGAGGTCTATTGAGCTTCCTGTTATTTCATAAATCGCAATGCTAACTGATTTTCTCTCCTTGCTTTTGCTTTCAGAAGCAATTATTTAAGCGACAGAAGATGATTATGCGATCAGCTAATGCAGAAAATGTAGGTCTGTCTAATGAAACTCCATTTGCAATCAGCGAGAATGATACTACAACAACGTTTGGCGACCTTGTACCTGAAAGCCAACTTGTAAAGGACAATGGTGAGATGAAGCGCGGTTCTGTTCATGATAGGATTAGAGTACCTGTTTCATATGAGGATTTGATTCAGGATGAACCAAAGGAGAGTTGTTCATAGCTTTTATAGCGTGGATGGTGCAAGTACTTGTTAAAAAGAACAGCTTTATATTTTTGGGGGGGCTATTCATGCTTTCTGATAGATGTCTTTTGAACTCGTCATACTGCAATGGAATGCAATCGCTGTGGGAGTTCTGGTAGGTCTCTCTTCTGTACCCTGTTTCATGTGATGATCTGCCTTTTAGTTTTACACAAAGTCCCAAGTGAGATAAACTCCATTCAGTATGGATACTTGGCAAATTTAATCTAATGAAGAAACAAGGTATAGATCGATATGGTGAATTTCGAATGCCAGTCGAAATGCAAATGAAAATATGGACAAGCACAGGGTTCAGGATATTGTGAGGTTTTACGGCGCTACATTCACCATTGGATTAATACCGTGCCACACAAGGATTTAAAAGAAGCCTGGACTCGGATGCAAGACTTGGGATCTGAAGCCTAAGACAAGGGAAGACCCGTCTTCGGAAAAAATTCCAAAATACTCTAATTATTAAAAAAAAATTCCCAAAATACAGTACTTATAAACTTATTTTCCAAAATACAGCAGTTTCAACATCACTGTTGTAGACCAAGACAGTGATGGCAATCACCGTTTTTGACCATATGGGGGATTTGCTACAAATCGTAGCTCATCATCTGGCAACCAGAATTCCCGAGGGTCTCGAGGTGCTAAAAACGGAAGATGCTCCCATGCCCAGAGTTGGAGTATGAACATCACACCACCAGCTTGTTTCGCTCCCAACCTCGAGCAAGTACACAACTCTCGGTAGATCCCAGCCAAGACGGCCGACCCCCAACTTTTTTTCCCGATCTCGTCCCAGTCACCGAGGAGCATATTTAACCACATGCCTTGTATCCACCGGTTTGACTTGTCGGGGAACAGAAACCCACTAACCAAACCAATTAGGTAGACACGTGCATACCGCTCCACCTAATCTTCAGGAGTGTCCGGGCCTATATTGACCTCCATTTGGATGTGGTCAACAAGCCACGGGACCGATACTTGCCCCGCATTCAGTGGTGGATGCCCAACCCCGTCGACGGGCGTGGTGGTCGGCATGTTGAACCCCAAACGCTCTTGAATCAACAACCCCCAACCATCTTCCGGTTTTTTCGAGTTGTCGATGATGGCATCTCCGGTGATCGGGAGCCCGGTGAGGATGGCAACATCTTTGAGGGTGATCGTCATTTCACCCTCGGGAAAGTGGAAGGTATGCAGCTCGGGGCGTCATCGCTCTGCCATTGCCGTCAGCAGATCGTTGTCAATATCAAGCCTCATAAAGTGCCTCAGCATGTGCAATCCCGTCCTCTCTAGATAGGGCTGCAGTCGATCATGCCAACGGGGCAATCGACATGTCCCTCGATGACTGATGGGAATAAGTGATTCCTACAAAACAAAAAACACAATATTGTCAGTCAATAGAAAGCAAAATAAAAACTTTAAAACTATTGAAATAATTTTAGTGTGTCTACCGGATTATTGTTCCAAATTGAACGGGAGCGATGTTGATCTTGCCCGGTTAAATACCTTCGATCCCTTGGGCCAGGATGGATATACAATCGAGGGTCGTATATCTCAGCACCCATCTATAAAAAAATATGAAATCAAATCAATTTAAATTTTAGCACCCATGTAAAAAAAATCACAAAAGAATAAAATAAATTTACGTACTCTCAAAGCCTCTTCGTCCATTTTTTGCCGAAAAGCTAGCGAGAGTATCGACAAAAATAAAACTCTAGTAATTCTTTGTGATGCGGAAGATCGGACTTAGCCGCAACCACAGAGCATACTTAGAACGAAACTATAAAGTAAAGGAGGGAGAAAGAAGTATAAAATTTTGGTGTGGTTTGGAATGAGGGGGGGGGGGGGAGTGGTATTTATATGGGAAAGGGGCGCTGCAAATGGATCCAGGAACCAATCACCGCGTTGAACGAAGGCAGTGAAGTCACCGCGTTGAATGAAGGCGGCGAAGGCTCGGATCGCTGACGTTGTGCGGCGTGAGGCGTCGGATCGTGGAGAAAAACCACAATCCGCGCCTCACTGCATCGAACGGCAGCGGTGAAGGCGCTGGTGGGGCGGATCGGTGACGTGGAAATCGGGGCTATCACCGCTTTAGTCATTAGCGGTGAAGTGCCCGCACGCGTCCACGTCAGCGATCCGCGCCACTTCACCGCTTTTTATATCAACGGTGAAGATCTCTTCATCGCGTCCCTCATCAACGGTCATTTAATCACCGTTGTTAACCAAAGCGAGCAATGGTTTACTGTTTTTCTCCACAGCGATGATAGCATCACCGTTTTTGTCCAAAACGGTGATAGCATCACTGTTTTGGTTGAAAGCGATGATGCTATCACCGTTTTTGACCTAAACGGTGATTGCGATCACTGTCTTGGTCTACAACAGTGATGTTGAAACTGCTGTATTTTGGGAATTTTTTTTAATAATTAGAGTATTTTGGGATTTTCCCCCCCTTCTTCCCCCTGTTTGATTTCTGGATTACTTACGAATTCAAACATTTAAGTGTTGTTGTCATTAAACCTATAATAACCGGTGATCTAGTTTATCTAGTTTAGGATCCAAGCAACCCCCAAGTGGCAATTGGATCCTGTGGAACTACTTGGCAACCATAATTTATGTTCTTCATTTCGACACTCTCAGTTTATCCTCTCACAGTTAGAATAGGGGATGCACATCAGTGGCTTTTATGACATCTGGTTACAACATTAAAATTTCGACCAACTATGGCGTGCTAGGGGAGATTGCATCCTTCGTCCATTGTGCAAGTGGCTTCGCACGCACTTCAGTCAGTACTGTTTGATTTTGACCTTCGTTTCGAGCAACTATGGTGTGTTAAGGGAGACTGCAGCCTTCATCCTGTGTGCAAGTGAGTGGGTTCTCACAAACTTCAGTTAGTGCTATTTGATTTTGAACTGCTAGACCTAGGCCATATTGCTTCGTTGGCGTTCACTTGGAGCCGAGGGTGGTTTAGAGCTTTAGGGCATCTATTCGGTGCTTCCAAATGCCACAAGTTCTAGGAAACTACTATGGATAATGGACCCATGAAGGATAGATAGATAGAAAGAATAGTGCATATCCAAGATTGTTGTTACAAACTCAATAATTCAAAGACATCTTCACCACATGGGATACAAACAACCACTAGAGAATAATTTACACACATTATAGGAGAGTAATAACTAACAACTCTCAGAATCCAGAGTCACATGGAGATATAGATAAGAAGCCCAGACATACAAACAGAAAGAAGCCAACACTCAAGAGGATTGAAATGATCGAGAAGCTGAAAGGAGTCCGGCTGAAATGTTTCTTCCTCCTTCATGCTTTGGTTAATTTAAGACTTGCTTGAGAAAGGAATGGCTCTGATAACAACCTGGTGGTAGAGAGCAGCTAGTGCAGCACCGATAAATGGTCCAACCCAGAAGATCCACTGCCACACGACAAACAATAAAGCAAAATCAGAACATGAACAGAGATGCCAATATGAATTATTAAGTCCTGGTCTTTGAACTTGCTGTTTGTTGCTTACATGGTCATCCCAAGCATGGTCCTTGTTGTAGATGATTGCAGCTCCAAGACTCCTAGCTGGGTTAATGCCGGTTCCGGTAATGGGGATGGTGGCCAAGTGTACCAAGAACACTGCAAACCCGATTGGGAGAGGTGCCAAGATCTACAATAGAACCCATAAGTGCTTATTAGGCAAACTCCCTACTCAAAGAAGTGCCACAGCATGGTTCATCATTCATTGAATCCAGCCAAGGAAAAGAATAGCCGAGAAAAGCAATCTCCACATGCTTTAAGGCTAAAGCTAAGAAATATGAAAGGGACCTTGATAAACGGCCAGGGTCCCATCATTAATACAACCACCAAGAATGTCAAGGGAAAGCATTGGGACCAAAATTCACATCGTTCTCAATCCAGCCAAACCCTAAAGAGACCCATCGAAAACATCACATTCATGAAAAGAAAAACCCTTTAATTGAAATGCCATGCGTAGCTTAAAATTCTGGCCAATATCAGATCTCGAAATGGTATCTTAAAGAATCAAACTTCGAACTCTCAATGTAAGAAAACCTTGAATTGCATACGTATAACATACACACGAATACAAACAAAAAAGTAATTAACGGTAGTTAGTTTAGTACAAGTTAGGTAAGGTGGAAAGAAGAGAGTAAGTAAATACATACAGGAACATGCGAGTCTCTGGCGTTTCTCTTGGCATCAGTAGCTGAGAAGACGGTGTAGACAAGGACAAAGGTCCCAATAATCTCAGCACCAAGACCATCACCCTTAGTGTAGCCACCGGCCACCACGTTGGCGCCACCACCATTGACCTCAAAGGTCTGCTTTCCTTCGAACCCTCTGATCACACCAGCACCACAGATGGCTCCAAGCGTCTGCATGATGATGTAGAACACCGCCCTTGTCAAGGACAGCTTCCTCGCCAAGAACAACCCAAATGTCACTGCTGGGTTGATGTGTCCACCTGCGTTTTTACAGATCTAATCAGTAAAGTCCTGAATCACAACACATGAAGCAACACAAACCCATTTCCATATAGCTTCACCCACCAAACCCGAGCTAAAAAGTAAAAACTTGTGTTCTTTCAGGACATTCATCAAACACTTGCCAAGGAACCCATCAACCCACAATGAAATCTAAAAACATTGATGATTTACCTGAGATACCAGCGGTGCAGTACACAAGGGCGAAGATCATACCACCAAAGGCCCAAGCGATACCCTGAATACCCACAGTGGAGCACTTGGAAGGGGACTTGGAGACGCCCATGACAGTGAGGACAGTGATGTAGAGGAACAGGAAAGTGGCCATGAACTCGGCAATTCCAGCTCTGTAGAAGGACCATGAAGAGAGCTCACCAGGCTCAAACAATGGAGCTGGTGGTGGCTCCTTGTAGTCCTTGTCAGTTTGAGCAGAGGTTCCAATGGGCTGCCTCTCGGAGAACTTGTTAGCTCCCAGCCTAACATCTTCTTCCTTGCCCTCCATAGCTGCTCTTTCTCTCTCAAGAAGTTTGGAGCTTTGGGGTTTCTCTCGAGAACAGAGAGAATTGGGTGTTGTTTGTTGGGAAGGGGAGAGTGGGTAGTGGAGACTGTGTGAGAGAGAAAGGGTTGGAGATAAGGGTGAGCTTTATAGAATGGTGTCCTTATTCTGTCTCATTATTAATTGCTTTGGAATGGAAGTTCATTTTTAAATTGCTTTCTTTTCACTACATTATAATATAAATATAAATATAATGCTAATGATGATAATAAATTAATAATCTTAAATGCAGCCTTGTGTGCCTTCGACATATTAGGGCGGGGTCGTTACCAGTGAATTGGATTTTAATTGTCAAAATTATTGCTCGATTTCTCTAACGTGATCCCGGTTTTCTCGGTTTCGGATGGAATAATAAAAGGTTGCTTATTGTCAAAAAAAAAAGTCTTGTATGCCTTTTTTTTAATTTTTAAGTTAGAAACATGAAAAGGATGAAGAAAGAAAGAACATACTTAGAAGGAAGTTTTCTTGCTTCAATATGTATGAAGATTTTAACTACATTACCCATCGATTGTTGTTTATTATTAATCAAACAAGATTTAATACTTTAAAACTATTACATATGAGTTAATTGACTAAGTGAGTATTAAAGTAATTACTTTACGTGTGTTTGAAAAAAAAAATTATGAACATATGCAAATTCATATTAGTTCTCCTAATGATTTATAAGTTGTAATAACAAATTTTAGGTTATGTTTTAGTTTCTTTCTTCATGTTTGCATTTCCTCCATTTAGCCCACTAGAACATTCGTTGAAGCGTTAAATTTGGGAGAAAATTGAAGGGGAAAAAGACAGGGTGATATGATGGGGAAATAGAATTTTCTTCTTTTGATGAGTCATCATGAAATGGATGCTTTACCTTCAATCAAAAGGATTAGTGGTCATTATGCAAAGCAAAATACCAAAAAGAGAATTGTCATTATCACCTCAGTAATAAAAATTAGAATTGTTTTTATGAGAAAAAAAATATTAGAATTACAAATTGGAATGTAAATGTAAAAAATCCAGAATGAATCCTGAAGGATTGTTCTGGAATGACCAGAGGGAAGGAATGGGTATGCTGACAGATTGGTAATACATGGTGTCCCCCAATTTGATTGTCATTATCCTTTTAGAAGCCTCTTCTAAAAATATTATTCCCCTGATTTTCTGTTCCCATAAGCCATTAATTAAATAAACAAACACAGTTTATTCCCTTTCTGGTTAATCAAATTGTTTGTTTATTCCTCTGCATATTATTAAGGGATGATTTGGATGGTGAGCTGTCTGTTACATTGGCCATGACTCATCGTCCTCACTTAAATAGCTCAAGTTTAATTGCGATTTTCTATGGTATTGGAGTGATTGATTAACCGAGGGACGAGGGGTTAAAAGAGTAATTCTGCGGTTCCTTTGGGCTGGGTTGGGTTGGTCCCGACCATGGTTGTCACGCCGGCCGGCGTGCCACTGGTTGAACCAGTCATAAAACCGGCATGACATCCCGGTATGACCGACATGATCGATATACGAATCTCCAAGTAAAATGATCTTATCTTAGTGAATTTAATTGATAAAAAGTCATTTATTATTTGTTTTATGTGTTAAAAAGTTAAATGTTGATGTTATTTGTTGGATTCAAGTACAAATATTTAGGTATTTACGTTAAATGTCGTGTTTAAATATGAGTATTGTAAATTATTTGTAATATTAACCGGTATGAACCAGCACAAACCGATATGTACCACCGGTCGAACCATTCCACTTGCTAAACCGACATAGTGACATAAACCGGTTTGACAACCTTGGTCCCGACTTATGGAAGCAGCTAGACGTAGATGGTTCACTTTCGGCTGCGGGAGAACCATTCACAGCCACACACTGACACAGTTGGGTTAGCGAAGAAAAAAAGAATCCAATGGCAGAGACGTGCCGACCGTTTTTTTTTTTTTCTTCTTCTGTGACCGTTGGGAAAGTGACAGCCCGGGCAGCCGCTTTTTGTCCTGCCCGAGCTCAGACTGGGCAATTGGATTTGCGACCCCGAGAATTTACGGACATGCCATCGTCTTAGCCCTTTTGAAGTGGGCCCAGGCTCCTTGCTGAATTGGGCCCATTACATGATGAAGGACGCACAAAGTGGGGCAACGGTCCAACCGACCAGCCTAACATTTATTTATAATTATTTTATTCCCCCGGGTCAATTACACTATCAGCCCCTTAACTTTTTTCCCCTAAACTAAACTGAAATCTGAATCAGTTATAAAAAGCCCCTGAACTTTGATGTTTAATAACTCAACTATGAAGCCTTTCCGGCGTGGCTTCTCTACGGCTCGTGCCTTGTATTGTAGTTAGGATTGTTAATCAGTCGAGTCGAGTTTTTCCTTGTTAATGTTCGGCTCGTTTATAAACGAGTCGAATCGAACACGAACCAGTTCATTTATTAAATATTGGCGAATCATTAAGATCAAAAGTTCGGCTCGAGCTCAACTCTAAGATAATTTATAATATAAATACCCTAATATTTATATGTCATATATGATACATATGGTCACCTAATATTATGTCATATATGAGAAATATTTGCTTACATGTACTCAATATATTAAACACCATATGAGGTGATATATACAATTTAATAATTATATGCATCATTAAGTAACCAACTCACAAAATATAGATTGATTATCTCATAAGTTGTAGTCGAGTTGCCTCTCTAGTCACAATGTTGGAATATCTCATAAGCTCAAAACGAGACAGTTCATGAGTTGTATTAAACGAGCCACCTTATCGAGCTCGTTCATGAGCTTCACGAGCCGAACAAGGTAGAGCTCAATAAACAAGCGAAACTTTTCTGTAATCGAACGAACTTTTATCGAGTTCGAAATCGAAGTATCAAACCATTCACGAGTAGCTCGACTTATAACAGCCCTAATTGTAGTTAGCTCAGGAACAATTCACCAAGCTTCAATTGGCCGTTGTGACTTGCGTGTTCACTCACACAATCGCATGGTGGTCTCCCGTCCAAAGCTTTGGTACTCTCTTCCTGATGTTAATGTCATTTTCATAAAGTTTTTAACAATTGACAAAATGACCAATTTTGGACTAGTAGAATAGAGTTGTAGTTCAAAGTTCAAATCATTCAACTCTGGGTGTCAATTTATCCACATTTAATAATAATACATGTCGTATAGGTATAGTCCTTTGAATTAGCTATTCAGCAGAGGTTATTAGGATGGTATGGAGTAAAACAACTAGGAATTGGGTTGAGTAAACAGCTTGCATAATTCATTGAAGTTTATGTGGGGTTTTTTATATATCTAATATTAAATTTTAAAATTGACACGCTTATATGAACAAAATATGTCTAGTGAACATTTCTTCAGTAAATTGGCAATATTTTTTATTTGATTTTTACTTTAAATGAACAATGCTTTTGTTGCTTGAAATGGTTGATCTTAAAAAAAAAACGTATATGTTATTGGCTATTTTAAACTACACTTATGTTTTTGTAAAGAGTAGTTGGTGAGTTCAAATTTGAATTTAGATCGTTAGAGAAAATACCTAAAATGTTTTTCAGGTATCTTTAGACCGTCCCTTGTTAGGGAAAACTTGTAAGTGAATGGTGATGATGAAATCCTATCACCAACAACACCATGGATGGAAGTCAAGAATATGAAACAAAGAAATTCAAATCAATATTCTTAGCCTGCGCAAAGACAAAACACAACATCCATATCTCCCATATCATTTTCTGTTTTAAATAAAAATAAAAGGAATAAGCCATCATTGGGGCAAAAAAAAAAAGATATTATTCATCCAAATTAAATGAAATGATTTATCAAATATTATCATGTATTTGAAGCGATTAAATCATAGCCCATAACTTAGCATGATAAAAACAAAAAACAAAACATGCAACAACCAGTTTGAGCTTCACATGCTTCTGCTGTTTTTGGTTGCCCCTTTTCCTCCCATGATGAGGATTAACATTATTTTGTTTATGATTGATTGTAAATCCCTATCGTGATATCTAAATTAATCTTATTTTAACAACATTCAAATGAATGGGGGGAAAAGAAGAAGAAGCTGAAAGGCCAATAATGGTAGACAACTCATGCTTACAAGATATACCTTCCTGGTCTCTCGTGAACTCTTCACAAAGCAAAAATTCTCACATGGATCCCAACCCCACCATTTGCAATGGCAATGTCAGGCTATTGAGATAAGGCAAAGGTGTCCCTTAAATGTGACAGACACTTATGATGTCACAAAGGCCAAATAACCCATACCCTAGCAACTCAACACAAACATAGCTGACTGTTTTCATGATTATCTAATGCTTCAATATTAGCACTGAACAACAACCGATTTTTTTTTAAACGATGGGAACGATGAAGATGAGAAACTTTAACTGTAACTTTAACTCGTAACAGTAACACTTTAAATGTTTTTTTTTTATAATGTACTTCAACGTTAGGATAATATTTGTTGTATCTCATAAAATCGCTTTATTTATATTGAAATATTTTAATTTGTTGTATCATCAACTTGTTGGCCCGCTTTCAAGGGTTTCCTTCACTTTAATGATGTTAAAAATTAAAATTGATCTCTGTATTTAGCGAACTAAAAAAAAGCAACAGAACTTGAAGCCTTCACGGCTTTAACCATATACTGAGCGAGCTACTTGAGAATGTCTAAACGGGTGTCATAAAATTCATAATAAACAGGGAGGGGGAACCCGATGGGACACGTGGCACGAATGCGATGTCAGTCTTCATCACTTTGCAACGGAACTTTGTCAGAATAGCCAGGCTCATTGGGCCCACCAGCCCACTGACGAGTAAGAAACCAAGTGGTCCACCCTCGCACTAAATAGACCGCCGGGCCCAACCCAGCTATCATATTTATAAACCCTACAATGCAATTCTCCACAATATGCAGGCAGCTTCTAGCCAAATGATACCGTTGCTTAGTCCTTAGTGCTCTCAGATTTGACTCCCCCCTAAATGGAAAGGAAAAAAAAAAAAGTGTTTAATTACTTTGCTGTTGTATGGGGTCGGTTAGCATGCTGGAAAAATGACACCCCTAGTATATTAAATACAACTATAGAATTTAATACACACATTAAATACACATTAGGAATTAAATGTATCATATTAATTAGGAATTCTCTCACTATTAAATACACATTAGGAATTAAATACACACATTAAATACACATTAGAAATTCTCTCACTATATTTTATTTTTCTTTTTTCAGCAGTCTCCGACCACCAGACTTCCTCCGACCGCCACACTTCTCCGGTGAAAATCCCATCGGCAGACTTCCTCCGACCACTAGGGCTGGCGGACGGTTTTCCGGTTAGCGGCTAACCGGACGGTTTCAACCGAACCGTCCGATTTTCGGCTAACCGAAAAACCGATCCCAATGGCGTCGGTCGGTCGTCGGTAGCAAGGGGAGAAGGCTCGGCTAGCCGACCAACCGAGGTTGAAAACCGGCGGTTAGCCGACTAACCGAGCCTAACCAAAACGACCTGGCCCCCCTTCTCAAACGACCCCCCCCCTCAAAACGACCCCCTCAAACCGACCCCCTCCCCAAACCCTAATAGAGCCTAACCCTTCTCTTCCGTCATCCTCTCTCTCTTCTCTTCCCTTTCACCTCTCAAACCCAGAAGACCTTGAAAAACCAGAAGAAGAAGAAGAAGAAAGAAGAAAGAAGAACTGTCACGAGACTCACGACCACCGCCGCCCTCCTTCTCCCTCACGACTCATGACCACCGCCGCCTCCACCATCGTCGACGTCGCCGCGCCGCCTCCACCATCGTCGCCTCGCCGCTCGACCTCCGCCTCCACTCGCAGGCAGCAGCGGCTCGACCTCCGCCTCCACTCGCCGCTGCCTCCACTCGTCGCCGCCGCGCCTCTGCCTCCACTCGTCGCCGCCGCCGCGCCTCTGCTCTGTGTTTCCAGATCTGAAATGGAAGAAGGAAGGAGGGAGAAGGAAGGAGTGGTGGGTATGACATGGAGGAAGGAGAGAAGGAAGAAGAAGAATCGAGATGGTGAAAGTGGATAGGAAGAAGAAGAAGAATCGAGAAGTGAAGTGAGAGGGTGAGGAATGAGTGGTTCAGAATTTTGTTCCTTTTAATTTTTTTTTATAAAGGGTATTTTCCGGTTGGTCAGCTAACCGAGCCTAAAACCGAAACCGACCGGTCGGTTGGCCGGCTAACCGTGACCACCCTCACGGTCGGTGGTCGGCAAGCATGTAGGGTGGCTCGGTTTAACCGATAACCGGGATTTTGGTTTTCGGTTAAACCGAAACCGATCGGTTGACAGCCCTACCGACCACCTCCAAAAAATATACCACTGCACTGATACGGTGTACCACTGTACTGGTAGATATATCACTGCACTGATACGTTGTACCACTGTACTGGTAGATATACCACTGCACTGGTAGCGATATCAGTGCACTGGTAGCAATGTCATATCTGAGTATCAGTGCAGTGGTACAAATACCAGTAAAGTGGTAATTAATGTGGTGTATTTAATGCTTACTTTGTATTTAATAACAGAACATTTATTATGTTTACTTTCATTAATACTTGTCAATAATTAATGAAAAATTGACCAATTAAAAGGGGGTGTCAAAAAACCAACCCCTTAAGGGGTTAGCATGCTAACCCGTCCCCTGTTGTATGTGGTTTCAATTCAATGGTTGAACCTTCGAGCTGGAATCCGTTTGTTAGTTATTTTTGGAGAAAATGGTTTCATTTCATCCAATATTTATCTTTGGGGTGAGCTTGGTGGTGTCACATGTTTTGAGTTTTGTTTGTGTTTCTCTCTTTTGAAAGAAAGTACGGATATTATCGAAAACAAGTCGAATTTTTGGAGAGGTAAGGGTGACTTTTGATTAAATTAGTGTCATTATATGTAGAATATGGACAGAAAAAGTCAGATAAAAAGAGAGAAATTATTAATAACAAGGGGAAAGACGGATTTCTCTGCGTAAAAAGATTAAGTGCCTTCGTGATTTGAGTCTGTGTAATCGTATCAAAATAATAGAACTACATAAATATAATATAGAAGCATAACTGTGGTTTAAGGGGGTTGTTTGTTTATTGAATTTGGGTCATCAATTTTGTGACCAAAATCCTAAATTTGATAGATTTATCCCTAGTCTATTGTTTGTTGATGAGCGTCACTACGTGAAATCCTCGAATTTGGAATCTTTAGGGTTCATACAATAAATCCATAAAAACAAATCATCCAAATATGTCATACAAACAATAGACTCTTTTAAATTTTAAAACAAGAGCAAGAGAGCTAAATGTCGTGTGAAACTTGAATTCACAATCATTGATCGTTACCATGAATCTTCCAAAACTCCCACCCTTATAAGGACTAGAAAAAGGGTGAATGGAGGGAGGGAACGAGCAGGGGAGCGCATAGATTAGCTTGGATTCGTGAGTTTGTGCCCCAATAGCTTGTTATGACTTACAAAAACAAGTAAGATGCATGTGTTGAACATCATATTTTCCATTAGATGATCAAATGTATCTAAGAAATTAATAGAGGACAATTTGTGAGAAATGTCATGTATTACCCTTTTTAAATGTGAGCATGACCTTGTAATAGAGAGCAGTAGGGCTCCAAGGGCCTTGTGAACTCCAGGTTGAGTCACGTAGGATTATGGTCGCGTGACAACTTAACACCCTCGCTCCCCACGATTATGATCTTTTTTTTGTCATGAATCTTCCAAGGCTTCTATTCTCATGCCTGACATTTACGTAGCTATACATTCCGAGTTAAAATGGTTGCCTCTCCTTGGCCAGATGACCTAACCTAGTGTGTAGGGCGTGTTCGAGACATATGCCCCGTGGTCGTCTTCAAGGAGACACTACTACGCATTAACGTAGGAGAGCATATCAAGAGTTGATACAACACTACTTCGACCGGTGAATTAACAAGTAATCTCAAATGATCAATGTTGGTGTGGTGGGAACATCTCTACCGTTACAAAATAACCTAGGAAGCGGGCTTGGCTCCCTCAGGCCAACTGCTTCATTTATACCAGTTCTGAAATCGGGCCTAAACAATAATTTAATGCTATGAAAACTGCTACATAAGATTACAACATATTTACCTACAAGTTACAAACCAAAGTAAGCTTCATCTTCACCTTTCTTCGCCACCATCTGCTTCATCGCTCTGTTGGAGATGGACGTGAGTGCAATGTCTCTCCGGTTGGCCTTGCGTCCATAGAACGGTAAGATCGCCTCTCATCTTTCCCAGTGCCAAAAATGTTCCTGCAAGGGTTGAGGGAGGATGGCTCCATCATTTGCAAGTGAAAGACAGCAGAAGAAGCCTTTCTTGTGTTATGCTGTTTTGTTTCAAATTTCGAGTGTCTTACCTAGGGTGAAAGGAACAATGTAGAGAAGAGCCGGCTGGCCATGCCCGTCCATCAAGTTTAGTGCAACGTATGTAATCAGAAGGCCTGTATGAACGATGAAACGCCTGTATGTAATCAGAAGGCCTGTAAAGTGATCGAGTAAACAATGCATATGAAATGAAATTTATTACCTAGTCCATAAGCCAACATGGCATACAAGAAGTATCCAGCTCTCAGACTCTTGTTCGCCAACCAATCGTACCTAGAACGATAGTGAGGAGTAGAAAGAAATCACAAGAAGGTTAGCAGCAACAACAGAATGTTGAAATGAATGATGTCACTATTACCTATATACCTCTAGATGACCAAACATTTGACTATTTGAAAGAAAATGACCCTATCTTTTGAACATGACAAACATGGTCCGGTATTGACATCCAAGGAAGAAAATAGTCATAATATTTTTTACAAGTTTAATCTGAATTCCGATCCGACCTGTCCGGTAACACTACTTTCAGGCGACATCCAAGTTGTATTTGTGCTTCAGTTCCACAAAACAACTACTATTTGATGGATTTCCCTATTATGGTTGTCATCATGTCATACTCTCCTAACAAATTCATCAGAGTTTGATGGATTTTGAGATGAATTTGTAATTTGGGTAATTTTCGTCCCCGTTATTTGAAGTGTGAATCATACTCTAATTTCAGAAAGGTTAGGTCATTTTTCATCCAAATGGTTAAAGGTTGGGCTACAATAAGGTATTTTGCCTAGAAAGTAAGTCAATTCCTCCATCATGATGCAGGTGTCATTCAGGTTTCTGGTTCAAACATTAGCATATTCAAGCTCGATATCCAAGTGAAATGAGTACTAGAGGAATAGTGATGAGTTGAAAGTCTGAACCTGATTGCAAACGCTACAAGTAATCCAGGTAGAAGTATGTCACCAAATCCTATAATGCTGTAACCACCCCAAGGGTCAAAGAGACGAGGTATCTTTAACAGCATTGGGATGCCATCCTCTCCACTCTTATCACCACGAGCTACCTACATTAGGAAGAAGAATCAACCCACATTTCTCGAATGCAAAATAACATCAAAGGTGAAAACCAAAAGTTATTCACAGCGAAAAGGTTATTACTTGGAACTTACCACAATCATTACGCTCTCGTGGAACAGCTTCTTAGAGACAAAAACCCAGAAGATGTCGTATAAGAACCCACAACTGAGAAGAACAGTACCAACCTAAGATCCAGAAACAAGCGGAGATCAGGTACGATACTTATATTATCCCCTCCGATAAAATAAACTAAGGTAGTAAGGTAATACCTTGAGATTGGGCACATGGACAATCTGAAGAACGGTGAGTATCAGAGCAATCCCCTGGTAAAAAACAAGTGAAGTGCAAAATCTAAGTGACCTAGTTAAGAAGGCATGCCACAGTGGCATGCTTTTGTACTCATCAACAAAGAAGCTTTTATGAGAGCCATTAACACATGCATCCAACAGCATGGTATCACAAGTATGACATCAGTAGCAACTACAACGGTAATCCTATTGCCAAGAGCCTAGACTGCAGCATTCTTTGTGTCCCAAACTCACTTCCTTAGTAAACTTGCAAGTAAAGAAGCAAGAAACTCTTTACTTATTTTTTTCCTAACACCCTTCATCCAAGAGTTGCATTTTTCTGCTTGAACGTAACTATACAAACAAAGTAGACATCAACTCTCCCTATGGTAAATTTTGTACCACGTAGATGAGCCCTGACCTATATTTCTGAAGTGCAATGACGTTAACTCCACTTCTCTGTACTACACTCGTGAACAGTACTCCAAGTTCTTCTTTGTTTTGGCTAAATTCTAAGTAAACAAGTCTCCATTATGGGAAGGCATGAAGACTTATGCGCGCTAAGATGGAATTAAAGATACTAAAAGTCTATTAGCTGCGCTGTTTCTTGCAATAAGACAAACTTAACAAATTGAAGAAGTAAACCATTAAAATAAACCAGGAAATGATAAGGATAGGATCCTTACAAGAATATCTTGCCCTATCCAAGCATAGGTAGTATTCCGATAAACAGCCCAGACTACAGCAAAAGTAATGCATAATGGGGACACAGCCAATGTTAGGTATGAGATCGCTCCCAGAACTGGCACTTTGATGAATGACTCCGCAGCACGCATGAAATACCTATTAAAATATTTTCAACATTAATGACCAACATTGAAAAGACAACAAAATAAATAAAAGGTCACTGCACCAACAATTCCATGTGTTATCCAACAACCAACATTGAGAAGCACTTCTGATTTTCCAAGACCAAATGCATAACCGACTTATCTTCATGATCATCTACGTGTAAGTTCTGTTCTAACTTAAAAAACATAAAAAGTGCAAGTCTGATGACTTCCCTTCAAAGAAACCAAGAGTCAAATGTTTCTCTAGGTTGTTTAACTTCTGTGAGATTATGCATCCCTTCTTCGTCGCCTTTTATTCCAGATGCACAAGATCATTTGGACCAACACTCTTGTGAAAGCACGAAAGTCAGCTGAATGCTGAAGGATATGACCACTGATTAAAAGTTGCATCAGGCTTGTTTATTTCATGTTTTCTTGGTTGGCTCACTATCAACTTGCAGATATATTCCTGATCGGGTTTACAGAATTAATGGGATGCGCCAAATTTGTTTCAACTTAAGAAAATGTCCATGCACACAGGGTAATTATGACTTATGAGATTGGGTCAGAACAGGAATTGTAGTGAATGGAGCCTACTATAACTAATGATAAATTGCAGGATATGGGGCTGAGCCAATGCTAAATTGAGTATTGGGGATGCTTCAGAGTAAAAATGTATTCTTGTAATCCCTGAGCTACACTACATGTAAGAGCCACTCGGTTAGTTCTTTCGGTCTCTTGCTTAACTGGCCAAAGCTACTACCATTATCTGAATGTGCAGCGCAAATAAAACAAGAGTGATTAAGAGAGAAAGAGAGACAAAAGTACTATACCTTGACAACAAAGCAACCAAACAAGTTTGCAGACCCTGCAGATTCATGAAACTACAATGTTAAAAGAGTATTGAAAGAAAGAAAAGAACGTTACCAGCTAATAAGTATATAACATTTCAAGGTATCTTCTGTGACCAAGGTGATCAAGTGAAAAATACAAAGAGATGTATGAAATACATGAAGCAATGAGTAAGAAGGAGTGCATACCTCTACCCCACCTATGCAGAAAAGAACTACCAAAAGCTCAATGAACCAGTATGACATAAGTTTGTAAAGTAAGACCAAGAAGCATGAAGCAATCACAACGAACAACACAGCAGTGGTTGTACTAATGTCTACAACACTACTGATATCAGATCTTCTGTTGGGAAATTCTTCTGCAGCATCCTGCAGAAAAGAACCATAATGAACCAAATTTAGAGAGACAATAAAGCTAGAGCTTGATAATGAGACATATATAATAGATCACCTTCAATAGCTTATCCTGCTCGGTAGCAGCTTCTCTGGCACTCCAAGCTGACCAATAGGAAGCACATAAGATAGTGCCGACAGCCATCAACCATAGGAAGACCTCAGCTATATCAACTAGAGGCCTCTTAGGAGAGTAAAGCTGAACAGATACTGCATACAGTAACAGATGAAAGTTGAAGATAAATGTGATGTTAGAAGGAAATATTTCCAGGAAACAATACTGAAAAAGGAGAATCATTGCTATGCAACCCAGAAAAGAAAGATGACCATGGAGACTATTAGAGTGCATATGAGTCAGTATTCGCTTTGAATATAAAACAAAGAGCTTTACCTGAATCATTAGTCAATAGCATTTTTTCCAATGTCACACCAGCATCCTGGGGCAGCATAACAGCAGGTATGTGAATATCTAGATCTGTTTCATCGGGTTCGCAGACCATCTTATAAAGTTCTGCAGAAAAACAATAAAGAATGAGAAAGAATCAATGAACGCCAATTCATATGACAATGCAGCTTTGGCATCTTATGTACACATAACTTGTCTATATTACTGTTAACCCAAAATGATTATAGAGATGGATCAAGGAGATGAATACATAAACCAAGGAATAAGCAGTTTGCACAGAGCTGAAGTATAAAACAAAATAACTGGCATGACTAAATGTCATGAATAAATCTTCCAAGCTAAAGCAACAAGACCATAACCATTTCTTTAATTGCCTAGTTATCTCTCATGAAAATCTGTTGCTCTGAACTTGCATTGCATAATACCCACCATTATATTACTAACCTTTTTGGTTGTTTATAATAAGGATAGCAGAAGCACCAGCACCCTCAGCATTATTGGCTTTTTCAGTAAACTTGCAACCGCCTCTGTCAACCATGATTACATCTCCAACAAGCTGGCAATGGGAAAGTTATTAGCATCACAATTCACAAGTAATTCAAACGGACATTAAACGCAATACCATCGAGCACACTAAAGATTATTTGGAATTCACTAGATTGACCGGAAAGGGAAAAACCTTGTTCTTAGGTGGTTTACAGCAGTCTCGGGGATCTGAAAGCGAAAGGCGAGTCTGGTTAGCATTTTTCTCCTTGGACACAATGACAGTGCCAAATCTAGCACCTACACCTACAAATTCAGCATCCTCTTCGCCGTTCACCCAAGTTTGAACTTTCACCTGATCACATCAATTACAAATCGAACACACGAAATCCATTCAGCTGTGTAGTAAAGGATCATAGGTAAGAAGCTCCAAACCTAATGAGCAGCACTTTCCCTGTAAACCATTTTATGAATCTAAAAGCATTTTTTCCGCAGAAGTATCTCCAAAAGTGCACCCCCAATGATTACAGAACCCTAAAGGAGAGGCAGACTTCATCCAGAAGCCAGAGAACACGAAAGAGCAAAGGAAATTCCTTGAAAATGTTCTCAAACTAACTTGCAGTCAAATTCGCATCAGCAATTCCTAACCAATGAGGTACATCGCTCTACATCGCCTGATAACCGCAGCAGGCATACCAACGATAGAAAAAGCAATAAAATCAGAATCTATAAGACTCTACTTTTTTTTCCTCATTCAAGTTGGAATCTCTTCCCAACTACCCAACCATTCTACCAGTTTCACCTGAACCAAACCCATAAACAAAAACATTTCTACCAGCTACAGACGACTCAGAGGCAGCCAACAACCAATCAAACGAGAGCCCAGTTGAGAAATCATCAAAAGAAGAAGCGGGGAAGAGAAGTAAAAGGCAGCAGCATTATGAGCTGATTCAGGGGGAGTTCAATTTTACCAAGATGAAGTCATTCTCGCAGCCAGGCTTCTTTGGAGCTAAAGCGTCATGATGAACTATATCCCCTGCCGAGACAGGGTAGGAGCAACAGACGAGGGAAAGTAAAGCTGCTAAACTAACTACGAATGTCAGGTTCAGCAAATCCATGGAGTCCCCTTCCTGGGTTCTACTTCTCCACTGCACATCACCAAAAATTCCAGAGCAGGAAGAGAGAGAGACAGTTGCTTTTACGAGAGCAGTAAAGTAAAATAATGATAGAGGGAAAAGGTTTGGACTTTCTGTTTTTTAAATTTTATTCTTTCTGAATTCGAGGAAATAGGAGTAGGAGATGGATCTCTGCCATTAATGGGAGCAGAGCAAAGGGAAATGGAAAAAGAAACCCGAAGAAATGATGGAACTGACGTTTTGCAGGTGCAGAAGATGATGAAGATCTACGAAGGTTTGCGGTAATACCGCGTCGTTTCTCTGCTTTCTGTTTGTTTTTGTCATGAAATGAAGAGTTACCCTCTGTTTTCCGGCGTTTACCACTAAAAAACCATCAGAATCGTGGACGCCGTCTGTTGACGGTGGGAAGAAGAGGGGAGAGAGTGGTTTCCGTACCAGGTGGGACAAAGTAGAGAATTGAGATTGAAGGCTTCAACCGTATCCTCCTGTGACGTGTGCTGTAGGGCAAGTATCTGCAGTGTTGTCAATGGCTGCCTCGAGCCAAAGGCTTCAATGAATGACCCTAGAGAGGCAACAATGGCTTCTTAATCGAATCGATTTACCACATTGTAGTAGCTCCATCATTGGCATTTGGCACCTCAACATCCAATATGACAGACATTTTGGTGTTCGAAGATGCGTAAAAGAAGTCGTACGAGACATAGTTGTTCTTTTAGTCTAGTGAAGATCCTTAACCCTTTAACATTTTTGTTACTAATATTAAGCAACAACACAGATTTATGACTTCATCTGACGAGTTTGATATACGTGACATGGAACAGAGTTGAATTGTTATGCATGGAAAGATCTAATTTTTTAGAGGTATGATCATTTTCAAATGACTATTCATTATTTGCCTTGGTTCTTACTTACACGTGAAGTTAAGACAATGAGGTCCCCAACTTTTTTAGTTGAGAAGGTGATTCAATCACTAGTGTCGGTGCATCTCTATCTTTCATTTCGTTCATCGTATACTTTGAGATGCCCGGATGATCAATTCTTTGTCATACTTGTAAGTTATAAGGACGGAAACTATACATATCTTTTTTTTTTTTACAATTAAGATCACATTTATTCCAACCCCAACAAGGGAAACCGGATACATTACAATAGTGGATCAATAATATTACAAACTTGAACCCACTCCACCGGTAACATATTCAACCTAGCCTGGCAAGCCACCCAATCAGCAAGTGAGTTCAGTCGTCGAGGGACAAACTCTACTTTGACCCATGGTGCCAACTGTATGGCTAATATCATTCTTGCAATAATCGCCCTACAATGTCAAGGCCAAAGACACAGATCCTGACGTAGTGCGTTTGAAAGAACCTGACAATCAGTTTGGATACACGTCGGGATTTGTTCTTGAGCAGCGATTGCGATGGCATTGTATAGTCCATAGGCTTCCGCTTGCATAGAGTTAGAACAAAAAAAAGATCTCAACCTTGTCGTCGTCCACTTGACCATGAGCATTAACAATAGTAATCTCATAAACCGCCACTGAAGAATCTGAGACGAAGGAACCGTTCACAATTCATCAAGCACTCAAACGAGATTGGCGGTGGTAAAGCTTCAGAATGGGAACCCCAAGGCTAAGCATGGGATTGTGCCGATGGAGGAAGGATCTGGATTGTCATCGTAATACGAACTTGCTCAAAAATCATAAAATCACGACTCGACACAATCACAATAGAGACCGGGGTAATTGTCTTATATTCGAAAAATGAATTTATTACTTTCTAATTTTCTCTATCTACGTGGCATGATATTTTAATTAGATATATGCATTGAAGTAGGGCTGATCTTCCAATTGAATAGTCTCAACGGCAAGAAAATCCCGACAAGAGGAGGAGAAGAATGTCGTTAGTTGCTGAACACACCATGTGATAGTGTCCATCGTCCCAAATGCAATCTGGCCATTCTAATTTGGTTACCGTTTGTGTGATCTCTAAATAATTTGTCTTATTTTGTGTTACTCGATCATCACACCATTCTATTCGCGCGTCCACGATGCTCGAAACATGCTCCTATGATCCTAGAGAAACTGTTGTCTTGAACACTCGGGTGGACGTATATTGAGCTCAGAGAAAATGTCCATAAACGCTTCGAAATCCAATAAGTTCAACTAAAAAAATTTCAGAGGGTACTAAAATATGATTCTATTGGTCAATTAGTCAGTACTCATTATGGAGCTCGAGATGAGGTCTCTTTTAGTAGCTCTCTAAACTATGAAGTATGCAAAGGGAAAACAACGTGATTACTACATTGGTCGTTGCTCACAATTAGTGACCATTTTTTAATTATTCCTCCTCAAGTCATTGGGCGAAATGGAAACTAAAAGTATCATATATTGTTACATTATTGGCAAGTTGAAAAGCTGGTAGCTACCTGGAATCTCACTTAGATAATGTAGCCCATAACTCTCTAGTCTTCCCACTTCCATTTGTATCAATTTAATAATTCCACAGTTAAGTCCACATCATGGATTTAAGCATCATTAACGAATCAAGACTGTCTTGTAATTGATACTTTTGATAGCAGCCTGGATCTAAACTTGGGGAACAAGATCTTGTGCTGGATTAGGTACTCAACCCACTATGATTAGCTGGATCCTCCCACCCCACAATTTCTCTTATGCCTAACTTCACCATGGAGTCTTCTGCAACAAGGAAAATGCAACTTTTTAAGAGCTTTTTTCCGCAGAGGGAAAAATAAAAGGAATGATTTGATTCATTATTGTCAAAGACTTACAAAAGGTCCGAGTGTAACACAAAAAGCATATACATGAACCTTATCATCTCCAGATTCCCCCCTTACAGAAAAAGAGTGGAGGCCAAAGTTTGTTAGCAGAATGGAGCATTCTTCACTCCCATACTCAATCTCATAGTAGCTACATAAATGGGGAAAAAGGAAGATTCTTTCTTTCTTGCCATATCGACTCAGCCACAAGGGAAGATGAAATTTTACCACCGATATTGTAAAGTTCTGAACAGCGTTCAGAAGAGAGACTCGGTTCTTTCTGGAAGTCCTTGCGTCCACAGGATCTGAAGCTCTCCTCTCTTTGTTGCCAGCGTCAAAATAGTTCCTGCGACATTCGCATTGATACCGAATTCAATTGTGTTAGTGAAGATGCCAGGATTGTTTCTTCTGCATTTCCAATATAACAGCATTTTTTGTTATTATTACCGAGGGTGAATGGGACGATGTAGAGCAGTGCTGGTTGGCCATGGCCATCCATCAAGTAGAGTGCAACATATGTGACCAGAAGACCTGTTCAGACAATAATAATGCCAGACATTGGATAAAAACTGATGAACCGGAGATAACAATAGGTTTCTTTCTTTCTTGATCGTTAAAGTCATGGTGCCATACCTAATCCATAAGCGACAATCGTGTACAAGAAGTATCCAGCTAGAAGACCCTTGCGTGCCAGCCAATCGTACCTGCATGGATAATTGAAGTAACAACGAAATAATAAAAACACTAAGCAAGATTCCATTCATATTTAAGCATGTACTCAGGTTTCTGCAGAATAAATTTCTGGTTTCGTGATTTATTTTTCGAAATATCAAGCTTTCCACAGAAACAGAGACGATTTGAAGTAGGAACCTGAGTGAAAACACCACGAGTAACCCAGGTAGAAGTATGTCACCGAAACCTATGACACTGTAACCACCCCAAGGGTCCAAGAAGCGTGGTATTTTCAAGAGCATTGGAATGCCATCCTCTCCACTATCACCACCACTGGCTACCTACTGTAACAGAAAAGCCAACAAAATCAAATTGTGAATAATGTCTTACCAACACGACAGTGAAGGCTAAAACTTAAAAGGCATCTTGCATTTGACAGTGTATGTATTACAAGGCACTTACCGCAATCATAACACTAACATTGAACAGCTTCTCAGACACAAACACCCAAAAGATGTCGTACAAGAATGCACAACTGAGAAGCACAGTGCCAACCTGATAATTCACAAGTCGTCCAGATTGATATCAGTAAAGGCTCAGTATCATAATAATGCTAGCCTACAGAAGCATATGGTGGGCAGGTAATTAATCAAAAGAAATGCTGGACTTCAATAGCATGATACAATAAATTACCAACATTATCAATGTAAAATCAGTAATAAAATGTTGTTTAACATCATAAGCAGACTTTGCTAAATAAGTTAGTAATAGGTACTTTTCTTGACCAGTGATGTTAACCTTAAATGTACAATCATACAGTCGGCTAGGTATCTCTATCACTAGGTTGACCCCTAGGGTTAAGTAAGATAATATATCTTATTATTGCATAGAGGAACCATAGGGTGGGATAAAATATATAGCCAGTTAACCATTCACAACTTCTGCAGCAGAGCAAACAAACCTAAATATAGTACCTTGAGATTTGGAATTCGGACAACTTGAAGAACGGTTACTATTAGAGCGATGCCCTGATTAAAACAACAAAATGTAGAAATTATTAAATTTTGGGACCCATATGATAAATTCTGCAACAGACTAGGGGATATTTAGATCTGCCTGCCCTGCAATAGTGAGATGTACATATGGACGACATACTAACAACAGATCATGAAATTCTTTGTATGCTTCACCAATTTTTGTACTTCAATCTAAACTAGCAATCATAAATAATTAAATATACATGGTGGCAGTTACTTTTTTGACGAACATAATATGGTCATTCCATTTCCTAGACCATTTATTTAAGAGGTTGTAGATTTCAGCCGCTAAGAGCTCTAAAACAATATATCAACAACAAAGATGGCAGACAGTACCTTTCCCCTCACTAACAAACCTTACCTCTTGGTCAAACAAGTTCTATAACGCTTTATTATGCAGCTAACAATTTTTCTTTAGTAATCATGAAATGAATATAAGAAGTATAAAACAAAAGCTGGCCAGCCAGAGGTCATTCTTTTGAATGGAACTACCCAACTCCTCATACTTACTTTTCCCAATAAGCAATGTTATCATCTTGAAGAGCAACTTTATTGAAGTTATTAACATCTGATCCCTATAGGCTCGGATTACGTCTGATGTAATGTCATATACCTTCATTTCACAACCCTCTGAGACTTGCTTTACTATTTCATGACCCAATTACTAAACAACCTGCCCAGGTATTAAAAGCTCGGGTCATGTGCAAACTGGAATCTGTTCTGCGTCTTTACTCTTTAATTTAGCTAGTAGCTAGATGAAGCCCTTCCTTCCTCTTAATAAATAGGGTGACGACCACAACAGAATGAGAAATTATTGGTACTCAGCAAAATAATGCAAAGAACTTATTATTATTAATTTATTATTACTATTATCATTATTATTACTAGCTAAAGAAGTTTTACGCTGTCATATTTCCTCTAACAATACTAATCAAACTCTACTAATGGCTATGGTTCTCTGAAGCCTTCAATGACCGAAAGAGATCAGCATACAAAGACGAGGAAATAGTGAGGATGCTATACTTACAAGCACATCTTGACCTATCCAGGCAAAGGAGGCATTGCGATAAACAGCCCAAACAACAGCGAAGGCAATGCAGAATGGAGAAACCGCCAAAGTTAGGTATGAGAAAGTTCCCAAAACAGGTATATTAAGATATGAATCACTGGCACTCTTGAACCACCTGCACAAATTAGTTTGATAATAATTATAAACCATGCTATATAAGAATTAAGAACTTATTGACAACCATGGAAAGTCAGAGCTCTAAAACAATCCATATCATCTTAAACCAATTGACAGAAAAATACTCTTCGATAACTATTAAAAAGGGGTAAGGAAAATGCTTGATATTGCATGAATCAATTAAGCTAATGATCATCACAATTTCACAGTTACAATTTCACAAGCTTTTAATTAGCTAATCCCACTCGTCAACGAAAAGTAGCTTACATGAATTCACAACATAGTATGTATCTGAAAATAACATGCATGATAATGTCGTACCTTGACAAGAAAGCAACCAAGCAAGTTAGCAGACCCTGCAAGCACATTGAGCCACAGTTAATGAGAGATTAAAAAAAGAAGAAAGTAGCTTAAAGAAAATTCATACCCGACAGATGTATATATATCAACGGTGTACAAGAACTGGAACTTAGATGTCATTGAAATAAAGAAAAAAAGGCAAACAAGTATGTCAGCGAAAACAAATGGGGGAAAACCGTACCTCAACCCCACCTATGCAGAAGAGAATCACCAAAAGCTCAACGAACCAGTACGACATGAACTTATAAAGCAAGACCAAGAAGCAGGAAGCAACGACCACAAACAGCACAGCGGAGGTTGTACTAATGTCCACAATACTGCTGGCACCAGATTTTGTATCAGAAATTTCTTCCACAGCACGCTACAAGACGATTCATAAAGGAGCGAGTTAGACAAAAATGAAGCCCAGTGCTTGCTGATAGAAAGTGTTAAAAGACCACCCTCAACAGCTTTTCTTCTTCAGCAGCAGATTCTCTGGCACTCCACGCAGACCAATAGGATGCACATAAAACAGTGCCAACAGCCATCAGCCACAGCAAGACTTCAGCTAAATCAAGTAATGGCCTCTCAGGAGAGTACAGCTGGACAGACACTGTAAATGCAAAGAGAAGAGAGTGCACAGAGTTGCTGTATTAGCACTAAATGTTTCCATAAAAAGAGTAGTCCACATGATAAACTGTTACCACCTACAAAATCAAGATCGGGTCATGATAAACGAGTACATATTTGAAGGAAAAGGTTTACCTGACGAATTGCCCGATAGCAGTTTTTCCAAGAACACACCAGCATCCTTAGGGACCATAACAGCAGGTATGCGTATATCTAGATCAGTTTCATCTGGTCCACAGATCATCTCATAGAGCTCTGACAAAAAGAGAAAAGGTGGGTGGGAGCTTCAGACAAACAAAACTGGGGATATTAACTGTAGAGCACACCTCGCATCCTCTAATTTGTAACACCTACATGATGAAAAGCATTGACAACATGCATCACATAAACTGTTGTAGATGAACACTCACCATTCTCGTCATTTATTATAATAACAGCAGAAGCCCCTGCTGCCTGTGCATTAACAGCTTTAGTAATGAACGTGCAATTGCCGCGATCAACCGCAACAACATCTCCTGCAAGCTAACAGCACATGGAGATATTGGCCTTGTGGATGATTGATAAAGGCGTACTGGCAATACCATTTTAAGAGAAAGATTTCTCAAGATAGATTTAACATAGAACCTGATTCTTGGGTAGTGTACAACAATTTTGGGGATCTGAAAGAGTGAGATGAGTCTTCTTAGCCTTTTCCTTCTCTGGCCCAACAGTAGTGCCGAATCTGGCGCCAACACCAGCAAATTCAGCACCCTCTTGTCCGTTTACAAAAGTTTGGACTTTAACCTAACACAAAGAAATCACAAGATCAACCGTTGGCCCCCTCAAAGAAGCTCCAAACCCAATGACTCAATTTCTGCCAGTAATTACTCCACCGATCGGAAAGAATATGGAATCACACAAAGTAAGCAAATTTGATGAAACCTAAACCTGGTAGCCTATCAATGTTCTGAGTTACACCTGATTATCTCGAAGAACTGAATAACTGAAGACTACATAATAATATCCATCAGTTCACCAAATAGAACTGCAAACTAAAGGAATTTCAGAAGTCATACAATCAGACACAGAAATGCGACCTGGAACAACCAATGTCAAAGTTAAAATCTTCATCTAACTCCCATCACGAGTTAACCGACCCACGAAAGAAAAGTTCAAGCAATCGACAGTTGAAGCAAACAAACCCTAGTGAAGGAATCAAAGAAAGAAGAACTACCAAATAGAGACAATGAAGCATTACGAATTGATCAACTAAGCTTGCTACAAATTTAACTTACCAGGGTAAAGACATTGTCACAGCCGGGCTTCTTTGGAGCTGAATCATCATCATGAACTACATCCCCTGCCGAGATAAGAAGCGGGAAAGAGAAGAGGCAAATCAGAGCTGCAAGACAGAGTAGTGAGCTCAGCTTCTTCTGCAAATCCATGGAGTCCTTCTTCCTTCCTTCTACGTGCTCAGCCTATGCATCACAATTTCTCAGCGAAGAGAAGACTGTCGGAATAGAGAAACTAACCGAGACGGTTAGACAAAACGAATGGCTTTAGTTGGGCCCTACGGAATTATGGGCTTTGTTCGACGGTGCGAGAGGCCCGGGTCTGTTTCCTTAGGCCTAAAGATAAGAACTAAATTTGAAAGAACTTTCGATTCATTCTCGCCAGTCGCCACCGGCCACCCATCACCGGCTCTCTTCCTTCATCACCGATCATTCCCCCCAAGCTCGGATTTTAATTCCACTCCGGTGAGTCTCCTATTTTCCTACCCCTATTTGAATGTTTTAAGGGTCTGCAATTATATACTCATTTGAAGAGCAAAGCTGATAATTTCTTCATTGTTTGCTCTTTGCTTGCACAGGAAATATTTTTTAGAAAGGTACAATCTTGTGGTCTTCCCCTGTGCCGCCATGATAGTGCAATCTTCTATGGCTTCATGTACGAAGCACATTGTCCGCCTGAGGGGGCGAACCCAACACATGGGCTCAAATGTCCTGGAAATTGTTTCCAAAGGACAACCCAGTTCCTGTTCTCTGTGTTTCACTGGAAAGCGGAGTAATCATCAACAATCACTGACTGTTAAGAGTTGGGTTAGTGCTAGAAGTTCTACCAGGAGATATTTGAATATCTCATTGCCATGCCAAAATGTGAATATGGGCCTATCAATGTCAAGACAAGGAATCAAGGGTAACATGGGGACTTTGTCATGGTCACAACAAGGGTGTGTATCTAGTGGCTGCTTAGTATTTGGCCTCTTCGTTTGTTGTTGCTCAAATTCCGAGCCCACGACCCATGCTCAAGCACCAATGGAAGAAGGACCGTGTTTTAAAACCACCTCCAATGGAAGGAAAGTCTATACTGACTATTCAATTACTGGTAATGCTCCACATGGACTTGCCAATATTCATGTCATTTGTTGCAGCACTAATTGAACTTTACTTCAATTATCTTATGGTTAATGTTAGGAGTGTCGTTCTCAATCATGTGCAGGAATACCTGGAGATGGAAGATGTTTGTTCCGGTCTGTGGCTCATGGGGCTTGCGTACGAGCTGGAAAATCGCCCCCGAGTGAAAGCCTTCAGAGAGAATTAGCAGATGACTTGCGTGATAGAGTGAGTTTCTCTCTTGGAAATCCCAAATTGGATACCTAACTAAGCAAGAACATCCCTGTATCTGTACAATATATGTTTTCATTGCTCGTCACACTATGTAGACTTAAGACTTGATATCTCAATTTGCTGACTTTGTATTGCGATGCAAGTCCCAAACAATGATTCATTACTTTCAAACATTTCCTGTCAGTTCTGCTCCTTGTAGCATTGCACCCTCTGATCTACTCTTATGTGGTAAAATTTGTCAGATTGCGGATGAATTTATCAAGCGAAGACAAGAGACGGAATGGTGAGAAGTTGACAATTTTACCTAGTTCATGGCTGCTTGATACTCCGACTATTTTTCATTGTAGAATTATTTGACAGAAGTCAGAATTAAGATTGCTCTGTTGACTTGGATGAAGATGTCTATTTGCAAATACTACATGTTCTTGAAGTTTACTTCCTCTACCACAAAATATGTACGAAGTCGTTACGTTCTTCAGTTTTAAAGCTGATTGTATTTGCATGTCGTAATACTTGTTTGTTTACCTGAGGAATCAACAGAACCTATACAAATATCATTATCTCTGTGTTGTTGCAAGGCTCTATTCAAACAACTTCATCGTCTCTGTCAGGTTTGTAGAAGGCGATTTTGACACTTATGTGAAACAAATAAGGAAGCCACATGTATGGGGAGGCGAGCCAGAACTGTTCATGGCGTCCCATGTTCTAAAGTAATTCTCTATTTTATGCTAAAAGATCAGATATCGTCTATCTGATGCATGTATGTGTAGTGAGCACCTGCAGTTGTGTCCAGGGCATCGTGTTCATATGGTGTTGGAATTGAGCTAGTGGATGTGGAATATCTGGAGGTGCAAATGAGAGAAACTGCCGAATTTTGCAGGGTTATCTTGCCGAAATTCAACTCAAGCGTTGTAGATATAATAAACGAGTGACTGAAACTGCGGATTGGATCTTGAATGATATATCATCTAGTAAGCAAGGAGTGAGAAAGGAAGGAGCTTATTGATGCTTGTGAGCTAGCTCCATGTTAACTCACAAGCTAGCTTTATATAGTCACAAGCTTTGTTTGATCTTTGAGTAATTTTTTAATTATTATAATGGTGATCTTTGAGTAATTTCTGATCAAGACAAGCTGAAGATGGAACTTGTTCAAGCTGGAGTGCTGTTGACTTAATGTTTGCAGCCTTTAGATTGTCGGTTGTGCTGATTTTGTTACTGTCATTATGAAATTGATTAGAATGATTAAATTTGATGCCTTCTACTACTGACTTTGCTGGTGAAAACTGCACGCAGGATGCCCATCAGCGTGTATATGTACGATGCGGATGCCGGTGGACTAATCTCGATTGCAGAATATGGTCAGGAATATGGCAAGGACAACCCAATTAGGGTTCTTTACCATGGTTCTGGTCACTATGATGCATTACAAATTCCTGGAAGGAAGCATGGTAAATCTAGACTGTAGCTAGTGTTTTGCGAGTAAATGCTAAAAGAAAGAAATTGTCACTATCTCCTTTCTTTATACGGTGTATTTGGTGGTAAAAGCAATAATGTATTGGGAGATTGTATCAACCGATTGTAAAAGTATCAAAATCATTCCTTTCATTGTTTAGACATGAACAAGCACAAATGGATTCATTCACCATTTTCAATTTCCTCTGTAGTTACTGATACATAAGATGTCTGCAAAATAATCATCTAGATAAAACCTTTCAGGCTCCCTGTTATGTAAAAAAGAAGATTCCAAGTGAAGAGAATTGAGCGTCTGACCTTCACTTTTGCCTGTGAATTTATTCACTGCTCCATAATACCATAAACCCTACTTTTGGAACTGGAAACCATCTTGAAATGCCATGCTTCTCCCATGGATGTTGTTGGGAATGTGCTGCCCTGGCATGGTGGAGTAGCTCCCACCTGAAAACCTTATTCCTCCCTCAGCCATCCTCAAACCGACACCATGGTTGGTTTCCCGAGGCAGACCTCCCAATCCCAGTTGACTCTGGATGGTCAAGTGACCATTCACAGACTGATGAAGGCCAACTGGAAACCCACTTCCAACACCTGGAGATGACATGCAGTTGTCTCTAAAGTAGCTCAGGTCCCTCGAACCCAATGGTGTGAAACTTCTGCTGCTGCTGCTTTCTTCTGGCTGAAGCAACCTCTGGAAGTATCCAAGGTAGCTTCCTTGAACCCTAGTTTGAATATTGCTGTTGAATGAAAGTGCAGCGTCAAGCCAACGGTTTTCACTTGCATCATGGGATTTGTTATTGACTGAAGGCAAAGTTAAGTACGTCGAAGAAGTTGCCTGTCTAGATGGATTATTGTAAGTAAAACTTAGCGGTTCAAATTCCAACCTTCCAGCTTTGTCCTTCACACTGGATGGCAGTGAAAGAATGGCTTGGCTGCAGTTAACTTGTTTGTCTTCAGCAACCCTTTTCCCCTTTCTAGACCTCCTTGAGGCTTCACCAGCTGAATGGTTAGCACTTATCCCCAATACAATCTTTGGCTGCTTCTCTGGGATAGAATCTGGTTTGGCAAATAATCCAAAACCTTCTTCTCTGCCTTCCTCTTCAGTTGAGCTCACTGGCACAATTGCCATGCTGTAATCATTTGGATTCTCGGCTGGCAAGTTGCAGTAGTTGTAAGCATCAGAAGGCCTCTTGTTCTTATCTGATCTTTGTGGTGTTACAACTTCACAGCTCTGATCTCTTTTAAAAGGCCAGAAATGATTTTGCTGTTGCTGTTGAATGTTCGCCTGCAGAGTCCTTTGATTCTGCATTCTAGTGTTATCCTCAGAACTTGGCAGGTGCTTCTGCTGCTGCGGCTGAAAATCAGTTTGGTGCTGAAACTGCTTGCTCAGCAGAAGGGTCTGGTACTGTGATTGAGTGCTGGCCTCGAGAGAACCGTTTTGCTGTGGTAACTGAGAGCTCTTGCTTTGCCTCCTATCGAGCTCCAAAGCAACCTCCTCAGCAATTACTTTCTGCAGTTCTTCCTTCAACCATGTCAGCAGGTTGCCTCTTGTCGCCTTCATATCGTCCAACAATGAGCTCATATAATTCTTCAGCTCATTCAGCAAAACTTGCTCAGTAGCAGCATTACCATTACCATTATCATTACTCTTCTTCCTCTGCTGGTTGCCCCTTTTAGCAGGCACCGCTCTCATCTTCCTTTTGTTCTTAGCCGCATCATCTTTCGTTTTACTACTACTAGTAGCTCTCCTCCTGCTGCCCTTTTTCTGGATCTCATTGACATCATTAGCTTCACCATCATCATCATGGTCATTGTTATCATTAGCAGGACCTAGAGTTGAAGCCCGTTTAGGCTGCTTTAGAGATGGCTCATCATCACTTGAGCTCGACTCATTGCTTGAGGAATCAAGCTCGTTGTCGTCCTTCCTCCTAAATGTCCATCGGTGTTGGAACTTCTCTTCTTGTTCCTCTCCAATTGCGAAGGTCGACGGCATTCTTTTATGGGAAAACCCAGTATTGTTTCTCTCTTAACAATGGTTAGCAGCTAATCAGCCTGCAGTCAGAGGAACTATTGACATGATCCAGGATTACATTTAGTCTAGATAACCAAATTGCAGGTCAAACCCTTCAGAGAGAGAGGCTGTTGGAGGCTAAGGAAGGTAAATCATAGGACAATACAGAATCAAATGGCAACTATAACAAGCCCTTGGGCATGTTCAGAGAAGTACCAGTCACAAGTACACTTGAAGCAAACTACAAGTACAACTTCCTTCTAGAATGCCATGTTGCTAAAGAATGGAAAAAAGAGATGGACAGATTACTTGAGTCAAACATTTAGGGGAAAGCAACAACACTTAACAGCCCCAGGAGACCCTATTTCTGAAAGTAAACTGAAAAGCATTCTGCTTCTGAAATTCAAAACTCTCATTTCGTAGGAGAAAGATGAGAAATATCCTAAGAGCTTCACTGTCCTAAAGGAGAGATTCAAAGAAGAAAAGGGCCAAGGCATTCCTGATTCTGAATCTCCAATAGCTGTTCAAATCAGATGACAAAGCCAGACAAATTTTGACTTGAACGAAAAAGTGCAGAACCTTGCTCAATGATCACGCCACACAAAAGACCCTAAAGGCTGAAGACTTACCCTTTCACAAGCATTTCAATCACAAGCAGTAAACCCAGAAACCAAAATGAGCACAAAAAAGGACTGATGAAATGAACTTTGCTTTGTTGGCAGAGATGAAAAAGGAGGAGAAACTGACCCTGAAACCAATAATGCCTGATGCCCTTTTGCTGAACCAGGACGCCTTTGGTTTTTAATTTTTACCTCTTCTTTCGCCACCACCAATCCGAAGTGCATTTCTTTCTTCACCCACCAGAACTGAAGCTTTTTTCTGGCAATTTATGCCTTCTGTTTTCTGGTCAGGGTCAAAAAAGGAAGAAAATCATGCGTTATTTTGTTGACCCACTCTCTCCTCAGGTTGTATTACAATCTGTACAACGACCCAGTTGCCATTTACAGAGATCAGGACAATTAAGTTGGGATGGTTGGCAAGTGACAGTGAAATAGGGGAGAAAAGTAACCGAGAAACCCAGATTAAAGATTAAATATTATACCTTTTTTTTGCTCCATGCTATTGATTACTTGTATTTGTAGCATTCAAGTTCCAAGCCCTATTAGCTATTCCGTGTGTAAAATGTGATTTTCTGCCATTGGAGTTTTCGGAATGCCTGCAGCTTGTTATGGACCTTCTTTAAAGACTCATCTGCAAGCAAACGGCCCCTTAATCTCATGATACTGAGAGAACAACGTTTCTGCTTGCTTTCGCAGAAATAGCTCACTTTTTGGAAGGAAATCAAACTTGGGAAGGAATTTAATTATAGGCATTGAACAAGAAAGGTAAACTATCAGCAGATCAAGCAACATTTCTCTCTCTAATCCTTGGAGATGGTGGCGAATGATGAACTGGCTACCATGGACTTTTAATACCACAATGAGAAGGGATTTGTTTGGGCAACAGATGAAACTCGTATGCCAAGAAAGGTTGATTGCAACTTGCCTCTTTAATCCTAACCAGGGAAGTGTCTGATCATAACAACAAGAAAAAATTGCATCCTAAGTTCAGCTGTTAAGTGAACCAGGAAGCTCAAAATAATCCAATCTTGAATAATAATGCAGTGAGAAGATTGACCTTGAAAGCAGGTCACCTCGCTTCCTAGCCATAATCAGTAAAAAGCATTGATCTTTTTCATTTTTTTCCAGCCAACGCCAGGGTTCAAGATGGCTCTGAATACACATAGAAACTGTCCCCGTGTGTCAATATCATCTGTCAAGAACTAATTACTCTACATTACACAACATATTTGTCTACAAAACTGTGATCTACATCCTTTCCCACCACGATCTGCTTCCCTACCTTCATATGGCAGCTGTTAGGTTCTGATGGTGCTGAAGGGCATCATAAAACCTGCAGTCAGAAGAAGAAGAAGAAAACGAAGAACGGAGGATGGACAAAGTTAAGCTTTCTAAGATAGTCATTACTGCACAAGAATTCTTTTAATGTTGAAAGAATCCTCACCAAATTTCATTGATATGCATATGCATATGGATCGTTATCGTCAGAGTTCAAATCCGCCAAATTCTCTTCTGTGTATGATATTCCACATTCAGAGAATTAGAGATTCTGGTTCTGTTTTTATGGGAAGTTTCATTCCTGCAGAGCTGCCTGCTCCATGGCACATGATTCTCAAGCTTCAGGCTTACTTGCACCAGAAGTTTGGTGACGAAGTCAATGGCTTTCCGGAAGCCTGCAAAGCCAAAAACATAGCCAAAGCATAGAATCAACTCGTTAGAGGACTAATAAGTGAACATTTGACAAATCGAAGTTAAACCAATTAAGCTAATTGAACCATTTACTACCTCCAGGGAAATTCACTTGTATCGATCCCTGCTTGGTGGAGTTCGTCGACATACTGCAATGCTTCCCGGCACTCCTCCCGATCATCAAAGAATTCGTTCTTGTCTCCTTCTATCTGATTTGTCTCGTGACCTTTACCCGCAACAACCTGCCCGGTAAGAAAGTTTAAGTAGTTCAAACACAAACAGAAGATATACTTGTGAGAAGAATGATTAAAAAAGATCTTAATTAAAAACTTACAACCACATCGCCTTCTTCGCCCATAGCAACAGCACAACGCACGGCTACACGTCTAATATCATGTAGAAAAAGACGATGGCCATTTGGGAGAGGAGGGTAATAGTCATTCTCCCCATGTTTCAAATATTCCTGCATTGTCCATCCTACTCCAGCTAGCATGTCATCCAAGATATCCACTGGAAAATAAAAATTAAAAGAACAATACATAAATAGATAAATAACTGGCATGAGTTTTTATACCAGTACATCTATGGCAGCACCCTTTGAGGTTGAATGCACTTACATGGATCTTCGCCTCTCGGATTGTCTGATGTTAGCATAGTTACATCACTTTTATCTGTTGAGATTTTTGTCAACAGTGGCCTTTTGCCTCTTTCGCTCTCGCCACAAGATCCAATAACTTCAAACCGAGACAAGTAGGTCAGCAAAAAAAAAATGACTTTATCCTCAAGCAAACTTTAGTAAGGAAATGACAACTCTTATCATGAACTAGCATCCTCTTAGATCCAAATCACACAAAGAGTTTTAGTATCCAGTAGCTGTTGCGGGAAAATGAGAAGAACGTTAATATTAGTCACCAGGAAAGGAATCTTACCAGTGATAATTCTCCTAGGCCCAAGCTCCCTCACTGAATCAAGCAATCTAGATAGCCCATCTGGAGTACGAGCATAGTCCACAATTACCCCAAACGCCTGCTCCTCATCTATTAGCTCACACCTACCAGGTACTGCATCAATCTCTTCGATACCTCTTACAATATCTTCTAATGGAGCCCCAACAGCAATCCCGACAGCCACAGCAGCTAAGATATTGTAAATGTTGTGCTTCCCAAGTAACCCTGAGGAAATTTCCAATATCCCCTGGGGGGTATTAACCAACACTTGTGTCTCAAACAGCGAGAGCTCAAACTTCAAGGGATGAACATCAGCACTCTTATCCTCCATTGCAAAGGTTACAACAGGCACATCTTGATTCCCTAGTGACCTAAAGAAAGGAGCATTTGGGTCATCGATGTTAATGACTTTCCTATGCCTCTCTGGATCAACCATCCTAGAAAAAAGCTTAGCCTTAGCATCCTTATATTCTTCATCAGTTCCTGGGAACTCAGAGTGATCTCTTGTCAAATTGGTAAACACAGCAATATCGAAGTCTACCTCATTGCACCTCCCTAATGCCAACCCATAAGAAGATGCCTCCACCACTACAGCTTCTGTCCCATTATGATACATCTTAGCCATCAAGTTCTGAACCAAGACAGAATCTGGAGATGTGTTTGGAGACTCCAATTTGGTATCGCCATGTAAATAATAAGAAACTGTACTCAACATCCCAGTTCTCAACCCCATTGCTTCATACATCCCTTTAATCAAATGTGCTGTGGTTGTCTTCCCATTTGTCCCGGTTATCCCAATTACAGACATATTTTTGGAGGGATACCGATAAAAGGCAGCAGCTAGAGAAGGCAAAACAGCATTGGTATCTTCAACTATCACCAATGCTTTACACCCTAATGTCTCCTCTATATCAATCTCTTTACTGGCTACAACTGCAACAGCTCCTCTCTTATCAGCTTCACTCAAATACAAATGTCCATCAGTTCTCTTCCCAACACAGCAGACGAACAAATCACCAGCAGTGACAAGTCTGGAATCATGTTGAATTCCTGTAATCTCTACCTCCAAATTGCCAGAAACTGAAAGAGGAACCACTTTGCTATCATCCAAAAGCTCAGCTAGACTCATCCTGAACTTTGGTTCAACAACATTCACCTTCAATTTTCCAAAACTGTCGAAATCGAGGTCGAAAGACTGGTCCGAAGATAACCCAGTATCGGATTTACCGCCGGGTACATCAATTCCCTCTTCAAACCCAGTGGCTTCATCCCCATCTGAGTCAGCATCCACAATTCTAACACCTTGTAATTCATCAATCTCTTCCAAATCCACCACTTCCTCTGGCTCCAGCTCCTCAATTCCACTAACCACATTTCCGTTTTCCCCTGCTACAGATTCTTTCGTAGGGTTCGGTTTCAACAGCCCCTTCTTAATGAATTCTTCCCTTTTCAGGGCAATAGCTTTATCAATCTCCCCAAACAAGTCGTCCCCAGAGTTCTCGTAATCCAAGGAGTTAGAACTTACAGAAGGGTCTTCAGATTCAGCCAAGGCATCGAGATAATTGGATTGATGCTTCTTGAAATCCTCCTCCTGGACTTTGCGAGCTCGGTCCGCTTGAATGTGAATCTGCGCGAACTTGTTGATACCGTGAGCGGTGTCCTCCGGCGCTTCGGGTGGGTCGTCGCCGGACGGTGTTGGATAGTACTTGCCGTCGGGTCCAATAGCCCGCGGGCGGTAGTGAGAACGGAAGTGGGCTTTGGAGAGTGATAGAAATGGTTGATGGGGAATGATGGGCTTCCGGGAGAAGTGAGATGGGATGGGAGTGAGAATTGGGAAATGGGTAGAGAAAGTGAACGCCATGGATGGAGAAAGAGCGGGAGAGTTGCAGAGGGAGGAAGGGTTTAAGCGATGGGATGAACAAGGAAAGGCACGGGGATAAGGGAGGTTTTTCCATCCTGTTTTGTGTTTTTTTTTTTTTTTCCCCTAAGCGGATTAGATTTTCTTTTTTTACTTTAACTAATCCGTTACAAAGAGAACAAAGAACCAACACTGGTTCAACAAGCGGATTAGAGTAGACGGTTAATTAGTTTGTGTTAATCTATAAGTGGAAAAATGGGGAGGGTTACAAATGTCTCTCTCTTGCAATGTTTGTCAACTCGCGGGCTGCTCCGGATATGGTCGAGCTAGTAGGTTAAGGGTCACTCGATTTAGTCCGAAAATATGGAAAGAGTCACTATATTGTACTTATCTTGATAAATTATATAAAATCTCATCTAACATATGGGTTATAACATATAATCTTCCACCAAAATAACATGTCGTACTTAGATCCAACATATGGTGAAAATTCACACACACTTATATAACATTTATAATATATTCAAATGTTCAACTTAGGATTCCAAAGATTGAGTTAGCTGAAAAGAAAAATCGGAAAATAGGCACATTTCGCAAACCAAAGAAAAAAATGACACAATTTGACCTCCAACCCGGTACCTTGTGACGGTCGACCCGACGTGTGCGTGCGGTCCGTTTTTCTCACGGGACCAGGGTCAAAGTGGGTCGATCCGCGGGTTGACAACCTGGCTCCTTGGTTAGTGACGCACGCCGGCATTAACATATCATTAGTTGAACCTAATTTAATTGGTACAGATCATAAAATTTGTGAGAACATCATAGAAGAATTATTGACCAATATACAATCTATAAGAAAAATGATTGTGTTTTAGTGAATTCAATTAATAAATTTATCATTTATAAAAGTTAAATGTTGATGTAATTTGTTGGATTATAAACGTTTAAATATCAAAGTTAAATGTTGTACTAAAATATGAGTATTTGTAATTTTATTAGGAATTGAAATATGAATCGTAAGTAAATTATTTTTCAAATATGTTCCATATATGATTAAATTCATTTATTGTTAATAAATTTTCATTTTCTTGCATATTTGGTTAAATCGGTACGTAATGATCATATATCGCTGATCAAAGTATTCTACCTGCTAAACCGGCCAAAGAAGTTTGTTCACTGTGACAAGGTATACAAAGAGAACATAGCCCATACATGTCTATGTGTGTATAAAATAAAGGGCTAAGATCAGGTGACTGGGGGGTCCCTTAGTCACATGACTAAGTCAATCTCCACCCTTGCACCTCATTAGAATCCAATGGCTCATATTAATCCAATTTAATAAAGGACAATATAGTAATTGCATGATTATTTAATTTATTAATTTATATAATAAACAAAGAAAAATAAATTTGTCCGTTGCTACCTTCCGACTTCCGCGGTTGCCCCGGCCGGAAAAATTTCCCGGCGACTCCTCTAACCGGCGGCGTCTCCTCTGTCCATTTCTATTAATGGTTGCTGTAAATGAAATGTCCCAGGTGAGAGAGAGGGTGGGATTTTTAATCCCCCACCCATTGATCTGTGCGGCCAGAGAGAGAGATAGAGAGAGAGATTTTGTATTGTTAGTATGCTTTGTATTGTTTGTCGGTTTATTTTGTAATGTTTGTACGCTTTGTTATTTTGTAATGTTTGTCGGTTTTTTTTTGTAATGTTTGTACGCTTTGTTATTTTGTAATGTTTGTCGGGTTTTTTTGTAATGTTTGTAAACTTTGTTATTTTTGTGTACCGTGTTTATCATTTTGTCAACCATGTTTGTAATATTTTTTATGACTAAAAAACAACCTGGTTGACTTTTGGATGGAACTCCTCTATATAGGGATGGAGCCTCCAAAGTCAACCCGGGTGTTTTTTCCAGTTCGTATGGATTGTCGGTCTAGTTTGTCATTTTTGTCCACCATGTTCGTAATGTTTGTATGTCTACAAAACAACCGGGTTGACTTTGAGACGGAGCCCTCTATATAGGGATGAAGCCTCCAAAGTCAACCCAGGTGTTTTTCTACTTTGTATGAATTTTTGGTCTAGTTTGTCATTTTTGTCCACCATGTTTGTATGTCTAAAAAACACCCGGGTTGACTTTGGGAAGAAGCCCCTCTATATATGGATGGAGCCTCCAAAGTCAACCCGGTTGTTTTTTCTTTTTGTATGGTTTGTATTGTTTGTCAGTCTAGTTTGTATTGTTTGTACAGTTCATACGTTTGTAATGTTTGTAAATCTGTTTGTATGTTTTGTCGCTCTAGTTTGTACTGTTCGTATGTTTGTATGGTTTGTACTGATTGTAAATCTAGTTTGTATACTTCGTAATTTTCCATAATACCCAAACTACCCCTGTCATTAATTAAATAGCTCTTCCCACTTTTTAACCATTGGATTGAAGTGTCCAGATCTAATGGCTAGAAAGGGCTTAGTCAAGTGACTAAGGACCCCATAGTCATGGGATCCGTCCTCTAAAATAAACCCACGTTCCCTCCCCGTTCGGACGAAACGGCCGGCCGGCCAGCCCTAGTTTGACTTCAAGAGGCGGGCTGAACATGGAGTGTTTTTCCTTTGTAGTTGCCAAACCGTAACAACTTCTACAACTGTGGAGAAACTGATGAGAATGAGAAGCACTACTAGCTAGCTAGAGCCTAGAGTATATTAAAAAGGCTAAAAGGAGATCCAAATCCACGCTGACCTCACCGAAACACCGAAAAACATTTTAAAAAAAAAACATGGCACATTCTTCTCCTCCTGCGTTCATCGTTGTTGGACTACTACTACTAGCAGCACCACTGATCATATACGTAAGCGGGGCGACTGCTGGAAGACTTGGAGCCGACGAAGGAGCGGCCGCGGCGCCACATTTCTGCTCCGGCCCTCCGGCGCGTGATTCCAACTGGCCGTACTACGTGGCCCAAGTTCTTTCTGCGTTGGAGACAACAACTCCCAACCGTCCGACGCTCTCTTACAACTGCGGCTACCCGGCTTACGCTACTGGCAACCCCGGCGGCTCCGCGATTTGTCACACGGCAGACATTGCAGACTGCGAGCAGTGTCTTTCCAACCTCAAGGCACAGCTCGAGCTCTGCAAAAATTACTCCGGCGGAGGACTTGACCGTATTGATTGTAACATGATGTTCTGGGAAATCCCGTGATTTTTCTTTCAATAACACGCTGCTGCGATCGCGTATGCATTTCCCGCAGGCGGGGGGGAATGGGTTTCAGTACTGAGGTCCATTAATTATTATCCAAGTGTTTAGCCCAACAGCTTTTTATTCAGGCCCATACCTCTTGTCAAATTCGAGTCCACTTGGCACTTGGTTCATAATTAACAAAGCGCACAAGTCTTCAACTTATACCCAAACTATGAAAAATGTTCACTTGGCCAACCGGATCGATGAGCCCGAGTCTAGTTCTATGATTAACATATGTGCATAATTTTGAGGATTACATGGGAATCCTTGTCGTTCGATTTCTCCCCCTCTGTCATTGTAGAGCCAAGTGCATGTGTTTCTTGAGCTATTGAAATCCTCGTCGATTCAACTCTTTTGTGGATTAGTCTCTATCATTGATGATACCACTTTACCTCTGTGTTATTTTCTTTTGCTTTTGTATTTTTGATATGGAAAATCCAACCTTATGTTACTTGCTTGCAACCTTCTTAAAGACCTCCACAACTGGATTGTGAGAAAATGGTTTGAACTATATACTTGGACTTTTTTCCACAACCTGAGTCATTTTGATAGAGTGATTGTCAATAATATAATGCAGAGTATCAAAACCTATAACCAATAATAAAGGACCTTGTATCCAAATATCTTGTCAACCTCTTTATATGTAAATTCATGAATTGACTTTTATTTGAGCAACGCAATATGTAAGAAAAAATTGTAGTATAAGATTCAGCGTTAGACAATGCTTAACACATCTAGTTGATTTAAGTACAATGTACGATGGACTTATGTGAACTCCGATCTCATAAGTTCGTTTGAAATGACATGTAAGAAAATAGTTAAAATCCTTACATGGATCTCACATCTCCCAACAACTCAAAGTACTATTTGGACCAAACAATTTTCAACAACCAACTATTGATAATTAACTAGAAACAGAGCCAGAGAAAAAGGTACACATATATATACCTACATTATCTAATCTGCAATGTGAAATGTGTCACCCCTAATTTGAATATTCTTTCGAGGGACCTAACACAAAGTAAACATTGCTTACTATTCTATCATTTCAATTCAACCTTTGCAATGCTTTCAGATCCACCAGTGCCTTTTAGTTGAATATGCGATCGTAACAGGCGAAAACAGGATGGCCGCAGAGAAGAAAAAGCTTTGGTGTACAAATAATGGTCATTACTACAAGAATACAACATCAACAAGCTACCAAAGCTAGTCTTAATTCGCCATGAATTGCATGACCAGAAATGCAGCCAGGGAAGCCGACTATATACGTGGAATAGTTTCAATTGAGTGTCAAAATCAACCCATCTAACTCCCGCCACAGAGACATTAAAAGGTCAATATGATAATTAAGAAAAATACGACCACGAGATATGTTGTATAGTATTAGCCGACCATGATTCATGAATCATGATGGATTCATGATATTATCCACTTTTTTTTGTTGGTAGAAATATTCCAATTTTGATCATGATCTGCTTAAAATGTTGAAATCATACATTTCATATTTATTTCACATCATCTTTAATAATTGTTTACACATGAAAACATTATTTTTCCCATAAAAAAATTATTATTATTATTATTATTATTATTATTATAATAGTATCTAAATTTTTTGTACATGATACAGATATGCATCTTCAAGACCGCAAGGAAGAAGTATAGTAACATCTAAATTTTTATAACATCACCGTTATAATATTTATGAATCTCATTCACTCGTGTACATATAGTGAAAACACACGAGCCATACCATAAGCAGACAATAAAAAACAACATATTTGTAAGGAAAGAAAAACACTGTACATTTTAAGAATCCACAAATGTTCTTGCAGTCAGTTGATAAGAAACGACAAAGCGAGGTATAAAGCCCGAATAAAAAAAAATAACCCAATCCCAATGATTCAAATGCACCTTATCATCTTATTCATGTACTCTGTGTTTCTGTTACAGAAACTAACTAATATCAGGGGTAGAGGTGGCAAATGGATTGAATTGGTGGATTGGTGGATTGGATTGGTGGATCCATGGATCAAATGGATTGGATCTAATGGATTGGTGGATTCATGGATTGGATCAAGTGGATTGGTGGATTATCCATGAATCCAAATGACATCCTCAACCAAGGACCAATATGTAAAATGTAAAAAGTTTAGGTACTAAAATGTCATAATGAAAAATTTTAGGTACCAAAACGTAATTTTCCATTGATATTTTTCGTATAAAAATTAAATTTTAGGTACTAAAATGTAAAAAATAAAAATTATAGGTACTAAACCGTAATTTGCCAATGATCCATGGATCCAATCCATGAATCCACCAATCCAATTGGATTTGGATTAAATGAATTGGATTAGGTGGATATTTTTAATGGATTGATGGATTGGATTGGTGGATTGGATTGAAATTGTCACCTCTAATCAGGGGTAGACCCACCAGCTTACTTGATCGACCTCCTCTAACAAACATATACCATACCACCCATTCCCATATGTTTCCTCTTTCCCTTTGTTTGCAAGGAAGGAAGGATTGTCCTTCCAAAGGGCTAAAGGCTGAAAGGGGATATCGATTGGAGGGCGATTGGGCAGTGTGCAAAATGGGCAAGTCGTCCAACCAAAGCCTCAAAAGGACTAACTGCATGCCCTACGGATATGATCATATGGGTGACGTGGTGACTAACTAAACGTTACCTACCTTACACAATCATCATATCAAATGTCCTCACCCACTATCCCCACAAATTCGGATTTGAGCACAAAGTACAATATCGTTATTTTTAACACGATTTGAGCACAAATTAAAGTACACTATCGCTAATATTTTACAAGCCTTGCTGATAATTGAAATTGGCGGGATGATATATACCATGTATCCATAGAGTTGGATGAGCTCATAATAGATATTACTTTGAGGAGTTTAAGTGTTGTTAACCGAATTTGGATTATTTTTAATATGATTCAAAGCATCTTATCCTAAAGCATCCAATAATCCATATCAGAGCAGAGTACAATGTTATCCAAATCATTATTCTCTACTCTGATACATCTATTAAGTGATAATTAACTAACATAATCTTCTTAACAAGGGGAAAAAGTAAAGGGAAAATTGAGAAAGAATTTAGATTTTGATTTGGGTGGTCACTCAATCGCATTTCTACTATATATTTTTCTTGAGTTATACTCACTATTATTGATAGGTTACAAATTGATTCACATATTTTTCATATATGAAGAAATATTTTTGGTGGGGCGGGTATGAGTATGGGTATGGGGCGGGGGAGACTTAAACCATACCCGCCCCATACCCATCAAACTTGTGGGTTTTACCCATACCCTCCCCATGCCCGGTCAATGCAGGGATTCCCCGCGTTGACTGGGTCGAAGGCGGTCGGATACCCGTGGGCATGGGTTTGATTGCCATCCCTAATTGCAATGAATTATAGAAGTCGTTAATCCTTGTATCTATGACCAATGCTAACTTAAAGATGACCCTAGCAAATACTTGTTATGAAGATAATCATTGCACAAACATCATGCTGGCAAGAACCAGTTGGTTGCAATAACTTGAGTTGTTGAGAGAGTTTCAATTATGAATCATATATTACTAACACACCCTCTCAAATGAAAATTCACTTAGAATAGGCTTAAGGTTTGCACATGACCGAATACCATGTGTTTAACAGAACATATGAGGGGTCACTAGGATTTAGTCACAGAAGGCTCTGATACTACGACAAACTAATTGATCCCAACAACTCAAATTATCAGAAGAGTTTCAATTATAAATCATATTCTATTTACTAACACACGCTTCAAAGATTGTTTAAATTGCTTTTCATAAAGAAAAAACAAAAAAAAAGTTGGCCATTTCTGTGTTTGTCAACTTATGTAAAGAGTACATGGAATCATAACAACATTAATGTTCAAACTTTAAATTTTTTGTTTTTGAAAGGAAAATCAAATTACACAAGAAACCATCTTGAACGATTAAGTACGAAGTTAATTTACTAATTAGTCTTTGAATCCAAACCCAACAAAGATGATTTTTATTTGGTGCGCGTGTTTGATTTTCATCAACCTTTCTCTTTTGTCAATTCCTAATAATGATTATAGGTTTGTTTTTCTCTGTGTCTCCTTTCTCTTTTTTGTCCCTTCTAATTTCTTTTTCGAACTCTTTGGGTGGAATTCGATGAGATGCGGACCTCTTCTCTTTAGCTTGCAAAGCAACCAAAATAGTGTCTCTACTTTGCCTTTATAGGGATTGAAAGATAGGTCGCCTAAAGCACAAGAAATTTAGAGCTCAAACTCATTTAAACCGACCACAAGTACGTGGCAATGGGAGAACTTAAAAAAAAAGGATGATTATCATAATTAAGATGTTCCTTCTCGTGATTACTTTCTTGTTAGAATTTTATCATTCGATTTCCAACATTCAGGCATAAAACCAACACAAGCAAACGGTTGAAACGTCAAAAATTTGAAAATTCGCAATAGATTATAACAGGCAAAGAGGCTGTAAGAAATTTGAAAACAGTGAAGAATGGAAATCGGAAAGCGATGGATGGCGTTTGGATTCTGAAACGCATTTAATTTGGGCAACAAAAATCCAAAACTCAACGATTGCATGCATACGTAAGGGCCCATGGGCTTTTTCGTCGTAGCTACCCAGAGTCTGACAGCATAGTCACGGCCACGATAAGCACAAGGTCCAGCCGGGCATCTTTAACGGCGTCGTATTCATCCCCGATTCCATCCATACTGCCCACCGTCCCGGTTCATGGCGGCAGCGAGCATCATTCTCTCCACCGCCCGACGGCGACACCCGAGTTTCAAGTTTCAACGCCGGAGTGCAACCGCATGTACACCTCTTTTTTTTTTTTTACAGTAAAGTACACAACGAGATGTCGCTCGATGGACGAATTTTCTTTTTGTTCATTTTCGTTTCGTATACGACAGTTACTTATATTTGATTCAATATTTCATGGGTGTTGAATTTTATTATCGAAATATTAATTTTTTTACATAATGTTCTATGGGTAATACATCAAAATCGGTTACTTAAACTTAATCCCTTAAAACTGACTTGCAACGATATTATAAAGTATGTACGATATCAAAGTATCAATTCTACATTCTAATCTGCCAGATCAAAAGGACGGGTAAGGTCAACAGAATTTTGAAATCCAGAGAGAAAAGTTGTTAATTTTCATTTTAGGAATCAGGAGAGAGTACAAAATGCTTTGAATGGTGAATTGTGTAAGGGAAGGAATTTGGAAGACTGGAGGGAAATATGAGAAATGGAAAAAAGGTATAGAGGACAGCAATCCCCCCATTCCTCCCTTTTGTTTTCCCTTTTTTCTATTTTAAATGAATAATAATAATTTTAATTAGATAATTGCTTTTCGTTGAATTTCAGAGGGTTTCCCTTGGAGTCACGTATCTGCAATTTGTTCATTTCTCCGGTCAAAATTAATTAATACATTTTATGTATTTATTTTAAAGTTCCTTTGCTTGCTGAGCTTATTAGGCCTCTGGCTGCTGGCTGCTGCTTTCATACTATTAAATTTTCCCCCCTTCTTCCCTTCCTTCTCATCCCATCTCAATCTCATCTTCTTCCCTCGCCATTCCTCCCATTCCACCTCTCTCTCTCTCCCTCTCTCGGTTTCTTCAAGTCATTTTCCAGCTTAATGGCGGGGTCTTTGATGAAGGGTAACTAGCCATTGAAAGGCGGAGCAAATGGCGGGGCAATATTGAGTACTGACCCGGCAAAGCAAACCCCCTCAATTAATAAAGAAGAAACAATGGAGGAGGGCCGAGGCGTTTTTGTAAGCTCAACAGCCGGTTCTCTCCTGATCATGGCTAGTAGCAGCAGCTGAAGGGTCGGGTAACTGCCTTCCCCCCCTTCTTTGCTTCACTTTCTACCTCTTGAGCTGAGGAAACTGCTGAGAAAGAGATTAGGACTTTGGTTGCGGCAATTCATCAAACACCTTGCGACTCCATCACTCCAAGGTGCTTTCCCCACCCTCCCAGCTCGCTTTGGCATTTGAATTCAGTTCTATGTTGTTGAAATTCTGCTTTGTTCTTTTGGTATACTGATTTTAAGGTAAACTGCTACCACATGGCTTGTAGATAAAAAAAAGAGGTTTTTCGTTTGCATAACTTGGCGCCCCCATGTCGAGCAATCATTCGTATGCAATGGAGAGGAGATCATTTCCTAGGAGCCCTTTGCTGAAGAATTCCATGCCCAGTAGTCCCTATCACATGAGTCCAATGCTCAAGAGTCCCATGCCGAAAAGCCCTGCTCGTTGCGAGACCTACAAGTCTAGGTGTGCTCACTGTTTGCTTGGTTTCTTCCGGTTTCGACATAGTAATTCGAAGAAGCTGATTTCGGACAGCAGGAGCGCTAGCAGGCATTATGGTGGTAAGCATTTCCCCCCCTTTTGTCCCGTACTGTTGGAGAATTTGGAATGAAATGAAGCTGCTGTGGCTTCGATTTGACACTTTTTTTTGCTCTTAATTATGTATCCGGTTGTAGATGATCGATTTGCGAGGAATAAACTGGATTGGCACCCTGGCGTTGATGAAATTTGTGAATGCATCAATGTGAGTTCAGGCATCTTTAACACTGTTCTCAGATTGAGTACATCTCCTTTGGATATTGCTCTCATTGTTCTTTTTGTTTGTTTAGACTCAAGGGGATTCTAGGAACGCTGGACTTAGATCTGGTCATAAAGAGATGCTGAAAATCAAAGGGCAAGATGTAAAATCCGATTCTAAAAGTGTTAGTAGCAGAACAAAGCGCCATAAGAAGCGTAGAAGGGCTCGACGTTTGCCTATATATGGTTGTTACGATGTGGCAACTATGGGATTTGGGAAAACAGTTCCTGAACGGTTGATGGACAGATCATCAAATGAAGAAGAGTCCAGGGTTGCAGCAAATAAGGATCCAAGTGATTCAAGTACTCCTCCAAAGGAAGAGATCAATCTTCAAGTCCATATGAATGAAGCAGCTGAAGCATTTATAAATCAGAGATTTACTGATGGGCGACTCCTTGGTGAAGACGAAGGCAAAGTCCAGTCGAAACATTTCTTGGATGCATTAGGTGTTCTGAACACTAATAAGGATTTATTTGCGAAACTCCTACGAGACCCCAACTCTCTACTGGTGAAACATATAGAAGACTTGAGAGATTCTCGGCAAAAGGTATCGGCCATTGCTAATGAGCCTCTAGAGACAATTGTAGTGTTGAAGCCTGATGTAAAAAAGTGCGACTCTTCTGTAGATCAGCCTGTTCTAAGTACGGTGCAACAAAGTGCGAGGCCTGCATTCTCTTCCTTCACACAAATGAAAAGGAAGTTGATGAAGGCAATTGGATCACGCAGAAAAGCTCGTCCATTAATACAAGATGACTATCCAGAGAACAAGGGTAAACAAGGGATGGAAGAATGTGACCAAGGATCAGAACTGGAGATTGCTGAAACCAACTTGCTTGAGCAAAGTTCTCCTCTGGAGATCCAAACTAAGAGTAAAGAAAACAGGCTAAGACAGATTGAGACAGGTGTGAGAAAAGAGTCCAGTCCAAGCAGCTGTAATAGGAGCTCAACAGTTGTCCTTCTAAGGAAGGACAGACCCAAAACCTGGGATGGAATATGCTCTATTGATGAGGTTGATTCCTTGCATACAGTTGGTCCTCGAGGAAAGAGGGAGCTTGGCTTTGTCACCCCCCAAATGAGAATCTCACCTTCCAGCAATTCTCAAATAGTACAAGAGAGCAAGTGTAGGAATCAAAGAGGAATAGAAATCAACTGCCCAAGTCCTCTAAGGCAAAGCCTAGAGACTACACGTTGGGTGGATGCTAGGGAAAGCTTTGAGATGCTTGAAACAGAATCAGCCAAGCCGGATGGATTCAGTTCTAATGGTGAAGGGAGTGAGGGCTCTTCTGCTTTTGATAACATGCGTATTTCATCCCAAGGCAAGCCGTTTTCACTTTAATGCTCACTGTACTAGTGTCGGGTTCCATGTACTCAAATTCATATTTTCTGTTACAGCTTGTGCCAGCCCTGAAAGACAAGGTGACATACATTTTGAAGGCATTAGTCCTCCTAGAACGCTTTCTGATGGCAGACATGAATGTGTAGATGCACCAAGACCATTCGATCCCTTGAGACCGGTAATCTCCCTTATCGCTTGCACGATTTGTCGAAATTGTTCTCTGTATGCCTCTTTTTGTTACCTAGTACCATGCCAAAGAAGTAAGAACTTATCTCATTGAATCCAACTTGCCATGGTATTGTTCAGGACTATTTGTTTGAAAGCCAAGTAATGACATCTTCAGAAGCTGATTATATGTCAAGCCCTCCACAGGCCAGTAGGATTGAAGGTCTGGATATAAAAATTGAGGACAAGCCAGAACATCCTAGTCCAATTTCTGTTCTCGAGCAATTCTGCACTGAAGATATCACTAGCCCCGTGAGCCAAAAGTCTAATCCTGGTAAGTACTTGAACTAGTATTTACAAACTGAAATGTCAAATACCCGTTTAGCGTTCAAGAGCTGAATCTTAATGAATTATGTGCAGTTGATCCATCAGACCTGTCAATCCGAACTGTATTTCAAGAAAAATGCTCTGCCACTATTCAGCACCCAGCTCTGAACTCTGATCCATCTCCAGAAGAGCACAGATCCATGTCAGGACACATTTCCTCCATATTGCACTCTGCGATCTCAAGTTGGGACGAGCTCCTATTGAGGTGTTATTTCTCAGACCCGCTTCTCCTAGAAATTGTGCTCGATGAAGTGGATATCTGCTTGTGCAACGATCGAATACTCTTTGAGTACATCAATGAAGTTCTTCTGGAGGCCTACGACCATTGTCTGAGATGCTCTCCTTGGCTTTCATCAACGAAATCAAAGCTTCGGCCAGTTTCAGTAGCTGAGAATGCAACTCGAGAAGTGATGAGATGCATCGACTGGGACCTCTTTCTGCACCATCCCATGGAAACTGTGGAGGAGATCATCATGAAGGACTTGGTTAATTCGAGGACATGGAAGGACTGCAAAGGTGAAACTGATGACATTGTTAGAGACACTGTAGAAAGTATTATGCAAGACTTGATCATGGAATCTGCTGAGCTAAGCAACTCGGTCCATTAACACAACAGCAACAAAAAGGTTCGAGAATTTTGCCTTGAATCATGCACACATGGCTCAAATTCGTTGTACAATTGTATAGTTTGGATAAGCACCACCCTCCAAGAGCCACCTTATATAGAGAACTTGTTCAAATGTGTTATTTCTTTCTTCATCAGGAAGTGACATACCTTGAACATGTTTCTTGTTATACAAGAATATTGAGGGTTTTGTTCATTGCATTTGTTTTTTGTATGTCTGCTCTCTTTGTAATTGTTAGTTGGAGAAATTGTTTAGGATCTATTGGTCTTTTGTTCTGGTGACATACTGGCCATTGGCTCTGAAAGCTTTAACATCTGCTGCAGAAATTTAACAGAAAATTTTGGGCTAAAATCACTACAACACTCAACCTATCCAAAAAATGTCACTTGTGTCTTATTTTATTTAACATGACAATCTTGAAAAGCTCGATTCAATACCGTGAGAGTGAGATTTGCTGCATTATGATTGTAAGCAATGGTGATTAGGAATCTATTAAAATTGTGCCCTTAAAATAAGAAATCTTCTACAATTTGATTTAATTTAATTAATCTCTAAGAATTTTCTGGTCGTAAACAATATTGTAGTGTTGGTTTTAAATTTGGGAAGAGTTTTTTTTCTTTGATAATCAAATCGGGAAGATGATGAAAGAAAGAGGTTTTCTGAATCGGACTCCCGATTTTCCATACAAATCTAGCCAGGCCCAAGAAGAGCAAGCCCACTTACTTCCCGCCAAACCCAAAATAAATGTCAGTTTCTGCCAATCCCTAATTCAGTAATTCCCCTCTTCTCCTCCTCTTAAAAACCTTTCTTCCTCCCCGGATTTCTCATCCACTCCCGCCACCCTAAAACCCTAACAAAAGCCCTCCCCTGAAAAAATCCCCTTCCTCCGGAGCCGAACAATGGACCCAAAGGCCGTGAAATCCGACCTCGTCTTAATCCTCGACTACGGCTCCCAATATACCCACCTCATCACTCGCCGGATTCGCGCTCTCAACACCTTCTCCCTCTGCATTTCCGGCACTTCCACCCTCGACGCCATCACTTCCCTGAACCCCAAGGTCGTTATTCTGTCCGGGGGACCGCATTCCGTTCACACGGCCGACTCGCCCAGCTTCCCTGATGGGTTTGTGGATTGGGCGCTGGAAAACGGCGCCTTCGTGCTGGGAATCTGCTACGGGCTGCAACTGATTGTGCAGAAGTTGGGAGGGGAAGTGAGGGTTGGGACGGAGCAGGAGTACGGGAAGATGGAGATTGAAGTGGTTGGGAATTCGGGTATTTTTGGGAATAAGAAGGTTGGGGATAAGCAGGTGGCTTGGATGAGCCATGGCGACGAGGCTGCTCGGTTGCCGGAAGGGTTTGAATTGGTTGCCAAGAGCCGGCAAGGGGGAGTTGCTGCTCTTGAAAATCGGGAGAAGAGGTTTTACGGTTTGCAGTATCACCCGGAGGTAAACTCTTAACTCTGGCTTTCGTTTTATGGAATGATAGAGGAATAAAGTTGCAGGCTTTTGGTATGAAAGAGTGGATATTTTGTGTCCGTTTAGGTGACTCATTCGCCGGAGGGGATGGACACGTTACGGCATTTCCTGTTTGATATTTGTGGAGTGGCAGCTGGTTGGAACATGGAAGATGTCTCCGAGGAAGAAATTAGGGCGATTAAAGGAACAGTAGGGCCTGAAGATCATGTGATATGTGCTTTATCTGGTGGTGTTGATTCCACTGTTGCTGCAACACTGGTGCATAAGGCAATCGGTGATAGGCTTCATTGCATTTTTGTTGACAATGGCTTATTGAGGTAGCTAATGGGTTTCTTATAGTGTTGATTACTTGTGTTCTTCTGTTTCTTTATCGTTGTAATTCATCTGTCTCGGGTTCTGTAGGTATAAGGAGAGAGAACGAGTGATGGAAACTTTTGAGAAGGATCTTCATCTCCCTGTTACTTGTGTTGATGCATCGGAACAGTTTCTTGGTCACTTGAAGGGCGTTACAGATCCCGAGGTGAAAAGAAAGATAATTGGGAGGGAATTCATTAACATCTTTGATGTTTTTGCTCATGATTTGGAGCAAAAGCTAGGAAGGAAACCTGCTTACCTTGTCCAAGGAACTTTATATCCAGATGTCATTGAATCTTGCCCACCTCCCGGCTCCGGAAGAACTCACTCACACACAATCAAGAGTCATCATAATGTTGGAGGACTCCCAAAGGACATGAAATTGAAGCTTATTGAGCCTCTCAAGCTTCTATTTAAAGATGAGGTATGCTGTGGGATTCAAGCATTCTGTTTTCTTGTGTTGTCTTGTCTTAATCTTAAGTGCATTTGGGGCATTAAACTTCTCCATTTTATTCTTAAAGGTCCGTGAGTTAGGGAGGATCTTAGATGTTCCCGTGGGATTCCTGAAGCGTCACCCTTTCCCCGGGCCTGGCCTTGCAGTTAGAGTGTTGGGTGATGTAACTCAGGGCAATGCCTTGGATGTCCTACGCCAGGTCAGTTATATTTATTTATTTAATTATGAACATGAACCTGAAAATTTTGCCTGATTTGATGATCTATTAATGTTTTTAATTAATGGTTCTTTCCTTTGATTATTTCTCCAGGTGGATGAGATTTTCATCCAGTCTATCAAGGATGCCGGGCTTTACGATACTATTTGGCAAGCTTTTGCGGTATTCCTGCCCGTGAGAACTGTCGGAGTTCAAGGGGATCAAAGAACACACTCTCATGTTGTTGCCCTTAGAGCCGTCACAAGTCAAGATGGAATGACAGCCGATTGGTTAGTTTCTTCTCTTGAATATACTTCCCTAGTTCCTACTTCACTCGAGCATGTAATTGGAATGTAATCGTGAATCACATCCATGGTATACAATTACTAGAATGAAGAATCGAAGGTGTTTGCTTGTTAGATACCTTATGGAGGGTTGCCTTGCTTAGCCATTTATGCCTCTGATATGTGCTGTTGAACAGGTATTACTTTGAGCACAAGTTCCTCGATGATGTTTCCCGCAAGATCTGCAACAGTGTACGTGGAGTAAACCGAGTTGTTCAGGATATTACATCAAAGCCTCCATCAACAATCGAGTGGGAGTGATGCCAACCTCAGGTGTTAAGGGTTTGGGGGAGAAACATGACTAGTTGGATCTCGAGGATGTGTAGAGAGTAGTGATTGACTGATGAGTTAATATGGTTACTATATTTATGTCCCCAAAATGGGTTATTTTGGCTGGGGGCTTTGGTAAGCAAGGAAAGAGTGGGTTGAGACGCTGAGTGAACGATGGTTCACAATGTGCCTGGTTCTTATTTATGTTGATTGATCCCAGGATTGCAGAGATTTTGTACCCCTCCCTTCTTTTGCTTTGCTTTCCGTTGAGCAGATACACAAAAGGGGAATATAATTTTGTTTCGTGCTTATGATTAGATATTCGTTAAGAGTTTTGAGACGTCATAATTATACCATAACTGCTGCTTTCAACTCTCAACTTGTTACCTTCAATTGCACTAGCATATGTTGTTGTCCCGTCAACTGGTGACAGAGGGAAGTTTGCCTCATCATCAAGCGGACAAGCCACAAGAATTTCTTCTGGACAGTTTGGTTAAAGATTTACATTGCTAATCAGAAATTCATGGATTGAACCTTCTGTTTTGTTGCTAATCAGAAAGTTTGGGCCCTCCTGTGTTTCTTTCTTTCTCACCGCATTCTTTCCAGGCTGCTTGATAAAGTTCCAATTGGTTCTCCTTTTTTTAATGTTTGCTTTGAAAACTACAGGGAAAAGAAGATGGAAAAGACACAAAGGAGTTGTTAGCCACTTGAAGATTTCCCCGCCTGCGTCGCCTCCCAATCTCCCATTATAAAATCTCAGGCTCAGAATTTGGTGGGCTTTGTATCAGTAAACTCTATGGCATGTGGACCAACAACTTGGAACTTCAATGTCGGAGAATCTTGTAAGCTTTTCTTTTCACATGCAGAATCTGAAGTTGGCAGAAGAAACCAATAATACTATGCATTTCCATTAGACTTGAACCGGGAAGCCATGGACAGGATGGACAACAAAAACAGGTGCAAAAGAATTGAGTTTTTACTTTTTACTAGCAACTTAAAATCAAGGTTGAGTAGAACTGACCTACCTAGTTAAACACCATCTACAACAAGTAAATCATTAGAGGTTGTCCTTCTTCCCCATAGCAACTCTTTCAAGGGCCCTTTTGATTGCTCCTGCTGATGCTGTTGGTGCTCCACCAGTAACTCTTTTGTGCTGCAATTTTCCCCCCCACAGAATGTCATCAGAAAATGTTATTAGGGAAAAAATGTAGCTTTTTTATGCAATTCCCCAAGCCATATACACATTATAATACCTCAGTTTCAATGGTTAAGGAAAGAATTCCATCGGTAGTAGATGATTGAACTGAGTGAGAATCTACATGAAGACAGGTTAACTCATCCATGATCTGAAGCAATATCCCTTCTCTCCATGGACAATGGACCTTGATCACAGGCCCTTTCATGTTCATGCTGACACTCACACTATCAACTTTAGATGCAATATTGGACTTGATCTTCGGCCTCATTTCATTGGTCTCAGTTGCTTTCCTCTTGCTCCCAACTGTCCTTCTGGCACTGCCATTTCTTTTCGTGCTCCCATAATTATCAGATGTTTTCTCTGACGAAGTTCTTTGGTTGGTTTTCCTCTCTGTTCTTGTTACCTCTGGTTCCATTTGCCGTTGCTGTGTTTCCAGTTGCCCGACTCTTCTTTCAAGTTCGTGAAGGTACTTTATCGTCTCATCTAGTATGGATACTCTATCAACCTGCAATCAACTATGAATTTTATTAGAGTGGCAAATTATGATGGAACCGAAGAGTTTTTTTATAAAGTTCTAACTTCTAAACCACCTTGTTGACCGAAGGAAACATTGACTTGAGAATCATGAGCCTTTCATCAAGTACTTCTCTCTGTTTCCTTTCTGATAACATTTGATTCATGCTGACTTCGTCAGCTTCCGATATCAAATCCCCATCTATAATCCCATTTTCTGGTGAATAGCCATAGATGTGCTTCTGTGGGAAATCAAACAGAATCTTCTTCAACATTTTCTGCTGTATCCCACACTTCACATTCTGAGAGTGCTGCTGATGCATGGATCCCGCCTTCTTCCAGCGGAGGAAGCTGGATGCCTGATGAGAGTTCCGGAGATGCGGTCCGAGAATCAGTGGGTGAGAGGTTTTGAGTACTGACGAGAGAACACTGTGATAATGAAAATCATTGCTTGGAAGGCCTGGTGCATCCATTTTCACATGTTTGAAGGCCTCAGATTCTTGTAAGAAATCAGTGTTGTAGACAGTTTCATCACTTGGAGGGAAAGCGGCGAAGTTCTCAGGGTCTGCGATGGTTTGGGATATGGATTCGCTTGAGTTCAAGGAATGGTTGAGACCAGGAGGGCTGAGATCAGCATCAGCATCAGCATCAGCATCATCATCATCCACCAACAGCCAACTTTCCACTTGTGAAGCTTCAGCTACTGCTCCACCACCACCACTCCCACCATCTATCCCTTCGAGGATGAATGAATCCTCCTCAGCTTCATCGTTTGAGCTGTCATTGTGAGAAGCAGCAGCCGCTGCCATCTCCAACTCTGCACTGTTGACTCCTGGAACAACTAGCCTGGCTTCCAATAGAATCTCATCGAGTTCTTCATCGTGATATTCTGTTATCCACTTTTCTGAAGTTAGGGGGTCTGGGTTGTCCAAGAACAAGCTTCTGATGTGCTGAATCAGCCTGTAGTCTTCCGAAATCTGGTTGAGGTTTGTAGTAAATTATCAGAATTGGAACAGGAATTGCTTGAAATGGGAAGTAGCTCACTGAAAAAGGCTTACTTTCTCAGTTGAGCCTATCTCCAAGACACCTCTTAAGACGGGGAAGCACACAACAGTCTGTTAAGTTCAAATGGGCAATAATGTCGATTAAGATAGTGTCATCAAATGATTGAGGGGGTCAATAATGTCTATTAAGATAACATATTCTTACCTGAATGGATGCACTCTGAGGTTGTTTTGCAGTGAGAAATTCACCAATTGTGTCGGAGAAAACAAGGTAAAAATCAGAAATCCTTGGGTGCTTTTCATTGCTTAAAGTACATCTAATCAACAAAATTATTTTAAGAAAAATGGGGATGAATCTCAACCTTTGCTAGGAGAGAGCGGGTGAAGACTTTGCTATCAGCACAATGAGCATTGCAGAGCCAAATCTGCTGGCTATTAGCCAATGATCTCCCTGGCAAACTGTGGGGGTAAAACAAGAAGAAACCCAACAAACAAGTTTGCAAGATCAAGTAGAAAGTTCCAAACTTTACAGAAAAATGCACTTCAGGAAAATATTGAGTCACATGATTACCCTTGGCCAATATTGAACAGGAAAGACATGCAGACCAGATAGTACCACTCAGTATCAGTCAAATCTTCCGGCGACAATGCAGCTGAGGGTCTCCTGGATTGCAGATTGGCCTCACCGTCCGACAGAGAATCGTAAAGCTCCCTGAGTTGCTCGCTTCTCTGTAATCCTAACTCATCCGCTTCAATCTCCATTGTCTGAACGGTTTTCCTCGTCTTGATATCTCCATTGTAGTACCCATCTCCCCAATCTAACACCCTTCAGAATTCAACAGTAAGAGATCTCAACCAGTGGTAGTGAAAACATTTTATGTTAAGTTTCGGTCAGGCATTTTAGCAAACAGGTAAGAGGTGAAAAAAGAAGCAGCAGATGAAGACAAATACCCAGGCTGTTCAGTTGACATGGACCAGAAAACTGCATAGCTCCACTGGATACTCCTCACAGCAAGTGCAAGCTGCTTGTTGACATTCTGCTGTCCCAACCCATCCTGGCTAAAAAGCCCAGAAGCCATGGCTCCACCAAACCTTCAAAACCCAAGCAACCTACTCAAGCTCGCCCTCAACAATGGAGTCTTTTTTGTTGCAGCCACTTTCCTACCCACGTATCTCCACTCCGCTTATTAAATATTAATGGAAACATTGTTGAGTCTCTCCATCACTGAGGAAGAGAACCCATGTGGGTTTCCTGAAGCAGAAGAAGGAAAAACACCGCACCTTTCACACAACAGCTCGCTCTCGCAAGTTTAAGTGGATTGTGGAAACAGCAGTAATTGTGGACTGGATTTTGCTTTCCCTATTGTGCTTGTTGCCTCCTTCATTGGGGAGATTTAATCTTGACTTCTTTTCCCTCTCTTTTCTTACCACTGGTTTTGGTTCAGGACTTCACTTTGCCCAAAAAGCTGAAACGAAAGGACCCGCGCTGCACCAGTTTTTGCCACCATGAAAAAACTAAGGCCCCCTGCTCTGTGACAGCCAGGTGGGGTTCCAGTTACTTTCATTACTTATCTGAGCTAAAGATTTTGAATCAATGGCCTATTTAACGAAGTGGGTTGTGAAATCGTACCATATGACTGGTATATTTGGAAAAATAACTTATAGAGTTTAAATCGATAGATGATTTTGGTGATATGAAACAGTTGAACCATGGTTAAATCACGATTTCAGTACAAAATATCATATAACTAACATTTCCAATACAACTTACCGTAAAGTCTCATAATCAATTTTGACATTGTCCGATGCTCTTCGATGGCTGCCACACATTTTCAGTTATTGGATCCAACTTCATAATAGTGTTTAGGTATTCTCAATCCTTCAATCAAATGCATAAGCCATATTCACGAAAGTTGTTATATAGTCAATTCAACTATTGAAAGCATTTGAAGGGACAATCCAACATGTTTGTACGCAATTTGCACTAAACATCCCAACATCAACATAATAGTTAAAACCGGTTATACTCAAACCATAAGTTATTGTTATGATGAACAAAATCACATACTAAATATCGTTGAAACTGAAGCACTCGACCATAGCGCGCGACTTTACTGTTGTGATACGGTTGGACGACAACATTGATAATCGGGTGAATTGTAACTTTGTTTTAGATCAAGTAACAAGAACTATTCTTATTACTGTCTTGTTAAGTTGCTTTGAATGCAATGGACTACGACCACTAGGTAGATAGATACGCGTGGCGCCATCAACGCAATGCTCTACGGCAAAAAGGAAGTACGTAGTGTTGCTGTCATTCATGGCTGCCAGGTCCCAAAAAAGGAAGGAGCTTAATCATTTTGTTCTCCATCACTGCCTTGAATGAATACTACTGAGTACTGTCTTAGTCGTTTGCTGCCTCCATAGTACGGCTGCTCACCAATCCTCAATAACTCCCTTTGGCAAGTGAGAGCGGGAGGTTCATTTCTCCAAAACTGGTTTAAGTTTCACCACAGTGGTAAAGATCATTTACATAGATGGTCTTTACCTCGGAAAAAATCTCACTGTACACACGTTCTTAAAAAAAATTCCCAAAATACATGAGTTATAAAAAAATTCCCCAAAGTACACATGTTTGAGCATCACCGTTTTAGACAAAAGCGGTGAAGGTCATCACCGCTTTTGACTAAAACGGTGAATACTTCATCGTCTTAAACAAAAACGGTGAAGTATTCACCGTTTCAAACTAAAACGGTTAAGTTTTCACCGCGTTAATTAACAACGGTGAACACATCACCGTTTTGGTCAAAAACGGTGAACCCATTCATCGTTGTTAAGTAACGCGGTGATCATTTCCCACGTTTCCCACCCCTGGTAGGTCAAAATTCGGTCGCAGCTACCACCTATTCACCGTTTGAGACAAACGCGGTGATGGTGTTCACCGTTTTCGACAAAAACAGTGAATAGTAGGCAGATTTTCCTATAAATTGCACACCACCAGCAGTTGTAAAAACATAACCACTCCCCTTTCTTCAAATTTCAGCAGCCAAAATCGAGCATAATACACAGAACAGAAATTTTTCGGTATGTTGAGACTTTTCGTATTATAGTCTAATTATGTTTTTAGTAGTTATAGTATGATTTAATTTTTGTATTATGTTGTTGTTAGTTAGTTGAACTTATGTTCGTTAGTTATAGTATGATTTAATTTTCGTATTATGTTGTTGTTAGTTAGTTGAATTTATTTTCGTTAGTTATGGTATGATTTAATATTAGTTGTACAATATGATTTTGGTTAATTTTACTGTCTTTAAGCTAATAGATACTTATTGTAAATTGTAGATATGGGTAAATTCAAGAAGTTTCATCTTACTATTCGGTGGAATGGAAGGGTGACAAACTCTGACATAGGCATTGATTATGAGGACGGCGAATCCATTATGCTGAAAATTGATTCCCGATTCAATTTTCAAGAACTCTGTGATCTTTGTGCAGAAAGGGTTTGTACGAGCGGACAGACGAGACTTGTCAAAATTACTTACCGGTATCCAGACATGAGTGCTGGCGGGGTCGTGTTCCAAGAAGTTGTCATAAACGATGATGACGCGGTTATGATGATGTTACAGTTCCTAAGCGATAACCAAGTCCGCCTTGCAGAGGTGTATGTTGAGACCGAGGCGGTCGGTGAATCTCATTCTCACCAGTATTCTTATGATGATGGTTTTGCAGGAGGGTACGAATGGGGTGGTAGTTCGAGCAACTACCAAGGCGGTGGTTATACAGGAGGTTACGGGGAGGGTGGTGGTTCAATCAACTACGGTGGATCGAGTAGTGCAGGATGGGACAAATACTCGCAACCTCCTAAACCAGCCCCATTTGTTGAGGCCGATGGTGTTCAATGGCCTGCTTGGGGGCCAGAGTGGTATGGAATCGAGAATACCATTCGATCAGGGCGTACTTCACATGAGCGAGAGGACGATGTTGGTGATCGTGGTCATGTTGATCCTTCTAGCCCGAGCTATCCATTCGAGTCGAGCGACGAGGATACTGAGGAAGATTTGATATCAGTGAGCGAGGAGGAGAAAGATACTGATGATAACGAGGATGAGGCGGCATTTCGTGAGGCACCCACGCCATATTACACACAGGTTCCAACTCAATTTTTACATAGTCAGAATGATCCCCCCGACTTTGTCCCTATGCCAGTGTACAATCCGACGGCCAATTTGGAGGTGGGTATGGCGTTCACATCGAAAGACGTTGTGCAGGATGCTTATACAGAAGAGGCGTTGAGGAGCAATTTCGAGTGGAAGGTAAAATATTCTGACAGTAAACAACTACATGTCATATGCAAGCATGATGCAGAGGGTTGTACGTGGCAACTGCGGGCTGCAAATATGAAGAGAAAGGGTGCTTGGGTGATTCGCAAAGCTGAGACGATCCACACATGCTCCTCTTCTATACTTTCCCAAGATCATAGGCAACTAAAAGCAAAGAAGGTTGGGAGAACTATTAAGCACCTTATAGAAGCACAACCAGATATCAAGGTGAAAGCTATCATGGCAGAGGTGAAGGATCGACATTCTTACACGATAAGGTACAAAAAAGCATGGCATGGTAAGCAGAAAGCCATGGCTGAGGTGTATGGTGATTGGGAGGATTCGTATGCTTTACTCCCTAGACTTATGGGAGCAATGGAGGAGTCCAATCCTGGGACTGTTTTCGTCCCAGTATACAACAATGTATACACTGAGGATCAAGTTCGAGTACAGGATAAGATGATGTTCCATCGTCTTTTTTGGGCTTTTAAACCATGCATTGACGGTTTTGGGTTCTGCATACCGGTTATTCAGGTATTTTACCAACTAGTTCCGGTTTTAAATGTTGTATTATTTGCTGTTAAGTATATTTCATACTAATTATATCCTAAATTTTTATTCAGGTTGATGGAACTTTCCTTACTGGGAAGTACAGAGGATGTCTTCTAATTGCCACTGGCGTTGATGGAAACAGGCGGATTTTCCCGCTTGCATTTGCATTAGTGGAAGGGGAGAACAGCTTAAGTTGGGCTTGGTTCTTTGACCAACTGCACGAACACGTGACACAGCGGGAAGATATTACGATTATATCTGATCGACATGCGGGGATAAGGAATGCTGTTGGTGGTTTTCCCGACGAGTGGGGGTGGAGATGGAGATGGTGTATTCGACACTGGCTCGCCAATTTCCAACACAAATTTGGGAAGAAGAAAGACATCAAAAATCTACTTTGGAATGCAGGTACTAATGTTTTTCTTATGCGATTTAAGTTTGTGTTTATTAAGCTGATAAGCTGATGTTATTCATCATGTATTGACCAGTTAGTCTTTTGTTCACCTTTTAGCGGTTGCACATCAACCAAAAAAAGTACGAGCAGAAGATGAAAACGATCCGTCAGACCCACCGAGCTGGAGCAGTATGGGCTGAAGGTCAAGAGTTGCCCATGTGGACGTTCCATATGGACAACGGGGCCAGATGGGGTATTGCAACTACCAACCATGGAGAAAGTATAAATAATGTGTACAAGGGTCTTCGAGCGATGCCTATTTCTGTCATCGTGGAAATGTCTTATTGGAAGGTCAACGAGTGGCGAGTTGCTCGGCTACAGCTAGCTATAGGGAGGGAGTTGCAAGGTCATTCAGTAGCACATGACGTATTCGCTCAAATGCAGAAGAACGATGAAAAATCAAGTAAGCATAAGGTTGTTCTTTTTAACCGCAGTGAAGGAATATTCGCTGTCGAAACAGGTATATGGGGTGGAGGGAGACGTGGTCACAATCGTCAAACGGTTAAATTGCACTACGAATTAGGGGAGTGTTCTTGTCAAAAGTATCAGAACGAAAGGATACCCTGTTCACATGCAATGGCGGTTGCTAAGTCAATAACCATGAACAGAAACAGCCTGGTGAGTCCTTACTACACTGAACAAGCGATACGGAACTCATATAATGCAGCTTTGAGCCCCATGCCAGATGAAGCGTATTGGCCTATATACGCTGGAAAGTTGATTATCCCACCGTTGCACCTAAAACGCACCAAAGGCCGTCCTAGAGTTGAAAGGATACACAATGAGATGGATCAAGTTGAACGGACGAGAAGGGAAACGAAGCGATGCTCTAAGTGCAGACAACCTGGTCACGACAAGAGGCGTTGCCCAGGACAACCATCAACTTAATTTGCATTTACTTGTATTCTGCTACTAAATTGATCGCTTGTTTAATTTTTCATTACCGTTTGCATTTGAAGTCCAAGTATTTTGTTAACTCTAAAATGTTTTCCTTGTCGATACGATCGCGCTGCCGCAAACGGCTCGTTGTTTCGACCTCAAACGAATAAGATACGCGCGTTTTAGTTTTTAGAAAATAATAAAATAAAGCAAGTCAGTCCATCAAATTACCGGATTGTTATCCCAAATGGCACGGGAGCGATGAGCTTCTTGATCGGTTAAGAGACTCGCATCCCTTGGGCCATAATGGATATACAATCGAGGATCGTATATCTCGGCACCCATCTATAAAAAAGTATGAAATCAGAGATTGTTTTGATAAAAAAAAATCAAATTGTTTCGATTAAAAAAAATCATAAACCAAAAACCTACACGAAGAGCCTCTTCGTCCATTATTGGCGGAAGCCGGACAGAGGTTCGACGGGTTTAGGTTTGTAAGGGACGGGAACTTAGCGGGACGGGGGCTTTAGGGTCAAACTCTAGTAATTCTTTCTGATGTGGAAGATCGGACTTAGCCGCAACCACAGAGCATACTTAGAACGAGACTAGAGCGGATAAATTGAGGGAGAAAGAAGTGAAATGTTTGTGGTGTGAGTTGAAAGTGAAAGGGGAAGGGTTATTTATAGTTGGGGGAAGGGGGGAAGGGATCTGCCGAGAATTGAATTCTCACAGCCTTCACCGCGTCCGTCAGAAACGGTGAAGGCACCGCGTTTCTCGAACACGGTGATGAGGCGCGGATCGAGCGACGTGGCTCAGCGTGAGGCGTCGGATCTGGAAAGAAAACCACGATCCGCGCCTCACCGCATCCTACGGACACGGTGAACGCGCCAGCGACGCGGATCGCTGACGCAAACAAACACGGGTATTCACCGTGTTTGTCTAACGCGGTGAATACCCCGCGTTAGTCCACGTCAGCGCCTTCACCGTGGAAGTCTAAAACGGTGAAGGCTTCACCGTTTTTGTTTAAAACGGTGAGGTATTCACCGTTCTTAACAAACGCGGTGAACCCTTCACCGTTTTAGTTTGAAACGGTGAATACATCACCGTTTTAGTAATTTTTTTAATAACTTATGTATTTTGGGAATTTTTTTAAGAATTAGTGTACTTTGGGATTTTTTCCCTTTACCTCTACCAGGATGGTAAAAATGACGATGAACACTCATCGTTCAACAATGTTAACGTGGGCTTTGAGGCTACACATTGTATGGGGGAAATCTATACGAAATTTCACAAGGGGTCATGTTGCTAAGAGGTTACACTTACACATATGTATGTGAACATCACTCCAAAAGCTCAAGGCAAGATCATACCGAAAATTGAAAGACCAAATCGCGTGCATTGAAGATATGGTTATGTTATTTTCCTATACGTCCATCTCGACATTGACTTTGTCCGCACATATGACATCTAGTGCAAAATTTCATGATTGTTAACATTGCTTCATTGACTCTGATGAATCTCAGCCAATTCGATCATTACTTCCGGGAGCAATGTTGATTACCTATTATGTGTTATAGTTTTCTCCCGTAAAATTTGATTAGCACGACCAATGCTTTAATTTGATTGACGGAGAAAGGATACGAAGAGAGCCAACAATCGATCCGAAAAATGTCACCATTTTCAATCCACGAGCGTTGCTCCAGTGGACTATATCCGAGACAAACAACAGTTAAACGACTCACCTAGTGGTCGATATCTGAGACAAGCGCTAGTTTCCGCCTAAGGTCTATAAACACTAGGGTAATCATAGACCAGTGGAGGATCAGCTTAACTAATAACAATCCGACTAAACGGATCCAGCTCTAACACAAACCAGGAAAGGGAAAGAATGCGACATCGTGACATTTTGGTGGTTGGATGTTAAGAGCTTCTTCATTCACACAGGTCTCAGGATCTGATTCTACCATCCATCAAAACCTTAGCACAAAGACAAACCTCAGCATAGTTCAGAAATGGGGGGAAAACAGAGATGGAAGGAGCTAAATTCTGGAACTTGTAATTCTTGTTGTTGCTGACCATTTGAGAAAAGAGATGAATAATGCCAACAGCAAACATGAACAGAAAGACTTGCGATAGAGAGAGTTAGAGACAGCAGACAGAAGCTATTAAACTCAAACAAACAAGAAAGAAAAAAAAAAAAAAACCCACACTCCCCTTCCACACATTATGGACCACTCGAAAAGTTTATTGATTGTCTTTCCCTCTAAAACTTGTGTCTACTTTGGTTCATCTTCCACCATCAACTTCCTATGTTTCATTCTCTACTTGCTCAAAACAAGATAGTCACCATCCTGTCACAATCTACTTGTTCAGATCGACAAACCAGCATACGACAACAACAACCACAACCCATTTCCCCTCCATTCAATCAACTCCCTAAATGTGGATCTAGTTTCTACCTTATACAACTGCTAAACCATCCCTACTTGTTTGGAAAAAAATTCCCCTAGGTCAATATCTTCACACACAGATAATATATTGAACGCTAAAGATGCATAAGTTCAACATTTTGTACCGAACCATCCAAGTTCTTCGTCAAAGCCAAAGGGGATGACTTGTAATGAGAGCCTGCAGAACTCGAGCCATAGGAAAACCAGAGGCTGTAAAATTGCAACATTGTAGTAGATACTCTGGTTACTCACGGTCACGGGACCAGCTTCCTTCTCTGCACCAATGAGCCAAGGGGAAGGATGTACAATGTAGATGCAGATTCAATAGGGAAGGGACCACGATCATATAGTACTGACAGACAGCAGCGGTTTTTCTTTTTTATCTAGGACAGCAGAAGTAATAATAATAGATATTAGCAAGATCAGATGAGTGGTGAAGCAGTTCATTTGAGTCGGGACTGAACACAGCCGGTCATGAATCGGCATGCAAGCCCCAGACCAATCTGCCATGTACTGTCTTATTGCTATTTCTAGAATCTTATCTCTTCTCTTCCGAATAAGTTCCTTCCAGAGTTGGCATCTCCTGACACTGTAAGATCTTGTAAGAGCTAAAGCAAGGAAGTCTGGTTTTTTCATTTAGGTCCAGCTAACCAACCCAAATAGTATAGTAATGTGAAAATTCAAACAATTGAAAACCATAACTACATAATCAAGTACATTGCTTTCACCTAAGTCAACAGAAACATTCAACAGATAAATGATAACCTGACTTCTAATAGTGATAACAGACCACAACCAATTGTTTCGTAGTCCATATTACCAAAGTTCAACCGCCGGATTGCAGTTGCTATTTGCTATTCTATTGCTCAAAAGCGGGGTCCAGAAAACTAATCCCAACGACAGAGTGGCAGTTATTTGTCAATAATATAACTGCAACCATCTATGAATTTAATCACCTACAAGTTGTCTTCGTTGAAACCTTGACAACTGGACTGGGCTCCTTCAAACCCAGATGAAGCGGCACTCTAGTTGCTGCCCGTGAGCAGACAGGTTACAATCATGGAAGCCGTATGAGCTTGTTAACCGCCGAGTCCAGAGCATCCACATTTCTTCTCAGAAATTTCCTTCACATGGACTTAAGGAAGAGCCAAGAGCACTTAGAAAATGCAAAGACAACTAAAGAAGGAATTAGTCAGCTTTATTTAGGTAATGTACGGTTTTAAATTTTAATGCTGCCTAAGCAGTTCATTACTACGAAGCAAGATTGGCAACTTATATGCTCAACCATCATATTATAAAATGATGAACTGAGAAAGAGGCCTAGTCTTTCTGTCAAGGCAAATGGCTTGGAGGCATGTAAAGAAGAGCAAAGAGGATACAATTGAGCAGCCAATGTTTCAATGCCCTTGAGTTCCTCATTTAACCTGCCAATGGACTCCAAAAGTGTCAGATTCAGAATGAAACACATCTTAAATATTAACACAATCACTATATTCACATATCAACAATTCTGAAGGTCTCTAAAACAGCCTACTAACTGGAGTTCCCAAAGCAGTAATACGAAAAGCCTACTTCCTAGTAACAAACTCGTTCATGTCAAAACTCTAGATTCAATAACCGGGAATAGGCATTAGCACCATTTTGTACAGCCATGTATCAACTGTCAAAAACTGGACCTGAAGTCTAAACTGCCAGCTAAAACTGGACTTAAAGCCTAAACTGCCAGCTAAAATGGCAGAAACTACAAGAGGGATCGATGGATTCTAAAAGATCTTCATTCGTACCACTTTGGAATCTAAACGAACTTGAACCACATCAGAAATTTTATGAATAGGACAATGGCAGGCCTCAATTGTGTACACATACATATCCAACATTCATGGCAAAACTACAACTTTGTATGTTCCATTCGAAATTACCAAATTTCTCAAACAAATTCCAATCAGCACAGTTCGAAAGTACCTGAGACATGAATTAATGTAGCGGTTACCCTTTGTAGCTGCATCCAAAACTGCCCACAAAACAATCAATTGAACAAAGATTTCCGAGAACGCAACAGTCAATTTAACAAAGAAATCAGAAACCAGCTGCAGTTTACCGGACTCCTGAAGGCGGCCAGTGGCATCACCAAAGCAGTGCATATGATCGATGGAACTGCTCGTAGCCTTCACAAAGTAATCCAAAAGTTCATTTTCAGTTCTCGCTTTCCTTCCTCGGAACCAGACAGGGAAAAGCGAAACAAAAAAACGGAAACAAAATTAAAATCAATGAAAAGTGAGAGAAACCAGGCAACCTCAGAGAGCGCTGATCGCAGCGAGGAGAAAAGAGAGGTGAAGCTCTCCGCGATAGCCAGGGAATCCTTCTCCACGACTTCCACAGCCTTAACTATCTCCCTCCGATTCAGTTCCGTCCCGGCGCGCTCATCGGGCAATTCCGAACCAGTGGACGATCCTCCCAGCTCCGGGTGCTCCGTGACTGCTCCTACGCCTTCACTGCTGCCGCTGTCGCCTTTGCCTCCCATCGCCCACGTTGATGCACCGAACTTTTTACGCGCCGAAGAGCCCTTCAAAAGCTTTGTTTCAGTCGGGAAGGAGGTGTCCTCTGTTTATTAAGAGGCGTATTATTTGCAGCCCTTGTCATTACTATTTACTATCCATAAATTAAACTAAAAAAACTTTTTTGCCCTCCTAAATTTCTTTATATTTTATTTTTTGGTTTGATTTTTTAAACTACCCACACCACCACCCGACCACCAACCCACAATCACCATAGTCGGAGTCACGGCCACCAGCGGCAGCCTAAGTCGTCGGCCACCAGACCACCGTCAGCATAAGTCGTCGGCCGCCGGACGGCAGCCGTACCACATTGTCGGACCAGCGAATGAGGTAAACCTGTTGTAATTATTTTGCCCCGTCCAACGACGGCGAGCGTACCCTGTCCGACCGTTGGAGGCGGGCCCCGTCCGACCGTCGGTGCCCAGTGGCGGACCCCGTCCGACCCCGGCGAGTGGACGACGTTCGAGTCCGGCGAGCAGACGGCGACCAATGTCGGCGATTTTTTTTTTGTATTTTGATATATATTTATGTTATTATTAATTCTAGAGCTTATAATTTTTTTTTATAAGAAATTCTAGAGCTTATAATTTATATTTAATTATTGCTTTTATTTTTATTTTACACAGTTAATTTCGTATGTAGTTTGAATTAAGCGATTGTGTTTTGTTGTAGCACTAATAAGTTTATTGTGTTTAGATTTAATTTGTAGAGCTAATTTGGTTTAATAATTTATATTTAATTAATATTCTTATCGTCAAATTATCTTTATTTTGTAGATTTAATTAAATTATTGCATTTAGTTTAATTTTGTAGAGTCAATTGAAGCACAATTAGTTGAATTAAGTGATTGTGTTTTGTTATAGCGCTAATTAGTTTATTGTGTTTAGATTTAATTCGTAGAGCTAATTTGGTTTAATAATATATATTTAATTAAATTTATTATCGCCAAATTATCGTTATTTTGTAGAGTTGATTAAATTATTGCATTTAGTTTAATTTTGTAGAGTCAATTAAAGCACAATTAGTTTAATTAAGTGATTGTGTTTTGTTGTAGCACTAATTAGTTTATTGTGTTTAGATTTAATTCGTAGAGCTAATTTGGTTTAATAATTTATATTTAAGTCCCATTGGCCGATTAGGTGTCGCTTATTAGTCATGTTAATCATTTAAGTTCATTGCTTTAATAATTTATGTCTTTGATCTTTTATGCTTTTTTAATTCACTTTTTAATAAAGTATGTGATTTCTGCGTACAAATTCATTGAGATACATAGAACTAAGTCAATGATTTCAGTACATCACACTCGTTTATCCTTATTTCTTGCATTCCGGAATGTCTAAAATAAAACATTATGCTCATCAACATCTCTTGTAATCTTTGAACAATGTGATCTCACAGAGGATCGACTTCTTTATCAAACTTGTAAAAATTAAGATGATTTTGCATCTCGTTTGTTGTATCATGATTATACAATTGCACGAACTTGGGAGATATACCTTCCGCTAGCACCAAACAACCACTACAATCGCAGCTTGACGCCTTGACCACCAATTGAGTACACTTACACCATCATTTATATATTTATCCACTTTACCGCCAAGAGATATAAATGAAATGACACTGTTGTATTCCACATAGTAACTCACGACTGACAATAGTCATTTGTCCTTCCTATTGCTCTTCCAAAAATTATGGTGGATCTCTTCTAGGTGGTAGCCTAACCGTGCGTTGCTTACAACAGAGTAAAAAAGGGGAGCTTCGAGATAGCTCTTCTATGGACAAAAAATTTCAACACCGAGACAGACTAAATATAGGAAAAAAGGCAATAACTTCGGTTAGTAAAGATACAATGACAATAGATAATTTATAAGGAGGGAAACAGTATCTTGAAACCTAAAATGTAGTGTGCCACCAAATATTTTTAGAAGACGACAAATTATATTACATACTTGAATGAATTTACTTCCCAAAGAATGACCCCCTTGTCCTTGTAGGTTACTGTCCATTTTGTTATAAACCTATTACAGCCTTTGTAGCCTTACAATCCTTACTCCATAGGATATGAGCAATTTTGAAGTAAAAGTTTTGGTTTTGATATCCCACTTTTTGTATAGAAACATCAAACACTTCTGATTATATCCACACCCCCTTAAAAATCCTATCGTATTCACACGCAAAACAGAAATCCAAATTATGACCGTGGGGGGAGTTGCAATTGGGAATTTCACTCTGAAGCTTTGGTTTGCTCATATGGAGGAGAAATCAAATATACATGCAATCAATTTAAAAGTTTAACAAAATACAGGTAAAAAAAATAGCCATATAGGAAAGTAGAGAATGAGTGAATGACCATGTATAAGCTTTGCTCATATGCAACAAATATCCCGTAAATAAATAGTGAACCAACAACAATGCATCACCAGAACAAACATTCATATAAACTTTGATTTCCAACTTATATATCATTATTCGGCCTCCTTTATTTCCAATTCTCCCAACCTCGATTCGATTAGAAACTAAACATGATCAACATCAAGAATCTGTCAGTGAGGTTTCCATCCTTCCCCCAATCTTATGATTAGAAAACACCTCAAAGTTTTCCTTAAACATACCTCCCAACCTCAGCAACGTCTCATTATAAGCCTTCTTGTCCGACCACTACAATCCCCCAAACTCGAAAATCCAACATCTCCGTATGTTGTTATACCTAATTGTACCAAGGGAAAAAGAAGAAGAGGTAGCAATCAAAACACTCACAGTATTGCCAAGTTGAAGGATTTCGGAAAAAATTGAAGTAAAAACCCAAACTCTGTTAGAATACAAAATAACCCAACCGACTATCTAGAATTCAAATATCCATATGAAGAAAAAAGCTTTAGAACCAGCAGGGTTCTCACATCTACTTGTTACAATATCGACACGAACATCATCTACATAACGAAAATCGAGATCGACCATCTATCTGAGTCGGTGGTGTGGGCATTCCTGCATCGCTTCACTCCCATCTCATCAGCGAGTCTCTGCACTTTGACGTTGTTGTCGATGACTTCGAAATAGTAGGAGTTAGATCTGTAATTTCGTGCCATTGAAGGGAAAGAAAATCACAATTGGTTTAATTTGTGAACACAGAAGGGGAAGAAGGCTAGGGCTCAATCATGGGAAAAAAACAAAGAATGATGATGCGAAGAGTCTGTTGAGATATCCCCCGGACGCCCAAAAAAGATTTGCCTGGTTTACTCTAAAACCCTTCCCGCAAGTTGAGGATAAAAGAGGGAACTTGATTGGCGAAAATCTCACAGAACTGCACAATATACTGATGGGGATAAACAATAGTGGCATCCTTTTGTCAACAGTAGCATTCATATATAATGTAAGAAACAAAGTAGCATAAATAGGTAATTCCACAATGAAATGAAAAAGGAAATTTGGTCATCTCAATTCACCATCAGAAGCAGGAAATCATGCGCCAATAACCAAACCAGATTACTCATAAACTTTGAGATCCAGTTGTAGAAAGCGAGTATCAAGCTATACTAACTGAAGTAGGCTTTGCAAACACAGCCTACGGATTGGAATTGGTGTGTGTGGGTGAGGGGCAGAGGGTACAACTATCATCTATGGACTCGTGCAAAAGCGGTTTTTGGGAAACCCTTGTACTGTTGGGATGAAATCAACGGCGGAGGAGGGACATCCAGTTTCCGATTGACAACCCAATTAGAGTGTGTGGGGCGGCAATCCTCCTCGGATTGAAAGGGATGCAACTCGTACAAACCCTAATCGTACAGAGCCGAGCCAATTCCAATCCTAAATACTTTACATGTTCATGAGAATGAAGAACCCTAAGCCCCAATCAGAAGAAAACTACACAGGGGACACCCCAAGTCGGAGAACCTAACTAAAAACACAACTTGGAAATCGTACAGTACCAAAGCCATCGGAATAGCGTAGCCGAGTAGGAAAGAGAGGTTTCGATTTCGGCAATAGAGCTCTCGATGTTAGCCTAAAAGGGTTTCGTCGATCGTGTTCGTCATTGTTGCGGGAAAGAGACAGGAAACTGAGGAAGGAGGATAAGGGTTCCAAAAAGGGGAAGAAAAAAACATGGGTGAAGGTGATGCGTTTGTTTTCTTCCGTAAGTCTGCCCTGCGAAAAAGAAATAGTAAGATTACCTAATATTTTTTCCTTACCCAAACTTTTTCCATCTTTAACATCATGACCAATCTTTTCAATAACATAATGGTCTGAACTAACTCTATCTTTACTTAATTGGCCAAAAGAGTGGACCGTTATGTTGGACGGTCAAGATCGTGGACTAACGGTCAACCCACAGGCCACCACGTCACCACCCGGTCAACATATTGTAACTTAAATATTAATATTTTCCACAAAATACAAATTTTCCACATGAAATTATTATTTTTCAATTAATAACAATAATGAAGAAATAATGAGTATATATAAAGTGATTGGTAGTTCCAGATAGAGCATACAGAGAGACCAATTACGTAGTTGATTATCGGACTTTTATAGTGCACTCATTTTCATTAGACAAACATGTTTTTGCTATTAGGTGTGCTTCGGTCAACTATAAATTCCCTATAAATTGTATTTTGACTTAATTAGGTTGACTTAATTCGGCCAGAAGGTGGGAACTTTCTCCAAAATTAGCGGAGTGGGGCGAAATACTCATTTTGCTAATTCCAAATTTGAATCCCTGTGCTATTTATGTAGGAATATAATAAAAATACTGAAAAACAAAACACAAAAGGGTTATAGATATAATATGCCCCTCTACTATGACGTTTTATCAAACATGCCCCTTTACTATTTTTTTACATCAAATATGCCCCTGTACTTTGAAAAAATTATCAAACATGTCCTTCTGTTAAAATTTCCATTGAAAAAATCGTCAATCATGGTTGAATTGAGATTTAGAAGACCCGATATCGGCAAATGGGAGGGAAAATGTCAGTTTTGTCCACTGTTTTATTTCCTTGTCTTTTCAAAGTGAAATTATTTGAATGATTTGATTATAAAAAAGAACCAAAAAAATTCTAAAGTGAATTTATTAAGGATATTTTAGTCATTTGTGTCGCCCAAACTAAAGTTCGGCGTTGGTTAACGGTTTTTGGATGAAAATTTTAACAAAAGAACATGTTTGATCATTTTTATAAAGTACAAGGGCATGTTTGATGTAAAAAATAGTAGAGGGGCATGTTTGATAAAATGTCATAGTATAAGAGCATATTATACCTATAATCCAACACAAAACAAAACTGATAATAATTAAAAAAAAGCAAAACAAAACAACCAAATAAGGTGAAGAAGAGAAAATGCCTCTCTCTCCCCCAACTAAGCGGAAGAAAGAAGAAGACGCCACCAAGCCAGGTAAAGAGGGGAAGAAGAAGAAGGCACAAAAAATAAAGTTTTGTTTTCTCCCTTTTTCAATTTCCTTTTCTTTTTTCTCTCTGTAGCAACAGAGAGGGAAAAGAAAAGAAAATCGGGGGAAATAAAAGAGAAATTACAAAAGAGGAGAGGGAAGTGGAATAGATAGAGAAGAGGGGAAAAGTAAAAGGATATTCTTCGTTGTTTCGTTTTCATCATTGCAAGAACATACAATTGCAAAGATGGAGGCTGGGTATGGTTGTTTTTCGGGACCTGCCTTCCCCATCCTCGTCTTCTTTTGATCTTCGTGTTCCAAGGTTTGTTCGCCATTTTTCTGTCCGCAATTGCATTTCCCTATTTCTCCCATTTAATTTAAGCTGCTAGTTGGAAGAGTTAGGGTTGGTGCGGATATGACGGAGGAGGAGAGTTCTGTTGGCGTCTTCCCTTTTGCTAATTGAGGGCAATGACAGAAATTTTGAAGAATTTATTTAGTTTTTATTTTATTTTGTTTACCGTGCTCTTTGTCCCCCTCTCTTCTCTTCTTTTCTTGTTTGATAACCCTGGAAAGACAAACTTAATAGTTGTTGATTTTTTATTATTATGTTTCTGGGCATTATTAAGTAATTCTTCTTCTTCACGTGTCGAGCTGAACTTTCTTTGGAATGTTTACTTTTCATATATTCAGTAGTTGCATGATTTATTTCCAAGGAATTTTGGTTTTTTTTTAGAATGGAGGGAATTGTCTATTTGAGTTCCGTTTTGGCGCGCTCATCGGGCATTCACTACTATCGCTGTCACCTTTGTTACAGAGCCCACCTAACCCAACATCAAACCCAGCAAGTTCTTTTTGTTGAATTCAGTTTGAGGGGCCGACCACCAAGTAAACCTTTATAGTCGCGCTCCGGATTATAATATGTACACTTGGATTCTGGCACACTCTTCTGGTTCTTGGCCAATTTGTTTCATCTCCTTCAAATTAGGTTGTCGGTTTGCCGAATCAATGGTTTCTAGTAATTAGGGCTTGCTTTCATGTTTTCAAGATAGAAAGGAGCTAGTTTTTTTTTTTTTTTTTTTTGCGGAAGAATTCAACTTCTAATTGTAAGCTAATGGATTTATGGTTTCTATCTATTTGTAGCATTGTGTCACGGGGACTTGTGAACACGAAAGAAAAGAAGTGTGGGGGAAGATGAACGTTCAACCTCAAAGGAAGAGAAATGAGATGGGAATATATGCCAGATTTGGAAGTATAGCACGTCCAAAAGAACCAAGGTTTGAAGATAATGGTTATGGTAAGAGCAGCGAACCACTAAACATCTCCTTCAATTTGGTGGTGGTTTAAATTTGCTCTCTTGTTTGGGGCAGAATTGAGTTTGGGAAAAATCTGGTTTGGCCTCAGGTAGTGTCAAGTCACTGGTTGAGTGGTTGAACAATTTGTTTCCATATTTGAATTTACCGTCGGAGACAACCGAGGAGGAGCTGAGAGACTGCTTGATTGATGGCACTATCTTCTGCAGCATCCTGAACAAATTGAGACCTGGTGTGATTGACATGGTAAAGATGTGTGTGCTTTTCCCCATTATAAATATGTCCAGCTTACTTTGTGGTCTGAACAACTAGTATTTCTCTTTTCACTTTTGAAACTACGAAAGAGAACCGGTTTCAGGCCTAGTGCCGACTATCTCAAGAGGTTTCTGGATGCAATGGATGAAATGGGCCTTCTTAGGTTTGTACTTGAAGACATACAACAGGTATGGAGATTTACCATAACGGAGTTGAACAGAGCTGTTCGTATTGGATTTCTGACTTCCTTTTATATGCTTTGGACGTTTCGCTTGATGAACTTGTTAGCATTCCGGAGCCACTTCAACCTTGATCATGTGGCATAAGGTGATAGTGAGTTTGGAGCTGTTCTTATCAGTAACTTAGTGCACTTTTTTTCTTGGTGGAAGATGCATTTACTTGCTAAACCAAGGCTTCTAGATATGTTGGTTTGGTAGTTGAGTAATGAATGTACCAGCAACCAATTTCCTCCTTGAAGCAGAAACTAGAAGAACGAGAAGATGCACATAGAGACTTTTAACAATGGATTCTAGGGAACTTTAGTTTACATTCTAAAGAACATAAATTATGATTTGGAATTGGTTTTGCTAATTCATGAGTGCTATTTCCAGGGTTACATGTTGCCTGTATTGCAGTGCCTTGGGACACTTAAGGAGCATTTAGAAAATGCAGATATTCATTCAAGAAAGAGATGGGAAGTACGTGAGGTGGAGCTTTCTAACAGAGTTGATCAGTCACAACATGGATCATCATTAAACTTGGATAATTTTGTTGTTAATGGTGAAGACAAGAAAAAGAATCCCAATAAAGATACATATCAACATGGTCTTATAACTTCTGTTTCATCAGGTACTTGAATCACTCTTTTTCTTATGATATATGATACTGATGATGAACTTGAATCCTGTAAGAGTTGCCATCATCGGCTGTTTGTTGACCATTTGCAATAATTTCATAGCCCGATCCACTTTGCTCCAAAATCACATGCATGTAGTAACTTCCTATTCACTATGTAACTCTATGGTCTTGTATCAGGCAGGATTCGGGGTGTAATCTATCTTGGTGGTTGGGTTATATTTTTAGTTCGTCCAATGAGTCTTTGACAAGCCTTTGACTACCGTATTTTTTTCTTGAGACATTCTTTGTGGTTCGTGCATTGTTGTTACCATCGTTTTGTCTTTATCTATATGAAGATAGTTTGTGTTTATGTTTGAAGATGGAGTTACTCATGTACAAAATCAACCTTGGTTTTTGTTTGTGGTGACTTCTCTTTCAGAGTCATCTCCTTTTTTGCTACTTGATGCGGGAAACAAATTGTCCGAGATGTTGAAGCAAGGTTTCTGCGCCGAGTTTTTGGATGATAACATTAAAGATTTAATAAAGTCAATTACTGTGGATGTAAGTTGCTTAACTCTTCCCTGTTTGGCTTTTGTGTGTCCCAGTATAAGGCATCTCAATATTGAATTAGGCCTATTCTTTTGCATTTGTTCCAAGATTTATGTTGCTCTCATGTGGTGATGCAATTTTCTATGGCAGAATGCATCAACCCACGTGCTTTTCCGTTTTCTAAACCAGATACTTGATGAAAGCATTGACAAAAAGGATGAGCATGCTTATCATGTACGATTGTGAGATATTCACGGTTTTTCTTCTTATGTTCATAAATAATACCTACTTTTCTTCATATGTTCATCATTGGTATCTACTTCTTTGTCATCTATTTCTTTCAGCAATTCTCCTTCTGCAGTTTTTTGTATTTATCCCAGTATCATTTGGATCCTCTTCAGACACATATGGCAAGGATGTTAAAACAAGTGGTGCAAGTTATTGAACAAAGAGTGTATGCTCAAGTTGAGAACTTGAAAGATGTAATACCCTTGAAAATTCTAATTCTCTGTTCTTATCACCATTTGTGTTTGTGCATGCACCATGCTATGCCTTTTCTTTTGATACACTACTGCATATGCTTTTGTTAAATGAAGCATTAGTGAGTATACTTCATTTGTGAATTTCCTTGGCATATCAATGTTGATTTTTTGTGTTTCTAGCAAAACAATCTTTGTAGCGTTTGCTCTGGAAAGTACCAATCTAGATTAAAGGTATTAGAGACCCTTGCTTCATGGAGCACAGAAGAAATTGAGGTGAGTTTACTGCAAAGGATGTTTCTGTTTTGTTTATTTGTCCAAGGTTATGTTGCCTAATGATTTTTTTTAATTGTTGTCTTGACACAGGTTTTGTTTTCATACTTGAAACAGATAAAGGTTTGACCTTACATCCCAATCCTTTTGCTTTAGTGTAATCTTATGTTCTTACAAATGGTATTCATTGTTCAACTGTATGCAATTTTTGCTATAAGATCTTGCATTGCCATGCTCTGGCTTTCTCATGGTCATACAATTTATATATGGTTGTTTCAGTAAAAGAGAAGAAGACAATCTGGAACCCTTTTGTTTCTTACAGAGTGTTGTAAACGGAAAGATCTTTCCGTCACACCTATTCCATTGCAAAGACTAGGCATCACTAGTCCAATTGTAAATGTGTTATTTGTGTTGGGCTAAAAGTTATTAGATCATTATGAAATGAATATATTTATACTCAATAACCAGCTCTTTGAAATCTCTTATAATCATTCTTTTTTGGTAAGTAACAAGTGAAAGTTGAGGGGGTATTTTTTTCCAGACTTTTTGGCTTTAGAACGACAGGTGTGTTGGGATTGTGAGAGTTGAGATGAGCCTCTTTTTCTGAGTTTTAAGCTTTAGAATGATGGGTGTGTTGGGATTGTGAGAGTTGTGATGAGTCTCGTTTTGTAGCGTCTTATTAGTAGGTTGTGTTGGATTTTTTGCTCTTATTGTGTTATGTGATCTTCTTCGTTGCTTTATATTTTCTTTCTTTTCTAATTAATAATAGGGTGGCTACAATATAATAGCCAAACCTTTCGTTTTAAGTAGCGATATCAAACTTGTTATAAAAAAGGTTACAAGGGAAACAACTTTGCTAACATGGCAGAGTCTGCTCGCCCAGATCACCTCGTTGATATAATCTATTATGCATTGTCCTTGTTTCATGCAGATGGATAAAACTGGAATAGAAGAGAAGGTGAGACTCAAAGAAAAGGATCTGACTAATTTGAAGGAAGAAAAAAGATCTTTAGAGAACGAGAATTCCGCACTGAAACGCGAACTGGAGACACTGAAGAGGATACATGAAGAGCATTGCTTGCAGATAGAAACCCAAGCTAAGGAAACAAATCAAGCATTGGAAAAGAAGACACACGATCTTGAGTGCTATTTAATGGAGTCAAAGAAGAGGGCGAAACAACTCGAGTCTTTTTCGGAATCTAAATCAGAGGGATGGAAAAAGAAGGAAGAGACCTTCCAGATTTTCCTCAACAATCACCAGAGAGCTTTACAGGTTTTCTTTCAGAAGACTTTATTTTCTACTAGTTTCAAAGTATATTGTCTTAATACGTGGTATTGGTACTGATAGGAACTGCGAACAGCTTATGCTTCCGTCAAACAAGAAGTGACGATGACAAAGAAGAGATATGGAGAGGAGTTCTACGGCTTGGGTGGGGTTACTGTTTTGTTATCTTGTTTGGTTTAGGTGATCAGTTTTAGTAGAAACCAAATATTTTCTCACAAGGCATTTACTTTCCATTCTGAGTAGGAGTGGAGCTTGAAGGAGTAGTGCATGCTGCTGACAATTATCATTCTGTTCTTGTGGAAAATCGAAAATTATACAATGAAGTGCAAGACTTGAAAGGTATATATATCTCGCACACTCTGTACTCGGTTTGTTTGTTTACTTAAATGTTGAAAAAGGCTTCTTCAACATAAGATTTTAAAATAAGTATTCACCCTGAAGCCCACATAGCTATTGTTTGATCAAATTGTTGTTGATGGTTGTTTCTTGTGTCATTTCACAGGAAACATTAGAGTTTATTGTAGGGTACGCCCATTTCTGCCTGGTCAATGTAAGAAACTAACAACTGTAGAGCATATTGGTGAAAATGGTGAACTACTTGTCTCAAATCCTACAAAGCCAGGGAAAGATAAAAATAGGATATTCAAATTTAATAAGGTTTTTGGCCAAGCTGCAAGTCAAGGTCAGAATTTTCCCTCATCGAGATTATGTTATATCATGCTACAATCTTGTCTCTTTTCTAAAGCATTGTCAGCGTCTTCGATTCTCATAAACTGATCTACATTGTGTTTGTTGGCAGAGGAAGTGTTCTTGGATACTCGACCATTAATTAGAACAGTTCTTGATGGATTCAATGTTTGTATTTTCGCTTATGGTCAAACTGGATCAGGAAAGACCTATACAATGGTATGCTAGTTACTCATATTTCACCCTATTGCATATTTACTTTCTCAAATATGGACAACGTAAAATCTGTTTTGTTTTTTTTTTGTAAATCTTATGTTGCTCATCTGTCTCCTAGAGCGGTCCTAGTATATCATCCAAGGAAGATTGGGGAGTCAATTATCGAGCATTACATGATCTTTTTCACATTGCTCAAAGCCGAAAAGGCTCAATGACATATGAGATAGGTGTTCAAATGGTGGAGATATACAATGAACAAGTTCGCGACCTTCTCACGTGCCATGGTTCTCAGAAAAGATATCCTTTTTGTTGATTTAGTTGACTTTCGTTGATAGCCGACTCAAGCTTAGTTTTCAGCTCCATGGTTATCTTCGAACTCTTACTTAATGGGTAGTTTTGAATGTTCTGTTAGAATAAAAACACCTTTTCCAAATGTTTTCTTTGACTTCCACACACTTGGGATTTGGAGCACAACCCAACCAAATGGGTTGGCTGTCCCTGATGCCAGCATGCATCAAGTAACCTCAACTGAAGATGTCTTGGAATTGATGAATATTGGGTTAATGAACCGTGCTGTTAGTGCCACTGCTTTGAATGAAAGAAGTAGCAGATCCCACAGGTTTCCTCTGTGAACATCATAGTTAGATTTAACATTTGATTCTCAAGAAATTTACTATTGAGAGTTTTCTCAAGATCAAACTCTCTGCAGCATAATCACCATCCATGTCCGTGGCGTTGATTTGGAGTCTGGCACTCTCTTGCGAGGGAATCTACACTTGGTAGATCTTGCCGGCAGTGAAAGGGTTGATAGGTCTGAAGTAACTGGAGAGAGATTAAGGGAGGCACAACACATAAACAAGTCCCTCTCTGCACTTGGAGATGTCATATTTGCCCTTGCACAGAAAAGTCAGCATGTCCCATATCGGAACAGCAAACTTACTCAAGTTCTTCAGAGTTCTCTAGGCAATATTTTGTTTTTCTCAACTCTTTCATTGAATTGTTCTCACCCTTCAAATCAAAATTTGTTTTAGCATATCAAGTTATTGACTTTTTTGTTTTGCTACTTTCACATTTTTGCAGGTGGTCAAGCTAAGACCCTTATGTTTGTGCAGTTGAATCCCGATCCCGATTCATATTCCGAGACTTTGAGCACGTTGAAGTTTGCCGAGAGAGTTTCTGGAGTGGAGCTAGGTGCGGCAAAGAGCAATAAGGAGGGAAGAGACATTAGAGAACTTGTGGATCAGGTTTCTTACCTCCCAACTTTTGATGAAACCATGTGCAACAACGTAAGTACAAAGAGTGTTTACTCTTTTCTCTTGAAATCAATGTTGTAGGTTGCATCGTTAAAAGAAACCATCGCAAAGAAAGACGAAGTGATTGAGAGATTGCAGCAGCTCAAGATTAACACCAACGACACAAAGTCTGTCCGTTTTGTTTCCTCTCCAAGAAGATACTCAGTTGTAGGGAATCTGCGGCTTAGTCCCAAGTCACCGGGAAGGAAAACCTCGCAACTGTCTGATAGGGAAATCGACATATACTCCGAGTATGGTGAAAATCCTTATGATGCTCGGTCACTGCCGCCGTCAATTGATGAGTTAAAACGTGGACGTAGGGGGATTTCGGCACCACATTCCAGGCCAAAGAAAGATTTACCAGCCAAGTTTACTGAAGCAAAGGCGGGCCAGAATTCCAAGGATGATGTCGAGCTCTTCAATTTTGGAGGAAGCGGAGATTCTGATGAGAGAATAAGTGATATATCAGACAATGGGCTCTCTATGGGAACTGACTCTGATGGTTCTTCTGGTAATGCAGTGGAAAATACTCTTTTCCCTGCTGGCTCAACTGAAGCAACAAGCCCTTCCAGGGTGACGAATTCAGTAGAAGCCACCACCAGACTATCTGGTAATGCAACTCAAGCTGGGAGATTCACTGGTACAGGCGCGATACAACCCATGAATAATAATACAGAAAGGTGAGCGAGTTGCTCTATACTTGTGTTGTTGTGCATACATTTTAATGGTAGCAAAGATTAGACCAGATAATGTGTTTTGTTGTTGGGTTTCTAGGCGTGTTGTTACATATAATCTCCCCAAACCATCTCTCAAGGTGACACAAACGAGATTATCTCGTTTGTCATTGCACAAGCCAGGAACCGCTACCTCAAAATTTCAATCAAGTATGCCGCTTCTGTCTCCCTTTCCATACCTTTCTTGGCTAATACTCACTTAGGTTTATCTAACCTCTCCCTCTGTCTTTGATTGTGCTACGCAGTGACATCGACTACCCCTAGGAAAACTACGACTACAAGAGGCAACTCCGCATTAACAACCAGATCGATCAGGCAAACGGGGATCAGGACTGAAAGAAGTTTCTAGTTTGTGATCATAACTCCTTCACACTTGCTTTAACTTTCTTCCTTGTAGGCTTATTTTGTCTTCTTGGCTTCCATTCACCTCATGGAGAAGGGGTTTTTTGGGCTATTTTGTAACTGGATGAAAGGATAGCATACTAACGTTGTTTGTAGAATGAAAATTGTTGTATGTACTAAGGAAAAAAAGAAGAGAAAAAAAGAGCAAGACCATCATCTTATTAGTGGTCGTTATTGAAGTGATGTCTCCCTCACATCACAAACTTTTGTAGTTGTAAAATTGTTGTCTACACTTGAAAACAAAATGAAGATTGCATATGTTGGCTAAAGGAAGTGATAGAAGAACAAAAGGAACGGTTTCTCACTGAGCTTAGCTAAGCTCTGTATTTCACCATGGCACTGGAGCTACCGGAATAGGCAGCTGCCAGCTGAGCTAGTAAATCCGGATATGGCATCTCCACCCATTTCCAGAGAGTAAATGCAGTTTCCTCCCTACGTACTATGGATTTCCTGGAGTAGAAAGTGGTTGTAGAGAGTAAATACAATCCTCGTCCTCCATTTCTAAACTCTCGGAGAAATGATGTTGTCTTCGATCGTGGTGGAAAAAAAGGGAACAAGGAAGAAGAGGTGAGTGAAGGATAAATTAATAGCTGAGGGTAGCTATTTCGAATCCATACTAGGTGAGGTTTTGAAATCTCTCGTTATTTGTTCTCTTTCTAAACGAGTTATTATGTCAAAATTTGACAAATAGAGGTATTGTACAAAAGTCCTCAATGCAATCTCGCACCAACCCCATGAAAAAACGTTTTTTTTGTGTATGAATATTTTGGAATCGGATCAAAGGATGGCATCCTAATGATCCTTGTGGAATGAGAAATGTATAACAAAGGAAAAGGAACAGAAGAAAAAAAAAAGTTGTCACAATAAATAAAAAACACAATTTGTCAAAGGCTGAAATTTAGAGCAGAGGATGCTTAATTGCTGATACAAGATGCATGGCTTCGACCATCAAACAACACAGGTTCCAAACCGATCATCATAGTAGATTGTGCACAAAAGGCCACAAGAGCTGAGCTATATATGCCTACGTACAGACTGCAGTATCAAAACATGTCTACTATCATGGAAATATGAGATATATAGATTTTTGTGAGAGGATACAATTTGTATTATATGACTCGTTAAAGAGTACGTAGCCATGCAAACAAACCGCATGCATGTCAGAGAGACAACCATTTATTCTACAAGATTACATCTCCTTTTATTTTAGTATGCCTAAAGAGATAATATATTGTAACCTCCCTGCGAGCTCTTACTGAGACTGATGTGTATCTGCAGGGATGCTGGGATATAGCAGTCAGCGAAGCCCCAGGTCATTATTCCTTTCGGCAGGGGCTGGTGTTTTTTCAAGGGCACATTGCGCTTCCCCGGGGGTCTTCCTTAGTGACGATCGTGTTGCAGGAGTTCCATGACTCTCTGTTCGGAGGGCATTCTGGGGTCGAGCGGACATTGCGGCGGATTCGGGCGCAGTTTTACGGCCCACAAATGGGTTAGGACTATGTAGCTTCGTGTGACACCTGTCAGAGGGTCAAGGCGTCTCATCTGCAACTGGCGGGTCTTCTGCAACCGTTACCGGTGTCCGAGCGGATGTGGGAGGACATCAATATGGATTTCATTGTCGGGCTTCCGCGCTCCAGAGGGAAGACTTTCCCCTTCGTTGTCGTTGATCGACTGACGAAATACGCCCATTTCATGGCTCTAGCGCATCCGTATACCGCCCGGTCAGTGGCTGAGCAGTTTGTGATTGGGGTAGTACGACACCACGGGTTCCCGAGGTCCATTGTCAGCGACAGGGACTCCGTTTTCTTGAGTCGCTTCTGGCAGGAGCAATGCAGTCAAAAGCGTGATTCTACCTAGAAGCGACGGGTGACCTAGAAGCGTAAAATCGTAAGCTTTTAAGTTTTAAAGCGTAGATTTTGACTACATTTGTAAGGGAAAATCACGATTCTATATAGAATCGTTTTGGTGAACTAAAAAGGTAAAAGCGTAAGCTTTTAAGTTTTAAATTGCGATTTTGACTGCATTGGGCAGGAGGTGTTCGCGTTGGCCCAGACCACCTTACGGATGATTTCAGCCTATCATCCGCAGACCGATGGTCAGACGGAGGTGGTTAACCACTACTTGGAGCAGTACTTGCGCTGCTTTGCCCACCAGCAGCCGCGACGTTGGTTGGCCCTGTTGCCATGGGCTGAGCTATGGTATAACTCTACTTACCATAGAGCGATCCAGATGACACCATTAGAGGCTCTGTATGGGAGGCCGCCACCCTCCATGGTACGCTATCAGAGTGGCACCAGTCTGGTGGACGCAGTGGATCGGTGGCCAGGAGCTCGGGATGAGGCTTTGGAGCAGCTCAAGGCCAATTTGGCGACGGCCAACAACAAGATGAAGCAATTGGCCGATGCAGGACGCCGCGAGGAGGAGTTCGAGGTTGGCGATTGGGTTCTGCTTCGATTACATCTATACAGACAGGCTTCCGTCTTTCACTGGGCATACCAGAAGTTGGCGGCTCGATACTTTCACTATAAGGTACTACAGAAGATTAATCTGGTGGAATATCGTCTCCAGCTGCCAGCTGATGCGCGTATCCACTCTACTTTCCACGTGTCTCTACTGAAGAGATACAGGGGAGCGGCTGATCGGGTGGAGACGACTGCACCACCGGTCTCAGCGGATGGTGATCTTGAGTTGACTCCTTTGCAGGTCCTAGATACCAGATGGATGAAGAAAGGCGGGCGCTTGATCGAGGAGAGTTTGGTTATGTGGCAGCATATGGAGAAAGAGGATGTTACTTGGGAGGAGACAGCGACCCTCCGGCAGCATTTCCTGACATTCGACCTTGAGGGCAATGTCGTTTCTGATGGGGAAGGGGATGATAGAAACCATCGCCGAGAGGGGGTGAACGGGTAGGGTTGGGTCGACCGCTTGGGCCGGGTTTTAATGGTTGTTTTATTATTTCCTGTTAGTTCTCTGAAACTCATAAAAAGGGGGTTCAGTACGTTCATTTGGAATTAAGCAATAAGAATATCTAAATCCCTAAATCTATCTTTCTCCAGTTCTTCCTCAATTCTCTCAAACCCTAAATTCTTCTTCTCGATCCCTAATTCTGACTCTCAACTCCCTTCTTCCTTTCTGGGATCTATCACTGTATCAGTAATTCGAGTGACCAAAATTGATATTAAAATTTTCTCACTCAATATTCATTATGTCAAATGAAACAACTAACTTATATCGAAGGTTGTTCTTGTTCCACTTGGGTTTGCCACGGAAGAATCTGTAATCCTTTTGGTCCCCATAATAATTCAGGGTCATAACAAGATCATGGTCTGAAACGCCGCACCTAGGGATAATCAATTGGGCCGTCGTGGCGCGGTCCAAGGATCCTGAGACGGGGATGCGATGAGTTCGTTGATATCGCTTGATTGCGGCCTCCAGGAGCTCATCGAATCCTTCGTCGTCGTTTTGGTGCGTCGTGGCTACGTTGGGGTTGGTGTCCTTGTGATCGTTGAGGTAGTATCCAAATTTCTGGAGGTACTGTTTCACGTCACGAAGCCCTTCAATGGATTGGCCTTTGCGGACGCCCTCCAGTTGCTTGATGAACCCTAAGGGTGCTGCGAATGCTGCTGAATTGATGACAACGAGAGAGACCAGAAGAAATGTGGCTGTAACAACTCTCAAAAGCGTCATTGTTGACATAGTAGATTACTTTCAAGAGCTTTTTGTGTTTATGGTTTTGGATATGTTTTGGGAGGATAAGTTAGCTTTGGAATCTCTCTTATATATAGCAACGGTGGGATCAAAGGGAAGTAACATTGTGCTGTGGTATTCAAATAGTTACCGTGGTAATAACCAAACCAATTAAGCATAAATTTCATTAACCATGGAATAAAATGTCTTAACCAAACCGTCCAAATTAACACGAAAACCAAATTAACCAAACTTGGTTTGGTTAATTGGATAATCGGATTAACCAAATAACATAACATGAAAATAATTATCATGTTAATGAATAAAACATAATCATATGTTATTACTATCATAAACTATCATTATATATAAACAATAATAATAAGACTAACCATCCATGATTATCATCATCATTCGAGTTAATACATCATTCATCATCTCTGCACCTAATATAGTTAGCTTAAAAATAATCATTAACATAAATATTAAATACATACCAATACCACTCATCAGGAAGTTAAAGCTCTCATACAAAACACTTAAACTATACATAGTTTGAGTTGGGTGTCATGATATTGTACGTAATCCTAAAGTATAGTAGCTGTCCAAAATGTTTTGGTTTAGTAAATAGGCAGATGTATTTAATTTTTTATCCACAATGCTTTGGTTTGTTGTGCACATGGAAATAAAATAGGGAATCACGAAAGTTTGATTTGATTGGTTGCATGGAAGTATAAATAATTTTGTATGTTAGGTGTATCATTAATTGGTTTCATTGGTTAGCAGTGTTGAAACCAAACCAAACCACATAAACCAAACAAGCTAAATTGTTTAACGACCAAACCAAACCAATTATCCAAATTAACCAAACCAAATTAACCGAATACTACCGGTTAATATGGTTACCACGGTAACGAATCCGTTTGAACACCCCCTATATTGTGCAATATGATGAAGCTGACTTTGCGGTGGAAATGGGGTATGTGTAAGTGGGGTTAATTAGGCAATTGTACTTATGACACATTTGATTAGCTGGTAGGGTTAGGGTTAAAGGCTACATATATTGTACTTATGACACAATTGATTTTTGGCTTGTATGAATGTGGAAATCTTTGAGATGAGTGAAATTTTAAGTTGTTGTGTGATATACTTTGAATGTTGATACTATGGATGGGCTATTGAATAGTGATGACAATGAGGCGGGCGGGCGGGGCGAGTACTTCAATATTAATGTTCCGCCCCATTCTATTGTGGGGTCGGGGCAGGTAATACTCGCGCGGGTATGAGGCTGGGCAGGTCGATACACTTTTACATTTTATGTGAAAAATATACATGTAAAATTTTACTTTTTATGATAAAATGAAGGGGAAAACATTTTATGAATGAAAATAGTGATACTAGAATGGGTAATTGAGTCTAACTAGGGGGTCGTTTGGATGGATCATTTGTTGAGGTGTGGTATTTGTGCACAAACAACTCAATTTTTCATCATGTGGTATTTCAAAGTTATTTGAGATTGAAATGTGGTATTTTAATTTGAATTGTCTTGTTTGGGTGGATGAGTTATTTGTATGTGGTATTTCGTTAAAAGAACAAAAATTACTTTATCACCCTCCTTATATTTTGTTTCAGAAACATCATTGCCCTTCTTCTACATCCCAATTTCTAGAAATTTGGCAGGGGACTCGGCCTGAGGAGGTTTATAAAAAACCAGTTCCTTTCCTCCACCGACTCTACCTTGTTGGGTAAAGCTTCAATTACAAAAATCAATCTCAACTCAATTCAAACGTCGGCCGAATTTAAAGCTTCAATTACAGAAATCAGACTTAACTCACTTCAATTTGAGAATCCAAAAACAAGATTGGAAACTTTCTTAACTAAGAGAGACCAAAAATTAATCAACAACCTGCTTTCCCTCATCGTCGCTCTCCATCGTACATGTAGCGCCGCCGCCGGTCTCATCACTGCTTGTACATGCATCCACTACCGTCTGTCATCACTTTCCATCTTCGATTCTTCCAGGACTAATTTATTTCATTAAAGTCCATCCCAACTCCCTTCTCTTCTGCTTCGCAAGCAGAATCCGTTGCCCTCCGCCGTTGAGCCACCGACGCGCCTTCCCTCTCTTCCTCTCTCCTCCCACCTCCTCTTAAGTTCGTCAATCCCCCCATTGTAGATGTCAGAGATCGATCTCCCAGAACAACGACCGACTCTTTGTCCTCTCTATTCGTCGTCGTCGACGCCGCCGGGTGAGTCTCTGTTCGTCGCAACTGGAGCTTCCCACTACTCAATCTGATTTGCATGGTGCAAAGAATCCGAAGGTAGTAGGAAAATCGTTCAAAACTCCATCGATTTTGTTTCAAGCTAGAAGAACAGAAGGATTCGCAGTAAAAAGAAAAGGAAGGTGAGAGGAGAGAGGAGAGAGGCGAGGGACAAAAGTGGTTGAAAAGTGGTTTGGATGAATTATTTCAAAATAACACCCCTCCCCCCAGTTATTTGTAATAACTCGTTTTTTAGTTATTCTCAAATAACTCGACCCAAAATAACCCAATGAAACAAATGGTTGCCAAACAAGTTATTTCGGCCTAAATAATTCATTGAAATCATTCATCCAAACAATCCCTAGTTGAAATTGAGATAGAATGGACCCAAAACGGGTTAGAAGTAGATATTCATGCATCGTCCCACGCTGTTGCGTGTCGGGTTATACCGACTAGGTGGGTACAAATTCCCATCCCTACTATTTTTATTTTTTTACTAAATCCCATCCAGGAGAATAAAAGTAGTTGGTGGCGTCCAGACTATGTTCCTATATAATTAGTAATTTTTGTATCAAATAACAGGTTTTATGCAATGTAGTTGATCTTAAATACCACATTTCTCCTCCTACGTTATAGGTATACGTTAAATAGGAATCCAATACTAGTATGGTTAAATTAGCTTGTATGGTCAATTAGACCATAATTATTAATTACGCAATTGTGATGTAGTGGATCAGATCCGGTGAGTAACCTTGTGGTGTTATAACCCAATAAGAATTAGCTACATCAACGCCTCCTTCTCTCTCCTCGAAAAATGTTTAATTTTCATTCCCTTAATATTTAACAGATGATTTCTCACTCGTTTTAACTCGGAATTTAATTTTTTTTTTTTTGCATTGTTAGATCAGATTAATTATGCTCTTCAAAATCATATCCACTTTGATATTTTTTGGAACAAAAAAATTTGCCATTTATAACCAGTCTATACCATATGGTATTGACTGATATTAAATAACATCAAACCATATGGTATGAAAAATACCACCCCACACCAGGGTGGTATAGTATGATATGGAGTTGGTAACGAGAGGTATGAAATTTTTTCACCCAGAAAAATTTGAAATCCAATAGACCATGATTAAATTTAAATCGTTCCTTCTGTGCAAAATTTTTCAAAAATGACTAAAAAACGAAAGAGATACCATATGATATGGAGTTGGTAACGAGAGGTATGATTTTTTTTTCTCAAAAAATACTGAAAATGGATATAATTTTGTAGAGCACAACAAACTCATTCCATGTGTGCAAAAAAAAAAAAAAAAAATTGAAATTCGAGTTAGAATGAAGAAGATATGATCCAATCAAGAAAACTAAGGAAAATAAATTCATTTAATTCTCCACCATCAGATCTCCAGCCACTTAAAAGAAGGGTCCAAATTTAGTTACTCATAGTTATGCACCCTGAGGTTATGCAATCTATGTTGAGCCGTGATGGAGTTCATATACTCATATAGTTAAGTTACAACAGAAAACCATGATGTACTTTTCATGTTCTGAATACTTATAAAATACATTAAGTGTCCGCATTGTTACAAATCACTTTCATTATATCATAATAAACAAAAATTAACAAAGTGTTTTTTATTTCGAAGCATTTTATATTTAGCCCAAAGCTATACAATTTTTTTTAACACTTCCGATTGAAACTGATAAAACCAATACAACTTTCAAAAAGCAAATAGTAGGATAATGAATATACTTTTGTATTCACCATAAATTAAGCTAAATTCATTACTTCTTTCAAATCTCAAAATCTCTCATTATTTTTTTTCGTTGAATCAATCTCTCATTATTTTCAATAAAACGGTAATAATTCGTGATGACATGAGTGGAGAGAGTTATCACATGACTAAACACGAGGGAGTCACCCTAACTCGAGAACTATGCTTTTATTTTTATTTTTTATTTACGTCTTCGGAGGAGAAAGGCCAAATAGTGAATAAAAATTTATTTCAATTTTGGATTTTTGATAAAATTGGAAAATTTAGATGGAGTTTATTTGATGTAGTAACGTATTTGATGTTTTAAAGTTAAAAAAAAAAGAGTTTGAGGTGTAATGGATACCGTCTTTTTATGTTCAATGTAAGTTCAATGATTTTCAAATTAAAGAACTGTCACTTTTTCTTGCAAAATCCGAAACTAGTCGCTAATTTTTCTTAAAATTTAGAGTTGTCATGTGACACTCTTAAACCTCATTGAATCCACCCCCCGAGTACCAAGAGATGAATTAGCTAGTAGGATTATGACCAAAGAATATGCATATTATACTTATGATATTAATTGAGATTATCGAATAACAACAACCCTAATATCTTTTTGCCCAATCCTTATTCTCACAATTATATATTAACTCTCTCTCAAGAACCCTCTCGCCTTTCTCTTAAGTCTTATATTAACTAGGCAGATAACGCGCGTTGCTGCGAGTTGGTCAACTATTGGATTATTGTGGTGGCCCATTCATATGTGATTCTCTTTATGGTGGTGTATTTACAATGGTAATTTTGTTTTGTTTTTTGTGAGGATGATAATTGTTTAGTGATGATTCTTTATTTTATATGTATAAATATAGGTGAAAATTTAATGTTAAATTGTAGAAAAGTCTAACTCGATTGGGGATGAAATGTTAAGAGAGAAGCAAAGGGAGTAAAAAGTGGAACTCACCTTAAAATTCATAGTTTCACGCGCAATCCACAATCGCAAACAATTGGCTAGTCCATATCAGACCAACCAAATTCAAGAATCGATCAAATATTTTAACGATATCACGATTTTACTTATCTCAATAAGTTCTAATTAAATATGTACCTCCTGTAATATTTTTTTAGTTGTTCAATTTATTTGAGAAAAAACATCGAACCAATGGCACTTAAATTCGAGTGATTTTTTGTGATTCAACACGTAATTCCAAACAACCGGCTAGGTCATAGTCCGACAAATTTAAGAACTTATTCATTATTGTAATTGATTCACAATTTTACGGATCTCACTAAATTCTAATAAGAAATTCCTATCTTGTTTAATTCTAATTAAAAATTTTGATGTCTCTTTTATTTCTCTTTTTTTTTTGTAATACCTTGTTCTTTTTTTAAAATATTAATTTTTTATGAGTGGAAACAAAGAAACAAAGGTCTAAAAAAAAAATAGTGGATAGTCAAGATACAATCTGGACCCCCACTCCCTTAATTATAGCAAAACTAAGTCTTGTAAAAATGTAAGCGGCTGACTGAGCCCCTACATCCTAAAACATGAAGAAAAATGGCATTAACTTTGTCCCTCCTCAAGTTTGGTCATTAAAATGACATTAGCTTTATCTAAAAACTATTGTGGCTTAGCCCAGAAACAATAAAAGTGGTATAGATTAGAGAAACCTTAGGCAACAGTAACCCTTATTCAACTTTATATATATTAATTAACTATAATATATTAAACAAACATCATGCATTGTTCTAGGAGATTACATCTCCTTTTATTTTAGTAAGACTATAGATCATAATATATATACACGGTGACCTCCATTTCCATACGAAGCAGTGATACATCTCTGAACGTCGCTTTTATTTTTCAAGACAGCCCGTAGAGTTTACGGATGCCCTCGATATCAGCGCTCTGTAATTCCCGCTTGATTTTCCCGGTGTTCAAGTAAGGGTACATGATCGCTGCCTTATTGACGCTGTGAAGAAGCCCTAATGTATGTCCAATCTCATGCACCGCAATGGACTCCAGATCCATTTCCGTTGGGCTTGGGTCATCACTCCATTTAAAATCTGCGTTGTAATGGAGTTCTCCGTAACGTGGCGGGAACGCATGGGCCGTGGCCCCTTTAGCCCCTTGAAATGGAGACCTGTCTCCATGGCGGCGAGAAAAAAACGAAATTTTCAGGTCAGCCGGCGCGAAAGTACCGGCAACATAGTCGAACGTGAATTCTGTTACATTCTTCCAGCTCTGGAACGCCTTGTCGACGGCCGCCTTGATGGTGGGTTCCTCCAACCCGGCAGGAGGGCTGCTCGTGATCCCGAACCTATATTGAAGGTTGTTCTTGTTCCACTTGGGTTTGCCAGGGAAGAATGCATAATCGTTGGGCTTCTTTTGGTCCCCATAGTCCACGGTCATAATAACAAGGCCATGGTCTGAAACGCCACACCTAGGGATCATCATTTGGGTTGTCGTGGCACGGTCCAAGGCCCCCGAGACGGGGATGCGGTGAGTTAGCTGATATCGCTTGATTGCGGCCTCTAGTAACTCATCGAATTCATCGTAGTTTTGATGCACTGTGGCTTCGTTGGCGTTGGTGTCCTTGTGATCATCATTTAGGTAGTAGCCGAATTTCTGGAGGTACTGTTTCACGTCACGGAGCCCTTCAATGGATTGGCCTCTGCGGCCGCCCTCCAGTTGCTTGATGAACCCTAAGGGTGCTGCGAATGCTGCTGAATTGATGACAACGAGAGAGACCAGAAGAAATGTGGCTGTAACAACTCTCAAAAGCGTCATTGTTGACATATAGTAGATTCTTTTCAAGAGCTTTTTGTGTTTTTGGTTTTGGATATGTTTTGGGAGGAAAAGTTAGCTTTGGAATCTCTCTTATATATAGCAACGGTGGGACCATGACTAAAGGGAAGTAACATTGTGCAATACGTTGAAGCTGACTTTGCGGTGGAAGTGGGGTATGTGTAAGTGGGGTTAATTAGGCAATTGTACTTATGACACATTTGATTAGCTAGTAGGGTTAGGGTTAAAGGCTACATATATTGTACTTATGACACATTTGATTTTTGGCTTGTATGAATGTGGAAATCTATGAGATGAGTGAAATTTTAAGTTGTTGTGTGATATATTTTGAATGTTGATAGTATGGATGAGCTATTGAATAGTGATGGCAATGAGGCGGGCGGGCGAGGCGAGTACTTCAATATTAATGTTCCGCCCCATTTTATTGCAGGGTCGGGGCAGTTAATGCTCGTGCAGGTACGAGGCTGGGCAGGTCGATACACTTTTACATTTTATTTGAAATACATGCAAAATTTTACTTTTTATGATAAAATGAAGGGAAAACATTTTTGAATGAAAATAGTGATACTAGAATGGGTAATTGAGTCTAACTAGTTGAAATTGAGATAAAATGGACCAAGAACAAGGTGGGGCATGACGGGTTGGAAGTAGATATCCATGCACCGTCCCCACGCTGTTGCGTGTCGGGTAATACCCGACTGGGTGGGTACAAATTCCCTTCCCTACTATTGAAGGAGAATAAAAGTAGTTGGTGTCCAGACTATTTTCCTATATAATTAGTAATTTTTTGTATCAAATAACAGGTTTTATGCAATGTAGTTGATCTCAAATACCACATTTCTCCTGCTACGTTATAGGTATACTAGTATGGTTAAATTAGCTTGTATGGTCAATTAGACCATAATTATGAATTACGCAATTGTGATGGAGGTCATATGGGTAAGGGGGTTAATTAGGCAGTTGCTATTAATTAATTAGTACTTAGTACCATTCCTGGCGGATCCAACAATTTTTTAAGAGGTGTCATTTTTCAAAAACAAATAGCTGAAAATAAATTTATTTTTTCGTTCACCATAAACTAAGCTAATTCATCCCTTATCAAAAAAAACTAAGGAGTCGTTTGCTTGTTGGATTTGAAAAATGAGGGTTTTGGCCAATAAAAACATTGGTATTTATGTTGGATTTATTGTATTATGGATTTGAAGAGTCTAATATTTGCATAGAAATGAATTTGAAGAGTCTAACGGATTCATCACTTCTTTTTTATCTGAAAATGTCTCATCATTCTTAATAAAATAATAATAATTCACGATGGCCTGAACGACGTTGTCAGGGGGAGTTCTCACATAACTAAATTAGAGTGAGTCGCCTCAATTTAAGAACTCTACATCTTTTTTTATTTGTGTGTTCATAGAGGGCCGAATAGTGTAAAATTTTGTTTCAACTTTGGAGTTTTGATAGAAATGGATAATTTGATTGGAGTTTATTTGATGTATTAACATAAATAATGTATCAAAGTTCACAAAAATGAGCTTGATGTGTAATGGATACCACATTTTCAAATTACTACAAGGTCAAAGGTTTGAAATTTATGAACTATCATTTTCCCCCGCACCTCATAAACTACTACTTGTGCGCGTTTTTATCGATAATTTTCCCTCAATTTAGAGGTGTCACACAATACTCATAAACCTTCCTGCGCCGCTCCTGAGTATTAGCTAGTAGAATTACAACCAAAAGATATACATACAAAACTTACATGCATATCGTGAGAAAGTCAAAACATCTAGGGGTACCGAGCATGAGGAAGGACACGAAGAATGAAGAAGATTTTAGGGTTAGTTTTTATTTATTTATTTTCTGTTTTCAAACGCTGGACGTGTGAAATTCTGTCTCCGGCAAGCTTGGGACAGGTCAGAGCGAGGGAAGAGACTCGGTTGAAGGCAAGGAGGAGGAAGAAGAAGGCAAGGATATTTAAGTCATTTTAATATAAATTAGGGCGACAAATAAGATGTTTTAGGGCGACAAATAGCAATGCCCAGAGAAAAATAATGATCATTTCTAAAAAAATGCAAATGTATGTGTATAATTAGGGGTGGATGTCGGTCGGTTTAGTTATAACAAAAAATCAAAGGTTCGGTTATCGGTTAACCGAACCACCCCTTCTGGCTATCGATCGGTTAGTGGTTCGGTTAGCCGATGCAACCGAAATTTTGGAATTGGATTTATGATTTTGGATCTAGACGAGGGGGAAGGTGGCGATGGAAGAGGGAGGGTCAACAAGGTGGTGAGGCTCGACGACATCGTCGGGAGGCCTCAAGCCTTATTAGAGCTCGCCACCCTGCTTCGCTTCATCGGCCTCAAGCCGGCCTCCGACGACCAGATCCATATCCTCCTCGCCGACATCAACGCCAACGACAATGGCTCCATCGAATTTGACGAACTGGGCTCCGCTATCGCCAACGACGTCGACGAGCAGACACTGGTGAACCAGGACCACCTCCTCGACTTCTTCAAGTTGTTCGATCGGGACGCGTGACGGAGGATGCAGACGAGCGTGGAGGCGGAGGAGGCAGATGGACGGACGACGATTTAGTGGCTGGGAAGAGTGGCGGCGCAGGGAAAGGGCGATAAGGTGGTCTGGGAAGGAAGAGTGGCGGCGCTGGGAAGGGAAGGGGCGAAGGGTTGCGGCCTTGCGGGCAGTTAGGGTTTTTGGGGTTGGGGACTTGGGGGTGTACTGTTGCGGTTTTGGGGTGTGGAGGGCAGCATTTTCGGCTAGCCGGTTAACTGCCTCTGATTACTCGCCTAACCGAAGCACCCTTCTGCCCCTCCGAATACCGACCGATTTTTGGTTTTTGTCGGTGTTTGGTTAACCGCTAATCGACGATTATTGGTCAAACCGAACGGTTAGCCGATAACCGACAACCGATTGCCCACCCCTATGTATAGTAGAGTATGTTCGGGTTGAATATTGTGAACACCATGTCCAATCAACATTAGCAATATTCGCGTTCGAGCTTTACCCACACTTATTAAAAATCTTTTGAATTCGAATTTTATCCTACACAATTAGATCGAATTACGGCGAGTATCCACGTGTATGATTATTCTTGTCTATGCACCTTTCCTTCTGCTAATCAAGCTTCCATCCTCTTGTCTTACCATGGCACTGGAGCTATGGGTACGGGAAGTCGAACTGGTCTCCCTGGACATGGCATCTCCAACTCGGAATCGACATGGAAGAACTCAATCTTCGAGGTCTTCAGATCAAACACACCAATATCACACCAAAGTTTCCTATCAGAACCACGACATTGTTCCATCTCCAGAAAGTAAATGCAACTCCCTCTGATCCCCAATTCCCACTCTGCTCGAACCGAAAATGGCTGCCCAAACCATAGAAACACAGCAAACCCTCCCAATTGATCTGTAATCTCAACCCACTTCCTTCCCTCTCTATCAATTCTATACACATCAAACCCACAAGTTCTTGAGTAAAACCTGTCATCACAACTTTTCCCACATTCTCTGTTCCCATGAACCAGCAGGATTTCCCCCTCAACTTCCACCAGTGACTTCAAAACTTTCCCTCTGTTGAATTTCGTATCCATACTCCCAAACGCCACAACCCTCTTCTTCTTCTCCTCTTCCTCCCTGCCATCGAAATCGCAGCAGAAGAGCTCCCCTGTACTCATCAACACGTAGAGACACCCTTCTTCCAGGCTGCTGCAGAGTGCATCCACTATGTAATCCTTCACCCCAAATTGATACTCTGGAAACTCCAGAACTTTCCACTTTCCATCCCCAACCCTGCAATACTTCAGGTAGGTTTCAATAGGCTGGACGACGACGACGAACCAATCGGAAACCGAAACGGAGTGAGTACCGCTGCAGGGAGGAGGAGCTTGGATTGAGACTCTTCTGGAACGCCTGTATCCCCACAACAGGAAATCCAGGTGCTTGATTCTCTCCACCTTCTGTTCTTCGGGCAGAGCGAATTCGGAACCGGTTAGAGGGTTCTGCAGAGTCAATTTGCAATTGTAATCAAGAACAAGCATCCATCCTCTGCACCACCCGATGCAGAGGCTCCTCTCTGCCAGCCGCCATGGAATTTCAAGGACATTGTTATTGCTGTTGCAGCTCTCATTATGGTGATGGTTGATGAACTCTGTTAGTGGAATGAACTTGCGGGTGCCGAGGGTGTTGTTATTGCAGGGAGGAGGAGGAGGAGGAAGAATGAGGCCTGGAATTTGTCGTCCGATTAGGCGGTGGCGATCTTGTAAGCCGGCGAGTCTCCACGATCGGGATACGCCGGTGAAACGGATGTTGGCGGAGAGGGTGGTTAATTTTGTGGCCACTGTGTTGAGGAGCTCATCCGGAAGGTTTTGCCAATCGGCCGCCATTGTTGTGGGGTTTTTTTAGTTTGAAAACAGGGGAGGTTAAATGTCTTTTCTATCTCCTTGTACTGATGAATCTTTTTTACTTTTTCAGATGATTTATTCTTCCATTAAGCAAAATGCCTTCGTGGTAATCAAGCTACCAATTTATATCATTGTGGTAATAATAGTAGTAGTTGGTTATCAGTAAGTGGAGGTGTCTGTTTCTAGAAGGTGTGCACTTTATTGATAGTTCAAAATGCCTTCGTGGTATACAAATTTCTACGATTATTTACGTGATTGACAACTGAATCCGATCAACTGGCCGGGTCCGTTACTAGTTTAATTTATAGGATAACTCTTTCTGCTATTATTTTAAATATAGAGTGTTTAAAAGATGTCAAACTTTTATTCATCAAACACAACGAGGTGTTTGAATCACAAAGTGGTCAAAATACAACCAATAGGCGAGTACATTGTACACTGGTGGGTGCATAAAAACATGTAATTGTGTAGAAAGTGCATAGCCTATAGAAGTAAGGTAATAAGCTACAATTCACCTCTCAATACACATGCTCTATCCTAACTTGTCAAAAGACGAGCTTATCGCAGTTTGATTTCAGCTATGCACATGTAATGTGGGTGTCATAGTTTCTATGAGCGTCTTAACTATAAATGAGTCTATATGAAAAACATCTGAACACCCATCATAGATCTCTATTGAGAAAACACTTCGGCTGATTAATTAACTAATATATATGAAATTATCATTTTATATTTCTTTCCTTATTATATAAGAACTTTGAATTCGATCATAAATAAAAAAAACTAGTAGAAATAAAATAAATATTTAGAATTCGTACCCCACTCATATACGGAAGCAGTCACTCCAACTCTGCACATTACCAAGAGAAAAACTGAAAAATATCATGGTAACACTTTCTCCCCAAACGGAAATAAAACAAAACAAATGCCAACAAATTAAATCGCAAAGCCCATCAGTATGACATCAACTAACTAACGACCTTCGCATCAAGTCTGAACAGTGAACACAGATACACCACCTGACCAATATAAAAATAATAACAATTAATCAATAATCATATCCTTAATTTCTAATGAATTATAATAAAAAAAATCATTACCACACTCAAATCATAATTATAAATTAATTCCCCACAAATAATTACACGTAGATACATACCCTGGTAGTACTTTTCCTTTACTGATTTGGAACAACAAATAATTCTAAATCCATAGAGGAATAGTTAAGAAGCCGCGACTTAATTATAAAGCTCTCGCCCTCAATTGCAACATGGAGATCATACGGTCCCCGTGAACCACTAACCACCACCGCGCGCCACCAACATAGCTAATTTTCACTACAACTCAAATCGATCTCCTCTTCCACCGCCGCCGCCGCCGCCTTCCCATAGCAATAAATATGACGGCCAGTACCACAGTCGAGGCCATCGCCAAGACCAAGAAACGACGCCGCACCACTTACCACGGCCGCGACAAGAAAGTGCTAGTCTTGGCGGAACTCCCACTTTTCCCTCTCACTCCCGGCGACCTCAACCCGCCCCCAAACCCCGCCGCTCCTGCCGCCGGCGATCCGGACGTCGTCGACGACGCATTATTAATGCTCCGCTTGGGCATTAATATTCCTAGTAATGATCAGCCGAATATGGTGGTAGTCGGGTACGTATCAAAATCTCGTTTTAAAATTTAAATGCTTAAGTTAAAATACTTTTATGTAAAATCACGTTTTTTTCTCTCTTTACAATTGTAGTTAAAATCTACACTATAAAGATTAGAAGCTTACGTTTTTTCTCGATTCCAAATTATCAAATCGATTCTACATAAAATCACGATTTTGACAGCATTGCATTTCTAATTATCAAGTACGTCGCTGCATGCATGCAATAAATAAATAAATAACCTAGCTACTAGCTAGGGCTATATATATAACTCATTCGTCGATTTTCTTGTCTTAATTAGGCACGAGCAGGCGGCGGGGGCGGCGATGGTGGAGGAGGAGGAGGAGGTGGCGTGGACGATAAGGAAGGTGTTGACGAAGAGCGACATCAACGACTGCTCGAGGCTGTTGATAGCAAACGACTTGGCGCGGCAGCACGTGTTTCCCTACCTGACGGCGGAGGCGGCGGAGAGGGTGGAGAGCGGCGGGTGCAAGGCGGAAGGGGCGGCGGACGTGGTGGTTTGGGACGTGGACACGAGGTCAGAGCACCGGCTGCAGTTCCGGAGGTGGAACTCGACCCGGGGCTACGTGTTCAACAATGAGTGGACGGGAGGGTTTGTGAGGAGGAGGGAGCTCAAGGAAGGTGACGAGGTTGGTCTCTGCTTTGACGGCCGACGTGGACGGTTCGTCTTCTCCGTTCTTAACCGGGCAGCAAATTGATTGACTTATCAGGAGAGATTCGCTGATTAGGGATGTTGATTTGTTTGATTTCTAGATGAGCAAGCTAGGTGCGTTGGGTATCTTTTGGTAATTCCCTGTACGTGTTGTCAAATATTAGCAGTACAGAAGATAAATTGGCAGGGGATTTTGTTTGTTGTTAATGATAATCTACATATTTTTGTTTTTTCTACAATTGGTGGTTGGTCACTGTCTCTCCTATATGAATATTCCTGTACTTCTAGTTCTATCTGGAGAAATTTTACAATGCTATATAGTATTGGTGCTATAGATTTTTACTTTTATGGTACAACTTCAAGTTGTACTTTTAACGTTATGGTAGAACTTCAGCTTGTACCTATACTATTTTACAAATTCTTTTATGGTACAATTTGAACTTGTACCTTTATCTGATGGTACAACTTAAAGTTGTGAAGTTGTACCATAACATAAAGGAATAAATTTATTTATGGTACAACCCAAATTTATACATTTTACGTTATGGTACAACTTTAAGTTGTACATTAAAGCACCTATACTTTATAGCATAATAGAAAGGCTCATCTAACTATGTTAAAAAAAAATGATGAATAACTTATGTTATTGTGATGTGTTATTCATAATTTATATTTTTCTACGCTTGATGAATAGCTTTGTTATTGTGATGTTGTTCTATGTTGTTGTGTGGGGGTGGTGTTGAGTGCAAATAAAATAGCACAGTATATTGATCTGATAAAATTGATTTATATATTATAAGACACGATATCAAATTTTAAATTTTCTTTTACAAAATATCATTTATAAAAACATACTGTATTAATTGTCTTGAAATGTTGCTAATAACCTAATTCAGTGATAATGTTCATACAAAAATAAATTTTATTATTATAATTAGTTAGCTTGAATTTTATTCAAAAATATCGAAGACACAAAAAAATTTATACGACAAGACAAGTCAAAGATAATATATGTTCTTTCAGAGATATCTAGTGGACATCAATTTTCTGTCACTAATCAGGTAGGTTAGGATAATAGAGGAAAACCGTAACAACAAGGTCGTTGTAGTATAGTGGTAAGTATTCCCGCCTGTCACGCGGGTGACCCGGGTTCGATCCCCGGCAACGGCGTCGATTTGAATCTTTTTATGCTGCTAACCCAGACTCTTCTTTTTCCCTCACATAGGACAAACGACAAATTGCAAACTTACTCCCACATTGTAAAATACAAAACCCATCTCGTATGGAAAGGCAACAAATTGACTTGATTCTGTGGGACACAGACAAACAAAATCCAGAGGAAGATCCAAAACCAGAATCCACATATAATATATGATTACTCTTTGATTCCATGCCCATATGAACAACAGCTACTGAGCATCTTCCAAATCTCATGCACATTACCACTATTAATTCCACAGGGGACGCAATGAATGAAAGAGCCAAAACAGACCGTCATGCAAATGAATCTCAGCAGCAGCAGCAACCAATTCCAGATAGAACATGGCTTCATCATATTATTTGAAGAACCTAAGAAGAAAGCAGAAAAGGTTGCAGAAAGAACTCCTAGCAGCAGCTTTGGAGACAGATTTAATATAATACAACGTAACCCCCAATAGCACATTAAGAATTAAACTCTATCCTCTCTAAGGAAATCTGTACTTCCTTCCCTGCTATAACTTTTTTCTTGAGCTACACACTTTATGCACAATATTTGTGTTTCCTATCTCTAACTCCCTACTCTAAACCAATGGCTTCCAGAACCAAAAAGGGGAAAGATCAAAACTTTCAATTGTACATCTTACAACATCATTCTCTTCCCTGGTCATCTGATCTCCCGATCGATGCAAGTCGGACTCTTGCTTTCCAAAAAGCAATGCTCTTTCTGTTTCTTCATTTGAGTGGTTGAGTCTACTATACCCGAGAAAATGGAGATATTGGAGGCTTGAGCTTGTAAGACTGCTGCTTTTTTTCCAATTTCTTACAAGGTTTCTTCTTCTCTTCCTCCGTCACTGCATCGATCAAGAACTTGACCTCTTCCTCTATCAGTACCTTCAGCGAGTTGCAATGTGGCAGCATCGGCTTCTTCTTCCTTCTGCTATCCCCAACTGCGCTTGCAGCTTCTGAGCCGTGCAGCATGGCAACGCAGATGGAAAATGCTTGTAAAGTGGATAGCTTTGCATGGAAATCAACTGCATACTCGCCTTCTTCCACTACTCTCATCATAAGTGCTGGTGTCTTCTCTTTCGTACCCTGCAACACGACATTCAGAATCTTCTTATAGCCAATGGCAGAAGTGAAAGAGCCACATAATAATAGCTAGAGCCTAGAAGGACAAAAGATGACCATATATGCACTATTACATTAAGAAGAAAGCTAAGGCTGCTAATGATAATCTCATCTGATCACTAAATTCTGTACAATTAAGGAACTCTCCACTGCAAAATTTTCAGTTACCAATAGATGATTGTTCACCTGAATAAAGAGCTCCAACGGCTTCTGGCTATCGACGAGAGGTTCATCTTCACCACATTGGATGTCAGGATTTCCAAAAACATTGAGGGGACATGCCATATCCCATCCCCCACAATCACATCCCCCACCTGACCTCCACCGGTCGAGCAATGAACATGGCCCCTGGGATTCGGCATCACTAGGCAGGCCGTGATTTCCCATGGGAATTACCACCTTCACCTTTTCTGTACTTTCCCGATCAGGACTTTGCTTTGCACTTCTCTCAGCCATGGAGAGGTTGAGCAGGTTCAAATGCACTTTCTTCCTACTGTTGTAACCTCTCTTGTACTTCAAGCTCTCCCTCTTCGCAAAAGGGATTTGAATAACAATTGCTGCAATCTCGAGGTCAGGCTGCAAACTGACAGACATGTTGTGAGGAGAACTGCTATGACTCAGGGTAGCTGAACCATCATCCGTGTCATGATGCATCCCACCATCCAAACAAGGGAAGGAGCCATTGCTACTAGATTTGTTGACATCAGGGGAGCCTTCTGAAGAAACACTGTTTCTCGCATGTGCAATGTCGTACAACACAAATTCGGTCACCATTGAGTTGTCTGACAGAGGACAATCTTGTACCTCGGAATGCAAATATGAGGAGACATGCATCTGCCCTGCTACTACCATGGACTCCTTGCTTTCGTCAGCCCCACCTCGTCCACTGGCATTGCTCCTTTTTCTGTTACAAACGGAGTGGAAAGTGTAAACCCACTTGGAAGCATTGTTTACTTTCCAAGTCTTTGCCACAAGAACTTCCTCGGGGGAGGACAACGAGAACTCGAAGTAGGGGACCTTGTTTTTGTTCTTCAACTTGAGACTGCCATGTAGGTGAACTGCTGAACTTGCAACATTTGAAGAATGATGATTCTGCTGAGAAGTATGTGAGAAGTCATGTAATAGAGACTTTCTTAAGAGCTCGTTCCTTCTCATGGCTGCCACTGTCCCATTGGCTTTAGGATGATCACTTGGATAAGGAGCATTGCTCAATGGACTGCGCAGAGACTTTGACTTCATGAACGGATCAAACATCTTTCTGATTGGTACGAATCTCGACTTTGAACTTCCACGAGTGGAGCAATCACTCTCAGAAGCAGAAGAAGGCGAATGAGGCATTTCTAGCTTAGCAGATAGTGTTTTGTGAAACGTTGGCACATCTCTTTCGAGGAGGGAATTAGCATCATTCTGAGGACCAGCTACATTCTCACTTCTCAAATGACTTCTTCCAACAGTTCCAGCATCTCGTCGCTCTCTGACAACCAAATTTGGACAAATTTCGATAAATGCATCAGCTGATGGACAAGGAGGATCCAAACGAGGCTTTAGACCAGAAATCAGGTTCATTTTCGCTTCTAATGCTGATGCAGGATGCACCTTCTGAGCATCCTCTTCATCTGAGCTACACAATGACTCAACAACATCCAAGGAGAAAGAAGTGTGGCTACCACGTGACAACTCGATCTTCCTCCTTCCTTCATTATAAGAAGAAGACTCCATTTTCTTCATTCGCATTACATCTCTGGAGCTTTGATACATGGAACCTCGCTTCAGGTCTACGCTAGGTGCTAATAATCCAGAAGGCCTAGAAGATGGAACATTCTTACAAGAGGTACTACGATAACGGCGGAAGCTAATCTCTGTGAAGCCTTCCTTTACCCTCAAGAAATGATCTTTACGAGAGAGATTCTGATGGTGGGCAGTTTTGCTATCGGATTCAGAACATTGTCTAAGCGGAAGGACAGTGTTAGGACTCAGATCTGAAGTGCTGCTCTTCTTCTTGAATTCCAACTCCATTTCTAATCCCATTGCTAGATTTGGAACCCTGCGAGAGACGGACAAGAACAATGCAAGCAATTGAGTTGTTGAAAAAGACAACACAAGGTGAATTGATCTCCTAAACTGTTGACTTGACTAATAATAGCAGCTCCATATTACCAAACACCAAAGCTACACAACATAAAGCATGAGAATTTGAGCAACTGTGCAATTGGAAGAAACACCATTAGACTTCAAACCAGAGAAACAGATTCAATAGCATTGTAATCAAGAACTAACACAAGGAAAACAGAAAAGGAGGCGTAGAAAACAAGCTGAATATCAAACAGCTGGTTAAAGCTATAATGAGGGATCTGTGTGCATTTTCCAATGGTTTGTAACAAGAAAGCAATGACCTTTGCTTTAAGAACATTCAATCTCCTAAGAAAGAAAGCTCACCATCATCAATGATTTCAAGCTTTGAGATCAGAAGCTAAAGAAGAAAAAGGCTCACAGAAAAACCCAGCATTTGATCCCTATGGAACTGCAACTATTGAGAGTTTTTCCCTTTAACAAAACAAAGAGAGCTTCTGTTCTCTCTCTCTCTCTCCGCCTCTCCCTCTCCCTCCCTATGAGAGGAAAAGCAATAAAGCAAACAACCACCGGAGGGAACAAAAGGCTAAGCAGCAATTATTAGCTTAGCAGCACACAACACTTTCCCTTACCTTCACTTGCATTCCAATCCAAGGCAATCAATTAAAATGGAAACAATGCCCCACTTTCCCCTCCACCTCAACTTGTTTAGATCTCTCTCCCAGAGAAATGAAAAGGAAAAGGCAACAAACTGGCAAGCAGAGGGAACCACATCATTAAACCCTTTCAAGCTCAATAACAGTGTTATTTTAATCCGATTGAGATCAAACAGGTGGAAGGAACATGGAAAGAGAGAAAAACCCAAGTACCCATCTGAAGCAAGGCTCAGAAACTACCCCAAAGATGAGAACTTTGGTACATATTGGATTAGTCCCCTCAAGGAATCGACAAAAGTACCCAATGGGAGACATCATAAAGCAAATGAGGAACAAGGAGAAGAAAAGCAAAAGCAAGTGGAGGGACCAATCGGCAGCAGTAAAGCAAACTGAACACAGAAGAAGAAAAAGTGAACTTGCTGAGCGTAGAGAGAAAGAGAGAGAGAGAGAGACTGCATGCCTTGGCTGACCGCTACTAACAATGCAGAGACAGAGGAGTCTGCTGGTGGTGAGAGCTTCCTCTGTTCATGTCTACCAAAGCAGCAATCTTTCCTTTCCCATTTTCTTTGTTGTTCGCTCAATCTCACAGTCTCACTCACTGGCTCAATACTGTGCTTCTCTCACTCCATCATAGGCGAAAGTTGATAATTATTTACTTTTCTTTTCTTAATTTTGTAGGGTTTTCTGTTTTGTCCATTGTTCCACGCCTTCAGGCGAATGATAGGGTGGGACTGGGAGCTGAGAGCTTTAGGAAGCCAATGCATGTTTGAAAAGTGGTAAAAGACGGTTATGTCCCTTCTCCGACTGCATTCCTAAATCCTAGTTGCTAAAGATGAGGGCATTTCTGGTTATTTTGATGCTCTAATAACCCTTGGAGAGGAACTAAATTCTTTTATTTATGATGTTAATCACTAATATTATAAGTTAATCATATAATTCAAGAAAGAAGGGAATCACACTGCCATGTATGATTATCTTAATGGGGAGTGGGGAGGGGAAGGCTCAGTGGGTTTTGGGGAACAGCAAACACAGATATAAAAAGACAAGGTGATGCCTACATTTAATTTTAGCTGTTCCCAATCCAATCTTTTGCCCCCACTAATTAATTAAAGGAACCTTTTTGAATGATTTTGTGTTTGTTTGTGTTAATTTCAGATCCCTTTCTTACTAGTTTCTAGTTTCTAGTTTCCTTGTGTGACCATCCTGCAATTACTATTATATACTCCTCTCTAGAGGACACTACTCTTTGTTCTCGTGATGTCATCTGTGGTTGTAGTTGTGGTTGCATACGAACTGTTGTTCTTGATTATTGTTAGTTTTATAAATTTCTTATCCGGTATTTTTTTAAGGCATATTTTAATTTTAAAAAATCTGACTCCATGCATATTAAGAGGGATATAAATGTTAACTTTAGAGTTTGTAAATTTGATGGGAAGAATTAAATGAGATAGTAAATAAATATTAACCGTGGTGATCTTAAAAAAAATATGTTGAAGTTACAAATTAATTTGCACTTGTTATTCTCATTTTGTTAGATACTAATGAATCACACATAATATCGTTCATATCATATGTATTGTCTAAAAAATGATTAATATATCAAGCGCTTAATCAGCAAGAAAAGAAATTGTCTCAATCAAACCATGCCCAGACTAAGAGCAAATGGGAGAGAATTGGGAAAAGGGAAACCAATTAACTAGGAATGGCAATGGGTAGGTCCAGGTCAGGTTTTTCGATACCCATACCCGCCTCATGGAAGGTCGGGTCCAAGTTGGGTAATTTATTACGGGGCGCGGATCGGGGCAGGTCGACCCAATGGTTACTTAATTTAAGAAATTGATGTTTTCACTTATTTACAACTTTATTATAGCTAAAATATAATGTAATAAAAGGAAAATCCTAAGTAATTTTACTAAAATTACATGTAATTTAGGCAAGAACGGATCGAGAATGGGGCGGGTCAGGGCAGGTCGGATCGGATCGATGAGGTACCCATGTCCGCCCCACCCCGCCTACGGGGCGGGTCTAACCTGCCCCAAAACAGGCCAAACAGGTTGAGTAAATCGGGACAAGTCGAAATGGTCATCCCTACAATTAACTAATTTAATTACCCAATTTGCAAAGTGGAAACTGTAAGCTGAACTGCAAGGGTAAGGAAGTAAATGTGCCCAATCGAGTTACAAAAGCGAAAGTGGGCTGGAGAATGGAGATTAATTGGATTTGGATGGTCAAGGTCAAAGGAGAAGATAGTAATTGCGTGCGTGTAAGTAAGTGCCATGTGAATTTCTTTTCCATTTTTTAGGGGTTTACGGATTTAGGCGGGAGACCAGGAACCAAACTGAATGATCTGACCTGAGAGCGACTGCGACGGGGCGGGCCACGGCCGGTCGGGCCGTCGTGGGCTGCCATTTTACGTTCCTCGGGGTCGTTTGGACGAGGAATTGTAACGAATCAATTTAACACAAATGTCTTGTTTTGAGACAATTGTACCAAATTGTCTCGTTTGCCAGCAAAACATTTGGATGGATCAATTTGCCTGATGTATTTTGAATTGATCCGTTTTGAATCAATTTCAATTACCTGGGGTGGGGGCAGATAATTCGAATTTACTCGTTTTAATTACCTCGTTTATAACACGAGATAATTAATCAAATTGACTCATTTCTAGATTGATCCATCCAAACGTATAGATTTTTGCTCCATCAAATAGAGCACTTCACGGACACTTTAAACACAATTCGAAGAGCAGGAAAATTGTCGTGAACGTCTGAGATACAAGTAGCTCCGGTTTTTGCATAAAACCACTGAGCAAAGGAGTGATTGTTTTATCCTGGAGACGACCGACTGATAGTCTGTTGTGCGCATAACGAGAAATTGTCGCGAACGTCCTAAAGAGAGCGCGACTCAACCAGATTGATAATAACCCCATCTTTTTGTTTGGTTTCTAACATCACTTACTTCTTGTCAGCCGTGAGGTTGTCGCTGATTGAATTCGATTGTTGTCCCTCGATTATCAGCTTATGCAACTTTACATTGGTAAGTAAGATAATTACGATTAGGAGAAAAACTTTTTTTGAACTACTGTCATGGACATGAAGTATGGGGCATTGCATAGTTATCACTGATCTAAATGTTCGGGTTGATTTGATTATGTGTCAAATCCTTTCCCCTTTTGCGCTAATAAGTATTTGGCATATTTCCTTCTCCTCTTCACAACTCGAGAGCATATAACCATATGCATATGGCATTAAAATATGCAGGCGATGGCATCTGGTGCTGGTTAATTAGACGACCAACAAAAGAGGAACACCGCCAATTTGTTAATAATAATTAATAAACGAGCACATGCAAACAATGACAACAATAATGATGATTATAATGAAGGAATATATACATGAGCTTCCTCAAATCTCAATCTGCCGCTTCCCCAGACTTAGTTAACAACCACAGCACCATAATTTGAGTACGTGCACGCCGCTCCCTCTTATCTATAACCTCAAAAAGTTGTCCCAGTTTTCAGCACCCAAAAACAAAAACAAGGAATCTAATCTCCATATGCATTGAACAGGTATGATCTGGCATGACTGGTATGATTAGGTACCCATGTATACTGATATGAAGTACATCAATCGAGCTAGGAGATTTTGTACAATCGACGAGTAGTTACAAGTCATCGAGTTTTGAAATCTTCCGTTCACAATTTCTATCTTCGCTCATTCTTTTGGAACGATGCATAATTTGTTACTTGTTCTTGTTTTCTACAATCACTGGCATAACATAATATAATTGACAGATGTCCATGCTGCGGATTCGTTATTCACTCATATATGCACACATCATTACTAGTGAAGCTTAAAGGGCTTTATCCTTTCCAGAAGAGAAGACCATCAGTCCATCATTTCCTGATTCCAAGAGTTCATCATTTTTGGAAAACTAAAACTTACTTTGACTTGACTACCAATCTACAATATGTTTCTCTCTCTTGTCATTCTATTCCGCTGCTATCTTTTACTCAAGTTTCCACAGCCACAACCTAAGACGCTGAATCAACCCCTCACTGACATTAGCAAACTACACACCCTGAAAGGACACTCTAAACTATTTCATCACCTGGCATCAGCCCATTCCAAGGCTCAGCATACACAACTAATTGTTTTCCTTCTGCTTCTGTACAACCCCTAAACACGTTGAACCAACCCACCGGCCTTACTGCGTCTGAGGATGATCCTTCTTCGAGGCGGTGGCAGCTTCGTGATTCTCGTCATTTACCTTGGACTTCCCAATCGATTTCTGGGTTTCGAGCACAGGTGGTACATGTGCCGGCGGCTCATTTCCTGGTTTCTTCGAAAAGTCTGCTGCTGTTGCCCTGTCTGATTCCCGAGGACTCAGCATCTTCTTTTCTACCTCTTCAAACTTTGAGGTCGCCAATGGTGCAATCCCTACTGATTTCGAGGTAGTCGGACCATCTATTGTCAACATGGATGCTTCGTCCCTTGATGCATACCAGGAGTTGCCGCAGCCAATGCATTCCAGCTGAAAACCACGCCGACAAGAGAATGCAGCTCAATCATTGTTCATGGCATCGATAAAACAGAGTAAACCATAAACTATGGAGGGAAAATTCAGTGTCTAGAGATGAACATGGAGTGTTTATGTGTTAGTACCTCTTGCTGAAAATATGTGACTTCTGTTCGTTGAATAATAAGCAACTTTTCTCAAGGTGGACTAAAAAATGTACAAAAGCATGTTTGAAGGTCAATTGATGAGATTTGAGATATGAGATACATTTTCGTAATAAAAAGGTTACTTATCTGAATTCTGATGGTACATAGTTTTATCATTGGAAAATTACTATTATACGATAATGACTTTAGATTCTTATTCTGCCTACGCAAAGATGAAGATTATATTTTTTTAATGTGGTTATTAAATTTAAATAATTTGTGCAGTTCACCATGAATAGTTGTTTCAAGTAGTTAGACAAGAAATGCGTTTGCTTTAACTCGGACTTTCTTTCAGGTTAAAAAATAACAAAGCCTGTGTCTCCTTGAAAGTGTACAAAGGAAATCTGTTACGAACCTGATAACGGTCTCCATGTCCTGCTTGAATGATGTCCCTAAGACCCACTTTCGACTCATTGCAACGCCCGCAACGAGCATCAGTCATCTGTCACAGCAGTGATGGAGCAAAGCATAAGCAAAACACACGAGATTAACAAATGGCCATGGAACCTAAATGCTTTAGCAGATTATATCTGTTTCTGGAAATAGGTGGTTGGAAAGTCACCTGCATACGGACAGATTCTTCGGGCTCATTGGTCTTTGTTTCCTCTGCAGTCGACCCTTCCTGAAGCTTTAACCAATTAGACCAACTTCCCAACACACTACAAAGTACCAAAAACCAGAAGAAAACAAACCACAGACACAACAGAGAAGTAGAAACACTATTTCATTACCTTTAACTCAGTCGGTGACATGGCCAGTATTTTGGAAGGTTCCAACTCTCCATTCAGCAGACGATGAGCAAGGCGCTCGTTATTCTGTTAAAAGGGTAGACAGACCACCTTTTAAAGGAGAAATAATGAAAGCCGATACAAATCAAACAATCATTTTAGAAGAACACGATACTTCAGTAACATCAAAACTATTTCTGCTCTATGCACTTCGAAAATTTTTACTCATGGAATTGAAACATAATGAATAAAAGGATGCATGTAAAAGATGATAGATACACTGACCTTGAGATTGAACACAAGTTGTCTTAACTTCTGGTTGTACTTATCAGCAGACAGGGTCTCATGTGTGACCCGCTCAAGATCACTGACAGCAGGAACAGCAGCATCTGGCCAGGGGAATGACTTGCTATCCTGCACAATACAAACAGGGCAGAATCAAGACCATTGAAATTTCAGACACTCATGTTTCAACCAGTAAATCACCACTTCAGGAACATCGAAACTCAACCTATATTTCAAGAGAAAACACCATATGAAAAATAACAAGCACACCTTCTGGTTTTTCGGTTGAGCATCATCAATTGCAGTCATCTGGGATTTGTCCTCCTTTTCATTATTCTGCCCATTTGAACCAGGTTTCTCTTTAACACAGTCATCTGTACCACCACCCGTGGAGGAGCTGCAAGCATACTGAACACTCTGTAGCAGCTTCTCCAAACACCTGTCACGGTGGGTGTCTCCGGTCAATGCATTAAACTTCACCAAGATAGCATAGAATTCAGAATTGCTTGTGCAACTTCCTGGTGTCTCGGCTCTCAGACTATCCCTTGCAGAAGCTGTCTCTTCCTCCCTGTAAACATCAAGAGGTGAAATGTTCCTTCTCCGGAGACTTCTTTTAACCTTTGACTGATCTTCAGGCTCACCAGAAGGCGCAGCGCCAGCATCTTCAACCTCGATGTCCGGAAGATTTACTAGACGTGAGAGAGTCTTTTGAACAAGAATATCAATCTCATGCTGCTTATCATCTTCATAATCCTTATCAGTTAGCTTCCACAGCTTTTTGTTATCTGTGTCATAAACTTTCTGTACAATGAAACCAGGATCCTGCTTCCGATTAGGAATCTGCTTGTGAACAGGAATGAAATGCACAACACACTTGTGCATTACAGACTCTGCAGGAACCTCGTCATGATGGAAACTATAAAACAGCTCCCGGGTATCAGATGATATCCAGTTTCCGCCTCCTCTTTTCTCAGCCTCATCTGGACGATAAAACCATTGCCCAGTGACCATCATATTGCCATCTTTTGTCTGAGTGATGTCCTGTTAACAGCACACCAACTTCATTGAAGAAAGAGGGAAAGATATACAGGGAGAATAATAAGAGAAAATTGGGTAGAGGTAGAATGAACATAAGAGAACCAAAAAACTTGTATGCCAGTATACAATCTTCCACAAATGAAGACCAAGTAAACAAGGAACCTATGAAGATTTTGACGTAAATACGGAGAAAGTCCTACAAAATCATAATGAAGAAATCTGAAGTAAAGATTAATTTAAGGAAAGAGATAGCATCAAATAAAGCCAAAATTGTGGAGAAGGAGAAAATCAGTTAAAACCAATGATCTAAAAAAATAATCGTAGTACAATATTTCTTTCAATTGCAGCTGTCAGTGAGCAAGAAAAGATAGGAAAAAAGTGCATATCAGATTCCTTACTAGTTCAAGGATATGCAGTTCAGACACCACTATGACAATCATAAGTACAATAACACAAATTGTGAAATCCGAAAACAAAGAGATGTTGTGAACTTAACACATAGCACCATTGATGGATCTGTGTTCTTCATGTGCTCAGTCTCAGAATCACCTCGAGCAGCATAACTAGCAACATCTACTAGCCACACAAACTTCATGTTCAAAAAATGTGATCTAACATGGTCTGCCTAGAAAAGACATGCCAAGATGGAAATGGTGTAGTCCACACTCCAATCCCCATGAAAAGAAAACTATGTATAATCACTTACCTTGATGATTGCAACGTAAGGTTTCTGGTTCTGTTCCTCGGGAGTCAATAGTACAGGATCCTCCTACAAACAACCAAAGCAAAACCAGGTTAAGTGACAAATGAGTGAGTGATCAGAAAGGACAAGAAACCCAGAAAATACCAATACAGCAAAACGTACAAAGTTACATCCATCTCAAGCTTGATGCACTAACCACCTAGGCTAGCCAGCAAAACAGCAACGAGAACTTGGCTACTAGAAGCGCATGTGCAAGTTGTAACCATGACCGGAAACTAAAAGCTCCAAGCCTTATTCAAATCTTCAATAGCCAAGTTAAAGTTGTGAAAATTAAATTATGTACTAGACTTCTAGCACTAGCAAAACCATACATGTCTTCAACCATCGATCCAAAGGGGGCTTCAAACTCACAGCAAACGCAGAAGCAAACCTAGTTTATGGTTATACAGGGTAACAACTTGAGTCTTGAGATGTACCAATCCAAAAATATAATGCGAAATCTCATATCTGTAAATTCAACCTACGAAGAAAATTCTGAAAGCAGCGAAGGAAATGGAACAGAAAATAAGCTACTCACCAGCTCATATTGATTGCCATCGAATTCAAAGCCCTTGTAGTGAGTCCGGCGGTTTTTCCCCTTCCCCGTAACCTTCACAGGTTCACCTACAGGCTTCGCATCCTCCTGGACTTCTTCTTCTTCCTCCTCTTCTTCCTCGTCGGGCTCTTCTTCTTCGACCTCTTCCTCCCTCCCTTTCTTCCTCCGCTTCCCTTTCTCTTCTACCGCCTCGTCTTCCTCTTCGTCAGCGAGGCGGATTCTCTTCAGCCGCCGGCCGGAGCCCTCCGATTTGGCAGACGAACGAGTCCGGTGCCGTGACGGAGTGTCCTCGTCTTCGTCGCTCGTAGACACCTGGGCGAACCTTCGATTCCTCATTTCTTTCTAGCGGAAGTAGGACGGAATCCCTGATTTCCAGTTTTCTATACACGAACACAACTTCCCTTCGCTTTGTCAGTTTGCCTCGAGTCCTAAGTCCCAACTCCCAAGTCCTAACCAGTCGGTTCACCCTCAAGGCGACGCCGTTTCACATCAAACGCTGGGGGCTTTTTTCCTATTTCAAAAAAAATGTAGGATAAATGAGACAAATATTGTTTTTTTTAATAAATTACCACAAATATTGCGGATTAAAAAGTATTGACACAGATTTGTGTTTTTGTGTAAAGATGGATGCGGGGCCACCTGAGACTGAGGCGGGGCCCCGATTTTAGATTTTAAACCCAGTCCGAGGCGCTGGCGCCCCCGTCGTGAGCCCTTTTATTTTAAATGCGAGATAAGAATCTTATCTTCTTCTTCTTCCTCCTCCTCCACACCACAAACACCCCCTAAACCCTCTCCCAAAACAGAGCCGCCGTCCACGCAGTCCCAGCAATCACAGACGCCGCCGCCAAAGACTCAGGCGCCGTCGCTGCAGAGCCAAGCGTCGCCGCCACAGAGGCAAGCGCCGCCGCCGTAGAGCCAGGCGTCGTCGCAGCTGGCAGAAGCGCCACCACCCGACGGAGATGTCGTCCGACGAAGACGAGCCAGTCGCCGGCAGAGGCAGGGGGAGAGGCCGGCGAGGTCGTGGATTCGGCAGGCGTTTTCGCAATGAGTGTCTCGCCGGCGGCGGGATTTTTATTTTCTAATTAATGTTTAGTATTTTTTTAATTGATATTTTTGTTTCTTTGTTTTTGCTGTTCCTAGGCTTATGGACCCTTATTCGATGAGACTACCTCTGGCGACAATTGATCCAGCTCCGGTCGATCTGGTACTTCTTTGGGAACATGGCCAACATCGTATCGACTCAGTTTGGGCAAACGAGGTAAGTATTTGATAATTATTCATGTAAAGTTATTAATTAGCTAATTAGATTATTTTGGTTGGTGAACTGAACTGTACTGAAATTAGAATAGGATTACGTACCAAATCTTTTGAAATTCGTATAATTTGAGATTAGATTAGATAGATTAGAATTTATTAGGTAAAAATTAGAATTATTACGAATGAAGTTGAATTAATATAAGTTTTGTGCACTATAGGCTGGTGATCGATCTTACCATGTTCGAGGTACGACTAATTTAGTGATGTACCATGAGCTTTATCGGCCATATCTCGAAGCGGCTGGCTTGTTTAGTGTTGTGCCCCTGGTCCCTATGAGCTCCGATGCGAGTTTGATTACTGCGCTCGTCGAGCGCTGGCGACCCGAGACGTCGACCTTTCATATACCGCTTGGTGAGATCACGATCACGTTAGATGACGTTGTTACACTGTCCGGTCTGGCGATCGACGATGATGCCGTCGTAGTTGATATACCGGATGAGGAGTGGTCGGCTATCTGTTTGAGACTGTTAGGACGGGTTCCGGCTGATATTGTAGGCGGTGTCGCTGTTGTTAGGATTGTTTGGCTGATGGTTGAATTCAATCATCTGCCGAGAAATGCATCACAGGAGGTTATAGAGCAGTTTGCACGAGCTTATGCTCTATCTCTAATGGGAGGTGTACTTTTCCCGGATCGGTCTGGAGCTACGGTGCACCTACAGTACCTACTTCTGATTGAGGATTGGCAGAGAGCTGAACGGTTCGCCTGGGGAGCTGCTGTTTTATCCTACCTGTACCGTGAGATGGGTAGGTCGGCTTTGCACATTACGCATTCCGGCACTTCTCTAGGCGGTGACCTTGGTGGATGGGTCGCCCTACTGCAGCTCTGGGCGTGGGAGCGATTCTCACATCTGGCACCTCGACATTCAGAAATGAGGGCACAGATTTCTGAGGATGCATCTCCACGTGGTCTTCGATGGCTTCCGGTCAACAGTCGTCAGTATGGTGACCAGCTATTCCAGTACAAGCTGTGGTTTGACGCGATGGACATCGTGGTTGTTAGTATATAACATTCCATTTTATAGAATAGCTTTCATTTGTTTTTTTTAGATTTAGGGATAATAACGTTAATTTTTTTTATGTAGTGGCAACCTTACCTTGAGAGAGCTCTTCATCACAGAGGTAGTGTGATACAGTTTGAGACATTTCGAGTAGTAGTGCCACTTATCTGCTTTTCATCGATGATGTGGCATCATCTAGACCGCGTTCTCCGGCAGTTTGGCATGAGACAGCATGAGCCTCATCCGCCACATCCTGAGGCTGAGGTTAGGTTTTTTCTTCGTCAAACTACTCGTGGGCCATCCCGTGGGCAGCAGTTGGTACACGCCTCCAGAGAGTCGCTTGCTTTCTGGAACCGTTGACACGAGTTTGTAGTGACGGCTCCATACACTGATGAGGAGTTAGCCTATCACTTGGAGCATATGGAGTGGTATAGAGATATCACCAGGCGTTCCGGCACACGGAGAGGAACTCTTACCCAATCAATCACCGATGTTGGCATTTTTCTCTTGACCACCCGCAAGAATGTTTGCAAAAATCGTAGGATTCTTCCCAATTTCCATGCAACTTCTCCAATGCTCTTTGTTTCCCATACCAAGCCTTCTTGTAAGTAACTTGCATATTAAACTTATCTTTCAACTCGGCCTGCACAGTTAGAACACTCAGATTTGGTTGGGCACGTACCAAATGTTTGACGGCCTCAGATATCATGTCGACATCAAGATGGTGATGATCCGTCGGTTGAGTCGTACTGCTACAAGAATGCACCAACTCAGCATTTCTCACAGTCCATTCGCCTCCAACATCTCGACATCCAAACCGCACCATCCAAGGACAATTGTCATCCTTGTGCCGCAAGCATCTGACCTTCCAGATTGAAGGTGACGACTCCACCACGCCATATTGAAAGTTGCGTTGTAGTGCGTGGTGTTTAATCGCCATCTGTGCATCTTGTTTCGAGTGAAATATCTGCCCCTTGTAGAATTCTCCTTCAAAACTATCAACAATAGGCATTGGAATTACGCCATATGAATCAGCAAGTGATAATTCTTCGTCCTCTTCATTACCCTGCAAGTAAAAATATGGAGGATAATTAGGCTGCTCTCCTTCCCCCTCTTCTTCTTCTTCTTCCTCCTCCTCCTCCTCCTCCACCTCCTCCTCCTCATCTTCCTCCTCTCCGTCATCATAGTCATGACCGGATGGCACGCTCCATGTATCTGATCCTCACTGAGCTCAACGTGTATCTCAGCACCCAAACAATAAGGATTTTGTGCCATAAAATTCCAAAGCACATTCAAGCTATCATCATCCACAATAGGCATCGCATAATGAAATAAAACACCATTCTGCCATTCTGGAAGACGGTAAGTGAAACCTGTGATCACATCACTATCTTGTACTGCTTTGTCTCTACGCTGTATTCTCGGAATTAGATTCTCACAAAGTTTGTGATATGTGACCCTGGATGGAACCGTCAACTGAAAACTACTACCACCAATGAATTTGACGCCCAAATTATCCTCTACTTTCTCCGATTTCCACCGAACGACTAGTTCAGATCTTCTAAAATCACTACAAAAAACAAACTCACTAATTAAAACTAAACACAATCATAATAGCATTTGAATAATATAATTACAAAAATAAATGTGTCTCTTACCTATTAGCCATTTTTGCAGCAGCAACCAGAGCTCTCTCCTCTATCTTGGACGATTTTTTTTTGTGGTGTGAAACTGAAACGAAATTGGCTGGTTTTTATAGGGGGTGGCCAGCAATAAGCCAGCGGTGCCATCCTTAGTCTTGGGCGCCACCGCCTGGGATAATTTCCCACCAACTCACCTATGTCTCAGGCGGTGCCATCTGAGTCTTGGGCGCCGCCGCTGTCACATTAATAAAACGATCCAAAAAGTCAGCAAAAGCGGCAACGCCTGAGTCTCAGGTGGTCTCGCCGATTCTTTTCTCCAAAACACAATATCTGTGTCAATACTTTTTAATCCACCATATTGGTGGTAAATTTTTTTAAAAAAACAATATTTGTGTCATTGTTCCAAAAATGTACAAGGCATAATGTGTGTTTTCCTCCTAGAAGTTCACTTCTATTACCAAGAAATCAAAGACACCATTATTTACAGTAAAAAAAAAAATAGTGGCGAAATTCAATTTCACTCAGCAAGAAAAAAAAGTCTTATTAGCCACTAAATGAGTCGTTCGATTGCTTTGCCTACCTCTAAATACTATGGAGAAGGTTCAATAATGTTGTCGGAGGCGAACGATCCTAAAAAATTAATCCTCCTCTTGTATCACGAACCTTGAAGCCCCTGATTTTATTAATGAAAGCTTTTTGTATCCTTCGGAATGTCACTTCAATTACACCCCCTTCACACAGCACCACTGAATCACATATCAAATTGTCGTCAATCCCACTAGAAAGAGGTATGCCAAACTTGCATAATGAAAACCCAACACGAAATCCGTACCCTATCTCTTAATATTAATCCCCAATCATGACATAAATGAGTTAAGACTTAGAAGTCACCTCAATCAATAGTATAAAATATAACATTGAATATCCAAATTCACATTATTATGTATATGAGAAATTAGTGGTGAATTGTGTCTATATAATAAAGGTGATCCTAAAAGGAACTTCTTTCTATGTGTTACAAAGTTCTCATATGTTACAATATAGAAAGTTCTTAATGAGTTTACTCGTAAATTTAGTTATTGTATATTTTGATACAAGAGATAGATGGAGATGATTAATTGTGTATTTTTATGATATGTTATCTCGAAATTTAAAATAATTGTTTGACAATACTTATTACGTTCTAATCAAGAAGGTGGTTCATGTTAACGAAAATAAAATCTTGAAACTTGTCAGATCAATGTGTATTTGAGCACATTTGAAGCATATTAGTCGTTCTAGGTCGTATGGGTCTATAGGTGCACATCTTTTGAGCCAGATAAAAATTTTCTATGTGCACATTATTTATTTGTTTCACATTATTGTCCCCACTTTATTAACTAATGCAAATTACCCAGGAAAAATATGTAAATATTTTGCTAATTAATTAACTCAACGATCCAATATCATTGACTTATATTCCAACTTCTTTTGAGAAAGGGTTTCACATCCAATAAATACAATCAAAATGCAAATCATCATGCAGAAGAAGTTTCTCGCAAACGAAAGAAAGAATCAAGGCAACGTGTGGACTTCATTTAACAGCCACGTGTCCATCACTATGATCACCTCCACCGGCCTCGCCCGTCAAATTCCTCATTTTGTTGTTGTAATTATAAGCCACAGAAAAGTAGGGGGAAAAAGAGGAATAAAGATCAGAAATAAAAGTCTCAGGGAAAGCCCCTGGCTGGCTGCTGCATTCATCTTCCGATTCCTTCTCCAACAAACCAAAAACTCACCCACACAGATTCATTTCCCATATCCATAAGCCATTCCCATCCCATCATTCCCCCTCTTTCTGTCGACGAAGAAGGAATCTTGTCTGTTTCCGCCATTGATTCTTCCTCCTGCTGCTCGAAAATTCTCCCTGATCTTCTGCTTCCAGGTTTCTAATAATCCCTATTCTCCTTCTCCTTCTTCTTTCTTCTTTCCATTTCCGTGCTTCTGTCTCTGTATGTATGATATCCATAGATTAGCGTTATAGATTTCCGCCTCTTGATTCTAATTTGGTCTGAAAGGATGAGACTTTCTTGTTAATTTGGCGAGGGTTATTACTGTATATACTTGCTTTCTCTTTCTGGGATTTGGGGGATTCTGGGTTGCTGGGACTTGGTAGCTTTCGTATATTTGAGTTTTTGGGTTGTGCTTAGTTTGGCTGGTATAGTAGTTGTTATTGAGACAAATGGTTTCCTATTTTTGGTTGAAATTTATCAGTTCTTTCTGAAAAAGCTATGGTCTTCTAATCGTTTAGCGTTTTGGATTAGGGCTTGTGGAATCGCATTACAATTGGACAACAAGGGTATTTCTTCTTGGAGTTTGGAAGGACGAAGGGGGCTCTGAAGCTGTAGGTGTTTGTAATTGCATCTTGTGAGCATGGCGGAATCAATTGCAGCAACTTCCATCGCTGGGTACAGGCCGTTTGTTTGGGGATTTTCGGTTAAAGATCCATCTTCCCCAAGAAAGCAACGTTCCTACAACTGTAGGTTGCCTCTAACGGAGTTTATGGGCAGGAAGGTCGTCACTTTGGCTCCCTATTGCCTTAAATCCGGCCTTAATAACGTTTCAGTGAACACATCAATCAAGGCCCTAGCCACGGAGCTAAGGAAGAACGAGGCCTATGCATTCAAAGAGGATGAGAAGATCCCACGAAACTGGAACCATGGTCAGGATACGGATGTCGATAGAAAGCCAAGTCTGTGGCCACCAGAGAATCGAGCTGACAACCCTTCACTGCACAACCCATTACTCAGGCAAGAAAGAATGGGATGTGGTTGGTTAGGTGCCATATTCGAATGGGAAGGTGTCATAATTGAAGATAATGCAGAACTCGAGAAGCAGTCGTGGCTTGCTCTAGCTCAGGAGGAAGGCAAATCCTCTCCACCTGGTTTCTTACTAAAGAGGATAGAAGGGATGAAGAACGAGCAGGCAATGTCTGAAGTCCTCTGTTGGTCAAGAGATCCCTCAGAGCTACGGAGAATGTCATCCAGGAAAGAAGACATCTACCAAGGTTTGCAAGGTGGTGGAATCTACCAGCTCCGAGATGGGTCGAAAGAGTTTGTGAATGTGTTGATGAATTACAAGATACCCATGGCTCTGGTCTCCACCCGTCCTAGGAAGACACTAGAGAGCGCCATTGGCAAGATTGGAATCGATGGTTATTTCAGTGTGATTGTAGCAGCTGAGGATGTGCACAGAGGGAAGCCTGACCCGGAGATGTTTATGTACGCTGCACAGCTGTTGCAGTTCATACCTGAGAGGTGCATTGTGTTTGGCAACTCGAATCAAAGCGTGGAGGCTGCTCATGATGTGAGGATGAAGTGTGTTGCTGTTGCTAGCAAGCACCCAGTTTATGAGCTTAGTGCTGCTGACATGGTGGTGAGGAGGCTAGATGAGCTGTCGATTGTCGATCTGAAGAATCTTGCTGATATCGAGTCGCCAGAGTTTGGGTCTCCTGAGCCGGAGATGGAGTTGGAAGAGGAAGATGATCTTCCATCTAGGGCAGTAGGAGTTGACGATATGTTCTGGTAGTAGCCAGCCATCCCTGCGAAAAAAAGGCATGAAAATTTGTACAGTGCCCCTCCCATTTGTGGTTGTTCATGTCAAATTGTTTGCATTGATACAAGGTAGTGTGGTAGCGTTGTCTTCTTTTATAGCAGCATGTGATCTGCTGATTTGTAAAGGGGAAGAAGGCAATGGGGGGAAATAGGAACCAAAAGAAAAAAGGAGGAAACAGTGGGATAACGATTTGAAGGCAAATTATGCATTGGATTTGCCTTGAAAGTGTCATGTACTTGCACATCTTCTGTACCATATTATAGATATATAGATACTGCTGTTGTTCTCCTAACCAGCTCATTTGCTTGTTCTCTTGTTGATATACATGTTCCTGATAATGGTTCCTGATCATGTGTAATATATTCAGCGAAGAGGGGAATGGTGGGGCAAGGCAATGATTTGATTTGGGTGGTAGTAAAGAAGTCGTGGCCTGTTAGGTTTGGTTGATAGTGAGAGTTGTTTTTAGGCAACTTTTGCTGATTGATTTTCCAACGACCTTTCTCCATGGATGATGGTTGGTTGAAGAGGTGTCGACTAATGCATCCAAAGTTCCAACCCATTTTTTTATGCATCTAAGGCTCAACAGCGGCACCAAGTGGTTTTATTTAATTGTGCTATCAGTCTATGACAAAAAATAATAATTAATAGTCTATGATAAATTTAGAACTCCTACTCGTTGTAGTCACAATGATAACATTGCATGAAGGTAAGGTGAATGATACGGTGACAACCCACCGCCGAATCGCCAAATTTCTGGATGGAATTGGGGGTGAGATGGCAATTAGAACCGGTGAGGATCCAAGAGGGCAAATCGACAGAAGTAGGGGGTGACAATCACCCCTTGCATGTCTTCTTTTCTTCTATCAAGTGACGGCAACGGACACCGAGGAAGGCATGGCGACGGCGACGGACAACGAGGAAGCAGGGGACAGAGATGGCGATGGACAATCGATCTTCACTAGAGCAAGCCAACAACGACCCTCTTCTCCTTCTTGGCCTTTGTTCGCTGAATCTCGACTATCGTCGCTTTCTTATCGGCGGAGGAGAACCAAATCGCCGCTTTGTGACCTTGGATCTGGAGGATACAAGGAAAGGAAGAAAGGGGGAGAGGCGGAGAGCGGCTAGGGGAGAGGGAGAGACAAAGGCGCCTTATTGTTTTTCGATACGGGTTAGCGATGGAGGAGGGAGAAGAAGGGAACGGAGAAGAAGGGAGAGACTGGCGAGAGGAGAGGGAAAATCTTGTTGTCTTGGACGAGGAAGAGGAAGAGAGTGGGGGTTGCAAACTTGCAGTGGGAGACTAAAGGGGTGAGAAGTCGGTTTTTCGGTGAACCGAGTTTATCTCGGTTACTTCACTCGCGGTTTTCGGTTAGAATTATAACCCAAATCTGCCAACCGACGCCGACACCGGCGTACTGTTATCGGTTTTTGGTTTGGTCTTTAACCGACGGTTCGGTTGTTCGGTTAAACCGTATAACCGGCAACCGATTATCACCCCTACATGTCGTTGCAACGTCCCCTCCGACCACTGCGGGGCAATCATCCTCTCCCCGTCGGAGCCCTCTCGCCGCCCTTCGTCTCCCACCACTGTCGCCGTCGCGAGGTCACCCTCTTCCCCTACCTCTCTCTCCCGTCACCGACTCCCTTTTTCTAGATCTGATTTTTTAGTGGTACCATTTTTCTTCTGGCAGCGTACCAGTGATAGTGCTACCTACAACTACCATCAGGTAGCTAGTAGTGGTAGCGTACCACTACCATCTGTTTTTTTTTTGTGTTATTTTCTACTGGTACTGCTACCAATGTTAATGGTACGCTATCATTAGCTTTGGTAGCGCTACCAGTGCTAGTGGTACGATACAATATGGTAGTGGTAGCGTACCACTAGCACTGATACATTTTTTAACGCACTGGTAGCGTACAACTAGCACTGGTATATTAATTACCAGTAGACTAATAGATTGGTACACTTTTTAACCCACTGGTACATTTTTCAGGTTGCCGGAGGGAGTCTGTCGGAGAGAATTCGCGGGAGAAAAAGTATGTCCGTCGATGCGGAGTGACCGCTGGAGAAAGGAAGAGAGAGATAGATATATATATTAATGTATAGGATTTAAATTAAAAAAAATTGTATTTAATATGGGTTTTTAATTCCTAATATAATTAATACAAAAAGGTAATTAATATATTTCTTTTTTTTTCATACCCAAAATACCCTTGGTTGAAAACCCCCTTAGGGGTTGTTAAAGTATCCCCGTGAACACTAACTGATGAAGGAAATTGAGCATAGGACCTCTCGTGTGCCAATTCACCTCACCACTAACTTGAGTTATTGGCGCTAAGTGATTATTGTAAAAAACACCATTTGAATTTATCAAGTTTTCCCAAATAATTATATCATGGAGAGAAAAAAAAAACTAACATCATCCTTTTATCTTATGTATTCCAAATAGACCCAACGAAATCTTGACTATGCCGCCCCAGATCCCCCACTTCTGGCTGATCACACAAATACAAGATTTGTAACTAATCAAACTTAAAAAATAGAGGAATTTTACAATGTTAAATAGTATTGGTGCTATAGAAATTTTACAAGATTTGAAATTGTACCTTTAACGTTATGGTACAACTTCAGATTGTGCGTATACTCTTTTGTATAAATTCTTTTATGGTACAACTTGAACTTGTACCTTTATGTGATGGTACAACTTCAAGTTGTGAAGTTATACCATAACATAATGATACAAATTCCTTTACGTACAACCTAAACTTGTACATTAAAGCACCAATGCTTTATAGGATAGTAAAAGTGATTAAAAAACAAAGAAAAACCATTAATGAGAAGGACATTTGACTGTTGATGGCAATCTGTGGTCAACCCAGAAAACATCTCGCTCGTCTGACTAGTCTTATTGGGCTGGGTTCACAACTTCACATCTTACTAGCTTGTAACCCGACCCGTTGGTCGGAGGAGCTGAGCCGAATATTGAATTATTGGTATAACTCGTAGATTCAACCATTAAGCTAAATTGGTCTAATGGTGAGTATCGCCTAGCATATCCCTAATAATCATACCAAAGTGAATATATTGGAACATAAACAGTACATCAAAAGTTGGTACAACCATGAAGTTAGACCATTAAAAACATACCAATGAAATTGAATAGCATCGAAAAACTTCAACTTCATTATATAATTACATGAGATCAGAAAGAGAACACCATTAATTTGATTTATAAAACTTTCATCTTGTCGTCATTGTGCTTTCTGGTTTTTGTCAGGCCATGATAAAATCTAAGGAAATCAAGAACGAACAACACGATTTGGGATAGGAACCGCCGTTGTCGTATTCCTAGAGAATGGTGGTAAACACGGACTCACCTGCCAAACTGGTTTGGATTGAGATTTTTATCGGGTATCAGGGAACCATGTGATTATAAATTAGACTTGATCAAAACGGGCCAAAACTCAAAATTCAGCCTGTTTGACCAAACCATGCAAAATTCTAATTATTCGTTACTTTTAAACTTTCTATTTGAAAATAAAAAATAGTGAAAGGAAATAGATGACTGCAATTCGCCATTTGCACATCACTTATTCGGGAATAAAACTATAGAAATTCAAAAGAAACTGAAAATGTTTAGGATCATTTTAATGTTTAAAATAACCAAATAGATCTTTCTGTTTAGTTTTTTACTAACAAATACCAAGCGATTCCCTATAAAATACACTATAATTTTATCATTATGATATCAAATAATTATATAATATATATTTGAAATGATAAAAATTGGACTAATTGGGTTGGTCGAGGTTGAACCATTGAATAACTTTAAACTACATTATATTTTAGCCACTAAGATATAAAATAATATAATAATATATATTATGCTAGAGAAAATAGCTTGTTTTAGAATGTCAAACCAATGATGTTCATTTGTTTTACTTGATGGCCAAATCTGGTGTAGGTCAGGCCCATTCTACTCTTTTATTTTATGGTTAGCGGTTAGCCCATTAGATACCATGTATTAGTTTATTGTTAAATTTTTTTATTTTTAGTATAAAAGAAGTATTGTTTTTGCTTTTTCATATATATTTTATCACCACGGAGAAATACAAGGGCTTAAAGAAAAAAATTGACACTCCTGAACTCGTTTAAATCCGCATGTGTACGGTAAGTTGGCCCGTTCCACAGAGGAAAGAGAAAAAAATTAACACTACCTATTCTACCCTTCCTACAAACGCTCATGGAGCAGGGAATTTGAAATGGGGGAAAGGGTTTTTTCTCCCTGCTATTATATGTTTTTGATTTAAAAAGATACTACAAATGTACTTAGTGTGATTGGTTATGTTTCTTGCTTTTTTTTAAAATGGACATGGTTCGAATCCCAGTATGTGTCTTTTTAATGAATAAAAAAAAGTAATTGTGAAGACCAAAATGTCCTTCCTACTTTCACTCTCGTTGCAGGAAATTTGAAATGGGGCTCCCGTTTTTTCCTTCGGTGTATTATATTATGTGTAGATGAAATGTTTTCAGTTCAAATGGGCCCAAGTTACTAATTTGGTCCGGAGCGTAATTGATGCATGCGAATCTACTCTTGTCGATGGACTTGGGACAAGGCGTGCTTCTTGAATCTTGATCTTGATACCACAATTATGCAAACGGCAAAGGGCTAACGTGCACGTTTTGCCTATGCTTGGCCTCTGATTGATTCTCTTTCTCCCAGTGTTATTAAAGCCGAGCCGAGCCGCTCGGCCCGACCGGTAAAACCGCCACCCGGTCACAAAATCGGTTCGAAACAGTTTAAAAGTCGCTCCGGTTTTATGTAGCGATTGGCGAGCGGCCGAGGCGGTTAACCATTTGAGCCGATCGAGCCGCTCATCCGGTTTTTGCCATTCAGCCACTAAATTTAGTTAAAAAAATTGTAGAAATTGAAAATTGAAATAAACCAAAAACTTCGGGCTCTCAAATTGAATCATTATTTCCATTTCACAATTTCGAAGGAAAGAGATGAGCTCTGATTTAGAAATGTCTACTATTTATACTGATAACGTTTATTAGATACCGGTTCTCTAATGGTTTTTAAACGGTCTAATGCCGGTTGGACCGCTAAAGTGCGAGCCGTTCGCATTACCGGGTCATGCTCCGGTTCAGTTCTGACAACATTGCTTTCTCCCCTTCGACTTCAAAAGTTAGAGCAGAGCCAAACACCTCTATAAATTTGACTTTTGAAAAATCGAAAGAGCTTTTGTAAACATAAAAACAGAAGCTCTAATTTTGAGCTTTTGCGAAAAGCTGTTTTGAAAATACAAGATTATTCTTGGCATATTTTAGTTTTATTTCAGAAAATATAATTTTCTTTCATTTATGTCATTTTAAAAATAAAATAAAGTATAAAATTATATTATTTAATATCAAAGAAGTCTAACAAGATCCATTTTGACTACATTTTATTGTTTACAATTATTATTCATAGGTTATATTATAAGTCCTTTATAGTCATTTTACACAACCTCTCATATTAAAAAGCACTTTTAATAAATTTTCAACTAAACACTCAACTGTTTTTTTTTTAAAAGTACTTCTCATAAAAGCTCAAGCCAGAAGCTGCTTCTACAAAAGCTACAAACTTTGGGTATAGAGAACCGAATTATAGAGGAGGATCATCCGGCTGTAACTGTGATCGGAATATCCACAAACTGTTAAAAGAGAGTCTGACTTCGATTATAAAACGACTACAAACCTTTTCCTCCCTCCGGTGCTGTTCATTGGCGATTCAAAATCCCGATCGGGGATAATAATAATTTTTTAAAGTAGACAAATTAAAATTCTGGCCGAATTATCCAAAATCCTGGTGGGCTTTTCTTTCTCACTTGCAGATCTGAGAATTCAGACGCTCCCTCGCTCGATCCATTGCTAGAGCAGCAGGAATCATCGGAGCAGAGCCGATCAACTTCCTCCTCCTCCGATCCGCCCCCGCCGCACTAGGGCTTGTAGAACATCTCTCGATCTCCACTCCGGCGACCGGAACTCGAATCACCTGCTGCCGTGCTAGTTGCCGAGTCGTCTCCTCCACTCGTAAATTCGTGTTCTCATGCTCCAGTGGCGCCGAGGTTGTTGAATTTTCTCCGCTTGGTGGGAGGAGCAGAGGAGGAAGGGGGAGGGGAATTAGGCGTGGAAAAGAAAGAAGCTAAAGGGAAAGGGCGAGATCTTGTCATGACGCCGACACGAGCAATTTGCGCAACTGACTGACAGACAGTGGGAATGGCGTTTTGCTTCTTCTTCTTCACAATCTCATTTGTCCGCTTGAGAACTCCATAAACAACCGTCGGCATTCCGCTGTACTTGGGCGACTTGGCAAATCTGTCGCCAGCCGCCGTGAAATTCATGTACTTGCTCAGCTCCGCCGTGATCGGCTCTCGTAATTTCAGCGCATCATCTTTTTCGCTCTCCGCTTGGTCTCGCTCTCTGATGCACTCGTATCGCTTCTGGATTGCTTCCTGAGCAACTTTCCTGACTCGATTGAACTTCTCTCCTGCCTCTTCTTGCGAATCCTCCGCTGCTCGTCCAGCTGCCCGCTCCCGATCGAGTTACGCCAAGAGCTCCCTGTACCTCTCGACGGAGACATATTCTGGTATGAGGATATTCCCGATCAAAGGTGCAGCCGGATGATCCTCCTCCTCAAAATTATTTTTTACTAAATAATCATATAATAAATCATATAGACAAAGTAAGTGGAATGATGAGTTGGAAAAATAAATTTATTTTTTATAATTTTTTTAATTTCCACGTCATCTAGTTAGCGGTCAAACTTTATAGTTGACTGCCACGTAGGACAAATTTAATGGAGGGTAACGGCCGGTGACTAACGATGAAATAATTCGTAAAGTTAGTGGCGAATAAGAAAGAAAAGTAATTCGAATGGCAAACGTGAAAGATTTATGTAATTTGAGTAATCATACGTGTAATTTAGCCAATATAAATAATTAACAATTTTAATCATAATTAATATTTCATAAATTTCGAATCAAATTAGTACATATTTGTATAAAGTTTACTAACCCTTTTATAAGAAAATGAAAAAGGAGGCCACAAAGTTGCTGACGCAGAAAAGACAAAGTTGCTGCCAGCAGCACTATATAATCCGCACGGCACTTCCCTCGGAAGAACCCGGCTGGCTGCGGCTTTCTCCTTTCCTGTGTTGGAGAAAGAAATAGGAAAAGAGGAGAATTAAAGCTTTATCGAACAAAATTTTCCCAGTAGTCAGTCTGTACAACGTTGTATTGGGAAGGAGGGCGGGCGGGCAAAACCCTAAACAAGTCTAATTGTTGTTTCAAGATTTCAGTCCTGTCAGGAAACTCCTCCGAATTCAGGTGACGAAACACTTCTACTTTTTTTCCTATGATTTCCGTGTCAAGTTCGAGTATTTCCTGATCTGGGTGCCAAACTTCGGCAACTAAGGGCTTTGATTGCGTCTGTAATGTTGTTCTCTCCCTTCGCTTGTGTATTTGATCATCATTTCTAGTTGATTCTGTGAAGTAAGGAAGAATGTGTGCTAAAGTTGCCATCTTGACTGGAAAACTTCTCACCCACTTTCTTTGGAGGGATAATTTCCGCGGCTGCGAGTTTTACTTACAGGATTAGTTAATCAGTGTTTTCCATGCGTTGCTGGTTGGAAGCTTGTTATAAAAAAAATATATGAAATAATGGTTTTGGGATTGCCTGTTTATGTAGAACCCGTGCTCTCCCGGTAGAAACTAGTTTTGGGCAATAGGATGGGCAGCCAGTTTCTGGATTCGTTCATTATTTGAGTTTATTTCTTTGCAGGAATGGCACTCTTTCCGCAGGCCGGTCCATCGTGTACCCTCCCCAGGGACTTTGTGCAGTGTAAAGCTGGACAAGGTCCCCCCTTTGTCGTACCTAAAAGTAGAGAGTCATCAGATCTTAAGTTTTCATCGCCGTCAAGTAAGAATTCCGGGTTACTGAGGTTGGATACTCTGACCAAAAGAAGCCGTAGTGCCGTTGTTGCTGCTAGCCCTCCTACAGAAGATGCTGTAGTAGCTGCAGAGCCACTAACCAAAGAGGATATTGTTGGATACCTTGCCTCTGGCTGCAAGACTAAAGAAAACTGGAGGTTAGTGTCTGGTTTCGCGATAAGGGTGTTGCATTGTGAAATGTGATGATGGTATGGTATAGGAAACTAAAGATGAATGTATCCTTGTGAAGCTGATAAATTATTTGTAAATTCCTCTGGTTTTAATGACATAGACATAGATGTTTGTGTTGACTCCCTTGTATAGGCTTAATTTTCATGGCTTCTCTAGGTAGGCACTCAAGTATCCCAGATCTTCTCTATGTTAATGATGTTTATTCTGATGAAATCGTCACCTTTGAATTGAAGATTATGAGTTCTGAGTTCGACAGAACTTTTGAGTGCTTCGCTCACATTGTTATCTTATGGGAGAAAGCCTTTGTGGTAGCTATGTTCAAGTTTATATCAAAGTACCTACTTTGTTGTTGTGTGGGAGTTTCAACTTATTTCGGTCGCTGATCCAAAATGTGCTACTTTGTACAGAATAGGCACAGAACATGAGAAGTTTGGTTTTGACATTGGAAGTTTACGTCCTATGAGATATGAGCAAATTGCGGATTTGCTTAATAGTATTGCTGAGAGATTTGATTGGGAGAAAATAATGGAAGGTGAATACATCATCGGCCTCAAACAGGTTAGTAATTGGAATTTTCACGGTCCTTCATTCGTAAATCTTCTCTGCTTGGAATGTATAGAATCTTCTTTTTTTTAATGAAACAGGGGAAACAGAGCATATCACTAGAGCCTGGTGGTCAGTTTGAACTTAGTGGTGCACCTGTTGAAACTTTGCATCAAACTTGTGCTGAGGTCAACTCACACCTGTATCAGGTGAGTGTAATTGGGATTTAAGGAGCTTTAATGTTGGGTCTAATGCATCTACTCTACGGTTGCTTGAATTATTTACTTTGGTGATTTTAAAAGCACAATCCAGTTTCATTAGTGCTTAGTGGTATTGGCTTTATAGGATGTTTCTTTCATATTTGCGGGCACAATCTAGTGTGTTCTGTGGGAGGCCATATACTTGCACCATATGGAGTTCAACTTAATACCTTGAATAATTTTTACCAGGTAAAAGCTGTTGCTGAAGAAATGGGAATTGGATTCTTAGGGATTGGGTTCCAGCCTAAGTGGGGAATCAAAGACATACCTATCATGCCCAAGGTATTTTCATTACTTTTTTTATTCAAGTTGGTTCGAAATGTTTGTTTGTTTAAATTGTTAATGGAAAATTGATGATTGGTTATGAGTGATCTCAAGCGTAATTGTCTAAAATGTGGCGTCAGATGGTTGATATAGATATTAAGATACCAGAATCTGACCTTGAAGCTACATGCAAATGAAAGGGGGATTGTCATTGGAAGACTGAATTATTAATTTCTTCACTTTCATACCCATGCATGTGTGCTCTTTGTAGACTTGTCTTTACAAATTTGGCTCTGATTGTGGATTTAGTTAGATAGTAAGATCAATTTTGAGGACTTCTGCACTAAATCATTTCAAAGACTCATCATTGGTTATTTTAAATTTGAGGTTCTTCCGTAAGCGGAAGCATTACATCTTTTTTCCCATTCTTTTTGAACAAGGAAGCATTGCATCAGATGTTTGCTTTCATCCTTTTCTACACCGGGGAAAGGGAGATTTGCTTTCAGTTTTTTATAGACAGACATGAATGACTGTTTAAGCTTTCTACACAACTACATTACATGAGCAGTCTATTCCAGGAGCTCCAGAACCCATTGTGTATGCTATGGAAGCTTTTTGACCTCTTTTCTTCTAAAATGTGATTATCAGGGAAGATATGATATCATGAGGAACTACATGCCTAAAGTTGGCACATTGGGACTAGATATGATGTTCAGGACTTGCACTGTTCAGGTTAGGTCCATTTCATGCTTTCCAACTGTTACCTCTGTCTGGATAAAAAAAACCTGTTACCTCTGTCCATGCTGTACTTTTTTTATAATGCTAGAGATGGCTTTTCATTTGGTTAATTCGTATCGAGATTCATGATCAATAGGTTAATCTGGACTTCAGTTCTGAAGCTGACATGATAAGGAAATTCCGTGCTGGTTTAGCTATGCAACCGGTAAGAGACTTCTCTATGTTTGTTTTTGGGAAGTTTTTAAGAGTAACTGTAACTAAACTAGTTTGGAAAATGGACAGATTGCAACAGCTCTCTTTGCAAATTCGCCTTTTACTGAAGGAAAGCCAAATGGATATCTCAGCATGAGAAGGTATTAAGCTGTGCTGCACTGCACTGTGTTGTGCTTAATTCTTGTGTGTATTCCATATGGATCTTCTACACCCAAATGGCATAATAACAAATAAAAATCAAGTGGATATTCCATTGACCCTTTTTCTGTGGAACAGCCATGTTTGGATTGATACGGACAATAACCGCACTGGGATGTTACCTTTCGTCTTTGATAACTCATTCGGGTATGTCAAGACTCTCTTGGCTGTGAACAAATTGATATTTTTGAAGGTTTTCCCTTGTCACTTAGTAATGCATGAAGTGAGTTTCAGTTTGCTAATTATGTTGTCAATTCTGTTTGCAGGTTTGAGCAGTATGTCGATTATGCTCTTGATGTTCCCATGTATTTCGTTTATCGGAACAAGAGATATGTTGACTGCACTGGAATGTCATTCCGGGTTCCCATCTATCCTTATTACTCTTGTAATTTGAGGCTTTCTCCTGTTGCAAATTGCTTGGAGTCTGGCAGTGTGGTTCAGAAATAATAAGCAAAGGTTCTGCAGGACTTTCTGGCCGGAAAGCTTCCTTCCCTTCCCGGTGAACTGCCGACCCTTAATGACTGGGAGAATCATTTGACAACAATATTTCCAGAGGTTAGACTGAAAAGATACTTGGAGATGAGGGGTGCTGATGGTGGACCCTGGAGAAGGTTGTGTGCGTTGCCTGCATTTTGGGTAATCAACTGGGTTTTATTTACATTTATCAGACCTAATTTGTGGCGGTCCAACATTCAAGTTTAATGAACTTGTGTCATTGTTTGATTTATATTTCATCAGGTAGGACTGTTGTATGATGAGGTCTCCCTTCAAAATGTTCTTGACATGGTAGCTGATTGGACACCTGCAGAAAGGCAAATGTTACGCGATAAGGTAAGTCCAAATTCACAACTTCTTTACAACCAACGTTTTTCAGAAGCTGAATGCAGTTTGTATTGATTATGAATCCAATGAATTGAGTTTAGGTTCCAAGGATGGGGTTAAAGACACCATTTCGAGATGGATTTCTAAAGCACGTTGCTCAAGATGTTGTGAATTTGGCCAAGGTAACCTAATGCTGTCAATGGTAACCTCGATCTAACCTCTTAACCACTTCCATTCTCAGACCTCGCAAGCCACTTTCTTTCTGCAGGATGGACTAGAAAGAAGAGGGTTCAAGGAAGTTGGCTTCTTGAACGAGGTGGCAGAAGTAGTCAGAACAGGTAAAAACTTTAATCTACTTCATTTCCTCTGGCATCACTGCTCATTCCGATGATTGTCTTTACCATGCTCTTGATGGATGTCACGCCTATCATCGCAGGAGTGACTCCTGCCGAGAAGCTTTTGGACTTGTACAATGGGAAATGGGGGCAATCAGTTGATCCTGTTTTTGAGGAGCTTCTGTACTAAAGTGCTGCAATTAGGTTATTTTACTGGCACTTTCCAATGGCTGCCACTTTTTTGTATAATACGTTTGTCCTCCTACGCCCTTTGCCGTAATCTGCAGGTGGGTTTCTGGTTCTCTCGGGAGACCAATAGATAACCCCACAAGAATAAAAGTCACCCAACCTTATGTATTATCCTTAGAGGAGGCCTCCCACAAACTAGACCCTCCTCTTGGAATGTAACTGAAGATGCCTGTGATTAACTGTTGAACTAGCAAATGTGTTCAGTCCATGTAAAACCTCATTTATGCAAGGAAATGGTCTTTCCATGGCCACTTTGTGGATCTGGTCTGCTGAACTTTACAAACCCGGTTGGTGGGTTTCGGTTCGATCCAGTACATAACCATCCACCACTAACCTGCAGGATACTACAGAGTGACCTATTACATCTCCTCCTGTCATGTTGGTGATTCCATCCATTGGCCATGTGGCTGCCACCATTGACCATGTGGTTGCTCTCTCCCTGTCTTTCCCCCACCAAATTACAACTTGCCTGGCTATGGATTATTGTCTGTTTGCTTCTTTGTTTTCTTGCTGAATCCCCTTGCTAGGGTTCCAACTTCCAATCAATCAAGTTGCATGTAGATTTAAGAAAATGATGATGGAATGGAAGTCTGATTTGCTTAGGATGGGACCTTCCATCCATATCTGTTGCATTGATATTCATCACTGTTTAAGTATGGTGGCAGGTGGTCGTTGATTTGACTCTGAAAATGATGCTTCAACAACAAGGAAAGAAACATAAATGAATCATAATGTTGAGGAAGCAATGGCTCATTGGCTTGTGTGAAAATCAATCTATTCCCAGCTCTGGTGCCCACTCAGTGTTCTGTTGGTTGAGGGTTTAGCTGGGAAATCACTCTACTCGCTCACTGCTGGAAATGTGTGAAATCATTCAAACATTGATTGATAAATTGAGTAGGCCATTGCTGATCTTTTTTTTCTCCTTCTGTGTGATTGGTTGCTGAGAAAATGCTATTGATTAGTGAAGTGACAATATCAATAATATAATGATAATAATTAATACCATTATATTCATCCCTTGGAATAATGTAGTGGGTGGGTGGATCGTCGGTGGTCGAAACACAGTTGTTATATTCTACTCTTCTTGCTTCACTAAACTAAGCATATTCCATGTTTGGATGCCTCCCACATCCTCGTCATGTTTCTCCTGGTTCTCAAAATGGTGAATCTCAAAGCAACACCGTAATACATTAAAATGTGTCCTAGTAATACTCGGATCATGGTATCTTAATTGAAATGTGAGGGGTCATATCATTCGAGTAATAACAACAAAAGATTACGCGTTGAGGGGTTGAGACTCGAGATTTGGGCTTATGGTCTACACCAACATTTGGTGTCTTAGTATGTCACCTCTTACTTTCACTGTCAGACTTGATTGAAGATCGAGGAAGAAATCGTGTGAACCCAAAACTCCTATTCAAGCTTGCCTTCATCATCGCCCTTCCCCTTCTCAGGGCAAACAAAATATTATCTCTAAATCCAACTGATCACAAGATAGGGAGCGGTACACAAAAAAAAAATTCGTTGTTAATTACTATAATGTGTGTATTGCTTGAGGTGATGTGTCTCATTGTTCTCTCTATTGTACAAGATGGTCATCAAAGAGTTTCATGATAATCAAATTGAATTTTTTTTAATAGAAAATAAGAAGTTAAATGATGTAACTATCTTATACTTATATTAATTCGAGTTTTTCTCACTTCAATATGATTAAAACGCAACCAATATCCAATCAGGAGTTAATTGTCTTGATTATTTTTCATATAATCGATACCTAGGTTCTAATCTTCTTGAGCGAGTCTAATACAGTAATACTACATAGGATACCAAACTGTGTATCCCTTGAATAGGAGACAGACTGACCAAAAATCTCCCCATCTCCATCTACTTCCCAATAATTGATGCTAGAGCTTCTCAATATCCTCAATTTTCACCCATTGATTATCTCTAAATCCTTTATTTTAGGCACCTAATACGATTTCCTACATATAATTATTGATAGAAAAAAGGAGGCAATCCTTTTCTAACCGTGATTAACATTGCTGAACTAATCTTACCTTGTCACCTTTCAATACCATTACCAAACTACCCTCCCCAACTCATAATTTGCCATTACCCTTTCAAACAAGCACAATGCACCAAAAAATACTAGTTTTTATTTCCTCAAACTAGTTCCTATTAGCAAACGCAAATTTCGCTAGGAAGAAAAATTTCTTATGTTAACCAATACTTATCAATTGTATCACTATACTGATGTAATAGTGATCAGGTGCATATTGATATTGTTGGATCTGTCTTTCCACATATTCTAGAAGATAAATGAAAATCGAAAAACACAAACAAAACTTTAATCCATCTAACTCCAATTGGCAAAACAAAAGAAGAAGAGATGTGGTAGATCAGGATCAAGATCCCAATGGCACTTGTGAAGTATTATATTAAAAGGGTAAAGTAAGTAAAACCCCTGAAATCAAGTCAAGTATGATTGGTAAAAAAAATCAATGCTTTACAAATAGAATGAGGACAAAAAAAGAAAAACCAACATTCATCTGGTTGTCTCCTTCCCATTTCCAGCTCACACCTTTTTCCCTCCATAATTCTCACACAAAAATGAATAATAATAATTATTATTAAAATAAAAAAATAAAAAAAAAACAATCCCCATCACAATCTCAAGTATCTCATCTTCTTCCTAACACAAACACCTACAAAACCCCTCTCCTTTCCAATTTCCATTCATCTCTTCTTAGTTCTTACCCCTCCTCTTCCTTCCAATTCTCCCACCTCCCAAAAGCCCAACTAGGCGGCCCACTAGCCATCCTAGCAAAATGAGAGAAATCCTCCACATCCAAGCCGGCCAATGCGGGAACCAGATCGGCGGCAAGTTCTGGGAAGTGGTGTGCGATGAACACGGCATTGATCCCTCCGGGAAATACGTCGGCGACTCCCGGGTCCAGCTCGAGAGGGTCAACGTCTACTACAACGAAGCCAGCGGCGGCCGCTACGTCCCACGGGCCGTCCTCCTGGACCTCGAGCCCGGCACCATGGACAGCCTCCGGACCGGCCCATACGGCAAGATCTTCAGGCCCGACAACTTCGTCTTCGGCCAGAACGGCGCCGGCAACAACTGGGCCAAAGGCCACTACACCGAGGGCGCTGAGCTCATCGACTCTGTTCTCGATGTCGTCCGCAAGGAAGCCGAGAATTGTGATTGCCTCCAAGGTAACGTCATTACACAAATTGACACTTTCTTGATCTAGTAACGAGGACTGAGCGCCCGATCCAACGATGTCAGCATGTGCTCTAACGTACTAACCGTTAGCATAGTAGTCAGTAGTAGCCGAATTTCATTCACTTGTGCTTAAGAACCTTGATTATTGAGGAACTGATGATTCAATTGGAATGTGAATTTGTGTTGGGGGGGAAAATGTGTAGGGTTTCAGGTGTGCCATTCGCTGGGAGGAGGGACGGGATCTGGGATGGGGACATTGTTGATCTCCAAGATCAGGGAAGAGTACCCAGATCGAATGATGCTGACCTTCTCCGTCTTCCCGTCGCCGAAAGTCTCCGACACCGTGGTGGAGCCTTACAATGCCACTCTCTCTGTTCATCAGCTGGTTGAGAATGCCGATGAGTGTATGGTGCTTGACAACGAAGCTCTGTACGATATCTGCTTCAGAACCCTCAAGCTCACTAACCCTAGCTGTAAGTGCTCCAACTACACAATTCAATTGATCTTTTGATTTCGTATGATTCAGATCTCCCAAGTTAGGTTTGGTACTAATTTGAATTTGAATCACTCAATTCGAACAGTCGGAGATCTGAACCACCTGATATCAACGACGATGAGCGGGGTGACCTGCTGCCTCCGCTTCCCGGGGCAATTGAACTCCGACCTCCGCAAGCTGGCCGTGAACCTGATCCCGTTCCCGCGGCTGCACTTCTTCATGGTCGGATTCGCTCCGTTGACCTCCCGCGGCTCCCAGCAGTACCGCGCCTTGACCATCCCGGAGCTGACTCAGCAGATGTGGGACTCCAAGAACATGATGTGCGCCGCCGATCCGCGCCACGGCCGGTACCTGACCGCCTCGGCGATGTTCCGCGGCAAGATGAGCACGAAGGAGGTGGACGAGCAGATGATCAATGTGCAGAACAAGAACTCGTCCTACTTCGTCGAGTGGATCCCTAACAACGTGAAATCGAGCGTCTGCGACATCCCGCCGACGGGGCTGTCGATGTCGTCGACGTTTATGGGGAACTCGACGAGTATTCAGGAGATGTTCCGCCGGGTGTCGGAACAGTTCACGGTGATGTTCAGGAGGAAGGCGTTTTTGCATTGGTATACAGGGGAAGGGATGGATGAGATGGAGTTCACGGAGGCGGAGAGTAACATGAATGATTTGGTGTCGGAGTATCAGCAGTACCAGGATGCGGCGGCGGACGGGGATGAGCTTGAGGAGGAGGAAGAGGAGGGGGAGTATGATGCCTGAGAATGAGGACTCCGGCGGCGACGGCGGGATGAGGGGTTTTGAAATGGGGATTTATTATTTTTGTGTTTGGGGTTTTGTGTTTGGGGATGTGGAAAATAAAAAAAGAAAAGGTGTTTTCTTTTTGTTTCTTTTTTCTCCCTGTTTTTTTATTTGTTTTTTCTTTTTTGAGATCTGTTTGTGAAATGCTCCTGTGAATTTGTGATATAATTGATTAAATTATATTTATTTTTGTGTAAACTTTGTGAAAATTATCCAAGAGAAATCGAATCCAAGGAGAGTTAGAGAGAGAGAGAGAAAAAAAAGAACGTAACAACTTTTCCCGCTAGATCGGCCTTCCGCCATTGGTGGTTCCCGACTCTCATTGTCTATGTTTCCCTCATCGTTTCGGCCTCCAGTCGGCGGCGCTCCTCGTAGTCGGATTTCTTTTTTCTTTCTTTGATTTCTTGATATTCTCACGCTCTGCATGGCTGCATCTGCTGAAGCAGGGAAATCGTGGGCAGATCTTTTCACGATCGACGAAAGCTGCAGACTTCACTATGACGAACCAGATCTTGTTGATGGTGCTCTTCGTCTTCCGAAGGCCTTGTTGGATAAGGGTGCTGCTCGCCGGCAAAACTGTTTGGTAGGTCAATTTATCTCTGCCCCGCCATCTCTCGTAGTCATTAGAAATGGGGCGAACAAGCTTTGGGGTAGAGATGGGAAAATTAGGGTTCCCTGGTTTGGAGATAAGTTCTTAGTGTTTCAATTCCCGAATGCTTCGACCTGTTCCTGGGTCTTTCGTGGAGGTCCATGGCATCTTTGGGGGAATAATCTGTTCTTAAAAAAATGGGAAAAATGGATTCTGCCAGTAGCTCCTGAGAAGCCTGCCCTTCCGGTTTGGGTGAAGATCTCGGGTTTACCAACGGAATGTCTATTACCAGAATGTTTGAGCAAGGTGGTTAATATGATTGGCAGGTCGTTCTGTTCCCAGATTACAAAAGTGTCTGATCAACTAGGGTTTGCGAAATGTTGTATTGAGATTACCGTGGAGTCAAAGTATCCAGAGGTTTTACGGTTTGTCATGGATGAAGGTTCCCCTTTCTCAACTAAAGTTGAGTACTTCAATCTGCCCCCTGTCTGTCAGAAATGTAGCCGGTTTGGTCATGATTGTAGCAAGGAGGAAGTAGCAGTGCGGAGAGTGTGGGTTCCAAAGGCAAAATAGCAGGAAATTCCTCAAGTTTCTGCTCATAAAGAGGCAGAGAATGTGCAACACAAGGAGACTGAGATAAAGGGTGATCTTCAACAACATAATGAGGAGGAGGGTATGAGGCTTGGAGTGTCACTGAGGGATATTGCAGAGGAAGTGGTAGGTACTGAAGGATGTCTGGTGGAAGAATTACAGGAGCAGGTGGTTGATAAGAATACAGTGCAAGGGCAGGTTGCAGATCAGTTGCCATTAGAGGAAGAATTTCAAGAAGTAATTCAGGGGAGAAGGAGTGTCAGCCCTGATGTGGCTGCTAAACTCTCCAAAGGGGGTTTGATCCATTCCATGTAGGATTTGACTACATTACCAGTGGAAGGGGCATGAAGGCTAGGTGTGTGGGAAGGTCTTCTAAAAAAAGATATTAGTAGCTTCATGGAACATGAGAGGTTTCAACAGAACCTCTAAACATGCATTTATTAGTAAGTTTCTACGGTCTCAAAATGTGGATATCATGACAATTCTAGAAACCAGGGTACAAAAGAGTAAAATGGGGAAAATTTGTGCTGATTATTTCTCTGAATGGAAATACTTGGAGAACTATGATAAGTCCTCTAATGGTAGGATCTGGGTTTTCTACAAGCCGGATCTGAAGGTTACTGCTGAGATAACAGAGGAAAATTTCATGCATTTGAAGGTTAGGGGGAGAGTGGATTGTCAGATTACTATGGTTTATGGTTCTAATGATGAAGCTGTTAGGCGCCTCACTTATGCTAAAATGCAGTCTATACAAGTAAGTAATGAGGCTTGGCTAGTTCTTGGGGATTTCAACTCAATACTTGCTGCATCCGAAGCTTCTAATGGAACACATTCAGGGAGTGACACATTCAGGGAGTGACACCCCATTTAGATTCTTTAATTTTTGGTGTGACCACCCCAGCTTTCAAGAAATCTTGCAAGAAGTCTGGAGTACAAAGATTCTTTAGTGTTGCAATAGTTATGGAAGTTTTATCTTGTATATTGAACAAAGGTGCTGCTTCTTTTCTCAATAGCTATGGAAGTGTTATCTTGTATATTGAACAAAGGTGCTGCTACTAGTGAGTTCCCATACCATCCTAGATGTAAGAAGCTACGCATAACACACCTTGTGTTTGCATATGATCTACTGTTGTTTTCCAATGGTTCTACGAAAGCACTGGAGAGTGTAAGTGGTCTGCTAGATAAATTCTACAGACTTTCAGGCTTAAGGTTCAATCCAGAGAAGAGCCAATTATTCTGCGCAGGGATTGAAGAGGCAGAGCATGCTAGACTGACTCAGTTAGCTGGGTTTCAGAAAGCTACATTACCCGTCCGTTATCTGTGAGTTCCTCTTATAGCAGGGAAACTTACTACAAGTGATTGCCAAGTGTTAGTTGAGAAGATCACAAAACGCATTTCTGGATGGAAGCCTAGACTGCTCAGCTATGCAAGTAAACTTCAACTCACACTTCTGTCTTGAGTAGTCTATCCTACTTTTGGATGAATGTTTTCCTACTGCCACTATCCATCATAAAGGAGATAGAGCAAATTTGTTGCAAGTTTCTTTGGGGTATAGATGAAGAATCCACGAGGAAAAAAGCAGTAATGGCTTGGGATTTATTAGCCATTCCAAAAAAAGAAGGGGCGCTAGGCATTCGTTGTCTAAAGACGTGGAATATAGCTTGTACTACGAGACATATATGGGCTCTGCTTGACAAAGAGGGGTCCTGGTGGGTTGCGTGGAATTATCAGTATCGTATTAAACACCTTACACTCTGGGAATTAAGAACATGTAGTACTGCTTCTTGGGTTTTGAAGAGATTGCTAAAGGTCAGGGATAAGGTGGAAGGTTTATTTCGCTGCTAGGGGACACAAGTTTTTTGGAATGATAAGAGAATGCTGCGTTATTCTGTAAAGCAGGTTTGGCAGAATTTACAGCCGGCTAGACCTCTAGTGCCCTGGTATCAGCTTGTATGGGGAAGACACTCTCTTCCAAGGCACAGTTTTTTTAGTTGGATTGTAACACGTAACAGGATCACCACTCTGGATCAATTGAAGAGTTGGGGGAAGGTGTTGGATGCTAACTGTTTGCAATGTTTTTCTCAAACAGAGAATAGAGACCACTTGTTTTTCCAATGTCAATATACATTACAGGTGTTGAAGGGTTGTATGCAAATGTGTAATCTGAGATGTCCCCAGCTAGTCAACTATGAAGATTACTTGATGTGGGCAGTGAAGAACTTCAAAGGCAAGAAGGCATTAGCTATGGTTGGTCGATTGGTTTGGAATTTAGTAGTAAGCATGATTTGGAGGGAACGTTGTGTCAAACTGTTTGTAGTAAATCAATGCAGTATGGGGAGTTGATTCAGACAGTTCGCAGTACGATTGAGCTGGCCAGGCATGGAAATGCATCTTTGGATACTGATTGTCGGGCGGTGTTTTGTCAGTAAAGGAATTGATAGAAGCAGAGTGTAGAAGCAAAGAGTAGTAGTGCATGTTTCTTTAGTTTGCTGTATAAAAGTAGAGTAGCAGTGCAGGTCTTTGCTTGTTGTAGACTGTAAATGATCAAGATGTGTAAACCCTGTTTTGGGGTACACATAGAGCTCAATAAACTTTTTTGATATTGCCCATAAAAAAAACTTTTGGGAAACTTCCTATGCTTTAATAATAACTCAATCTAATTGAAAAATATTCATGCACATTTCAGTTTAGTTCGACGCAATTGCATGTCTTTTTTAACACCTTAAATTCTGAGCCCATATTATATATTATTTTTATTTGTAAATAGTTAATAAATATCCGCCAAAAAATTTTGGGCTAAAATCTATTGGTTTGGAAAACTCAAACCCAACTCGCTGAATATTCTGACGTTCATGGATACCATGGGTTTTGTGGTATAAAAAAATGCACAATAAGAAATTTCTGTTAAAATAAAAGTCTAACATCAATTTTCTCATACAAATTATCCGTATAAAAATACCAATCTAGAGCATACAAACAAACCACAAATTATCCATACAAATTGTTCAACATTAAAGATAAACAACATGATTTATTGCAATCTTCTTCCTTCTTGTCAACTAAACTTCTTCACTCTCCACTCCATAATGTCAACTTCATTCTACACAATTAAGAAGAACAAATTATACATGTCTCGACCAACAGAGAGAAGATTAGTTGCTTAAGGAAGATATATTTATTAGAATATTAAATATACCGAGAAAATTAACCATTTGGGTGTGGGCGGGTATACCTAAATCCGAATGCAAGCCAATCCGTTGAACCGTGTAATGGGTTTAAACTCAAGCCAATCCAAAACTTGTCAATACGGGTTTTATGTTGACCGAATTGGGTCGGGTAGGGTACCCGTGGGTTCGAATTTTATTGTAATCCCTAAATGAAAGTAGTGTAACTAGAAAGAACAAATCACACAACACTCTATCAAAGGGTTCAAACAAGGCCGTGTGCAAGAGAGTCGAGTCCAAAGAAAGATTATGGTTTAATTTCTCATTGTCAAGTTTTAACACAATAACTCGTTTGTGAAGAGGATAAAAGATGAGAAATTTCGAGATCAACAAATTAAAAAAAAATCTACCTAGGTCAAATTTCTAAATAGCTAACGTATTCTGAAATTCCACCTTCATTTGTTCTCAATACATCCCTTCGTAAGTTTCTCTTAATTGCAAGTCACTTCCATGGAGGAGGAGAAGAAAATGGCTAACCAAATACAGTGCATTAGTTGTGAAATGTGAGATGGCATTCTCACCCAAAATTCGTTTGCGTGTATTAATATACTCAGATCTCATTCAAACGGATTTTATGAATAATTGAATATTATAGCTTCTATAAACTAAGAGAGTAACTGTTTGAAGTTAATTTGAATTTACATTTGACACATTTGCACAACAAGGGGTCCATAGCTCAGTGGTAGAGCAATTGACTGCAGATCAATAGGTCACCGGTTCGAACCCGGTTGGGCCCTTTATTCTTTTTCTTTTTGCAAGTCCTTGCACTGGGTTTTAGTCCATTATCGCTATACCAAAAGCCCATACCCCCTGCTATCGGCACACCATTGGATAATAGCCTGATTCAATCTCATAACAGTTTCGTCCATTGCTGGAACTATCAATAACCTCTACCTCAAGTTCACTAATCAAATCAACATGCACCATCAAAGCCTGATAAGATAAACTGGAAACAAACAGGAGCTGATATGATAAACTGTCAATAACCTCTACCTCAAGTTCACTAATCAAATCAACATGCACCATCAAAGCCTGATAAGATAAACTGGAAACAAACAGGAGCTGATATGATCAACTGAAACTAAACCACAAAACCAATAATAGCACTGTACATAAGAATTACAAAAGGGTTTTGAATCTCTCAAAGAAACCACCATCCTGTTGTATTCACCATCTAGAAGAAACATCATCTTCAGGCAAAATACAAAGTGCCAAAACAAAACCTCTACAAACATGTGCTCCTGTCCAAGAATGTCTTCCAATTAAATTATTTTTCCCTCCTGGGAGTCTTGCAAATGTAATGGAACAGAAACAAAAAGGTCAGGAAAAAGAAATAGTCTCAGAGCATCCAGGGCAAGGCAGACCATCTTCACATTTCCAAATCTAGCATAGAAGATAAACTGACTGATATAAACCCACCGCAACCCCAATCTCTGATGAAAGAATTCTCTTCATTTTGATAACATTCGAACCAAAGCAACCAACTATATGCAGATGATTCAAGAGTGCAACTCCATCGTTTCGATGTGAGGTTAACAAGGTGAAAAGTAATCAAAGGCCAGGTTTTTGGACCAACCTGCCCTTGGTGGCAAATTATGCCTGTGCTCTCTGACAATGGTGTTGTGATCACTCAGCCAAACATACCGAATTTAGGATCCCCCCCCCCCCCCCCCCCCCCCCCCCCCCCCCCCCTTCTGCTGGATTGATTGATTATGAGTTTGGAGTCTTTTTACTTTCAAGAGCTGATCCTTCTTTCAGAGCGGATTGTGCTTCAACCTCTCTTCCCAGGGCAAAAAGAGCACCAGCTTGCAAGTAAGATGCAAAATGCCAGACAGGGGATATCACCTGGGCTTGTATTGCATCATTCAGGGCTTCCTGTGGCATGTCACTCATTAGGTAAGACAAGCTTCTTCGTGCATACACCGTTGGTGAGACCATTGTCCCGACTTCTATGAACTGCAAAGAATAAAGTTGTCAGATAGATAACTCTTGATATTTTTCATCTGAACAAGGGAAATGAATGAAGGAAACCTATGTATATAACCTGGGTATAGCATTCAATGGCAGCTTTGAATTCCTTGTGTCGAAAAGCGACATCACCCTTTTTCTTTGAATTTAGTGTATCCTGCATTTGGTTGGTCCACATCTGGAACGAGAGCTACAATACCAGAAGAATGAATCGACTCAGCATGGCAGAAAGTAATATGCTGCACCATGAAGTCCATAGAATTCACAACAAAATGAAGGGCAAGCAGGGGCAGAATGAATGAGTTCGTACAGCACCGAGTGGATTAAAAGTTCAAGCACCATGGCCAGCTCAAATGCATTTTTTTTTTATAAATTAGATCAGAAACTTAATCTAACATAATCAGAGCTGGATTCTCAATGCATCGAGTTACAAGGAAGCAACAACCAATGGGTGAATGACTCAGCGAAGAAAGATCCACAGTTTATATTCTAGATCACAAACGGAATGTCAACAAACCTCGGTGGCAGCACCTTCGTCGTCTTTATACCCTAACTTTTCTAAGATCTCATGCATCGCAGTCATATCATTCCTTAAGCAAGCCTCGCCAAGGGGTGATAGAGATATGGCTGCAGCAACATCCGGTACACCCATCAATACATGTGAAGGAACCTGCACAAACAAAGCCCTAATTTCATCTCATTCATGATAGCAAAAGAACTTCAAGTGACGGCAACACTAGCAGTTAGAGAATTACAACAAAACTGGGCAGCAGACTATTTGAAGAGATAATCTACAGGAAGTTCTCCATTCTAAAATTTTGAATAGTAGTATGCTGTGAGCATTACTACCGAAGATAAAGAATAGAAGACTGCAGCAATTGTGAACTCACCTCAGTTTCCTTCTGAAGAGGAATCAAAGCAGTAACCAATGACTTGGGATTTGGCCGCTCTCGGGGCTCAAATTGTAGACACCGAGAAGCTAACCTCACCAACTCAGTTCCATCGTCATTGGTGAATTGCCCTTCCAAACAGGAATCTGTCAGCATTTGAATGTTTCGGTCTCGTATTAAGTCCAGCGCCTAAAAATTAATTGCAGAATCAATGTTACAAGACATAGAGGATATGGATATATACTCAATTACCATGGAGTGAAGAAAAAGAATTTAGCAACTTTATTGAGACTCCAACCAGAAACTATTTACACTACTAATCCTTCCAGCACAGTTACATACTGTAAACATCCTGCTATTGCAAGACCAGACAACGCGTGAAGAAAGTTACATCCGATTTTCAAATTTTATGTCATTGGTGCTCGCATATCCTACCCCACAAGAGAACTAAAGACAGCTATGAAGAATCATGAATCCTGATGACTAACAGCTCTCAGAACCTCTCAGTTAGATGAGAGATAACTGTAAGAAGTTCCTACTATCCTCTTGAAAAACAACAAAAGTAAGACAGCATATATGGGCTATGAAGGAGTTTCAACATAGAAGCAACAGACATCTCTTCTGACTGGTCAAAAAATGATGACAGCAAGGTAGAAACTTACATGGCTAGGAGGAATATGTTTTCCACTGAGAAGGTCAAGCAAAAGGGTCCCAAAGCTATACATCACACTTTCTGGTGTTACTCTACCTACGAACAAGAAGAACATCAGATTACAATCATAAATAAAAATTTTGACTATTCAGCCAAGGCATAAGTGAGAGAACCGACAAGCTAATGGTCGTGCAACTTGATCTATAATGCTATGAGTAGTCAATACACTTTAAACTTATAACAGAAATATCAGGGTCGATTGTAAATGCACAGCAAACTTCGTTTCAGCATATTTACCTGTTCTTAGATACTCAGGAGGAGTGAATGCCAAGTTTGTACTGTAACTTTTTCCGTCTCTGCTGTTCTTCATCATACCAAAGCTCGAAAGTCGAGGATTAGCTTCCTAGAAACAAAATAATTTTTTAGACAGGCCTTCGGCAGACTTTTACCATGTACTGAAGATGCAGTCATTTTAAGAGATCACTGAGTACTTACATCATCAAAAACAATTCTATAAGCATTCAGATCATGATACAGAGCACGACCTTTGCTTGTACAATATTCCAGGGCCTGAGCTAAATATAAAGCCACTCTAAGTCGCATTGCCCATTTCATAGGCTGTGTTTCCCCTGAGGAAAGAGAAATAAGTTATGTTTCCGTTAGTAAACAAGGCTGTTACACCAAAAAATCAGGATGAGGATAGAGGACTTAAGAACACCTTCCTCAATGTACATAGAATGAAGGATGCAAGTGCTGAAAATAGTTATATTTCCCCAAACACAAAGCCCTGACAAGACCAAGAACCCGAAAACTTACAATGAAATAGGTGCTTTGCTAGGGTATCATTCGGCATAAATTCAGCAACAAGAAGCCTCTCTTCTCCCTCACAGCAACAACCAAGTAAGTTAACCAGCCTATGACTTCGGAGCTGCCCTACTGATCTTGCTTCATCCTGAAGTTATTGGGAAACAAATAAGTCAAATTACCATATGCTACATTTAAGAACATCAACAATACAGCATTCAAAGGAACATATGCTTTGAACCCACCAAAAACTGCCTGGAATCAGGCCAAGCCGATCTGTTGAAGCGTTTGACCGCAATCCTCCTCTGATTATCAAGCTTTCCCTTATAAACAACATTAGGAGCCTTCTCTCCGTGTTCAGAAACTATATTCTCCACTGCAAAACCAGAAGTTGCCATCCTGATTGTGTCGATGGAGTATTCGCGAAATGCAGGCAGGTCATCAGCTTCACCCTTCTCCTCATTTTCTAAAAACCATACAAATAGAATTCAATCTCATTTCATAATTGAGTCGGGAAACCAATGCAACTAGAACCAATCAATACCATCTTTCCTTTTCTCTTTTTTTTTTTTTTTGCCCTCACCTTCTTTGTGGTCCTCCGGAACTTTTTGATTGTATTCTGAATTCCAACAGCATGAGGAGAGCTTTGAACACTCGCAGCCCATCCCAGCTATAAAAAAATCAACTTAGAAAAGTGGATGTTCTAACTAATGTTGAAATCTTTTAAAACTGTGCCAACTTCTGCTCAGCACAATTATTCCATCCAACTTTGCAGACTAATGATACAATCAGACCAGTTTCCTAGTCACCAGGCCAAAAATTCCAACAACTGCTCCTCGAACCTGCGGCAACAGCAGTAATTCACTCGATTCAAACATTATGTACACAAACAACTCAATACCCAAAGCAGAAAACAGCTAAAAACAAGGACATCAATCATCAGTTTCCTGTAGGTCGCATGGTGAAAAGGAAAAAGAATGGATAACCAAAAGTCTCCAATTCCAAAAGGAACCCTCAAGTTCAAAAAATTTCATCCCAGCTACTAATTAACCTAGAGCAAGCTCTCAGCTGATTCAGCTCTTGGAAATCAAATTCAAATGCACCAAGAAACGATAGAAACCGGAAAGCAACACACACAACAGCCAAAGCACAAATCTTGACCCACAAATTCACTACGAATACACGAGGAGAGAAAGCCAATCACCTGAATAAGGGAAACGGCAAAGAGAAGAATAAGAAGAAAAGCAGAAGAACCCCTTGGCTGCTCAAGAAGAGAAATGTAAAAAGCAAGAAACTTTTTTAATGGGTTTTCTCACCTGTAAGTCTGTAACCTTCAGTGGGTCATTGGGGATTGGGGAAGAATCAAAAACCTTGAAAAGGTGATTTTGGGCAGTGGGTATTTGAAGTTGTGTATTTTCTGAATCTGAGATCAGTTGGGGGTTTGTGCTTTCTGCTCCCCTTTTGTTTTTCTGCCCCTGCTGCTCTTCTAAACTTAAACTTTTGTTGTTTGGCTCTGAGAGTTGAGAAAAGAGGAGAGGCTTTGAGATTGGGATTAGAATATTGGGGATATACTCATATACATACAAATATATATATATATATATAATTATTTCAATACATGTATATGAGCAAAAAAAAATATGGGTAGAGAATAGAGATTTGTGTGTCTGGCGCTTACTGTTTTGAGCCCTTTAGGCAGTGGGGATCTGTTTTTGGTGTGTTGTTTTGCGCTGGTTGTGGGTTGTGCTGTGGCTGCTTGCTTTGCTTCTTCTCCCTTCTGCGATTTGTGTTCTTGTGTTTTTAATTTTTTTAAAATCAGAATTATGTTTTCTTTATGAAATAGAAGTATGTTTTCTTTATTTAATAATTCTTCAATTTTCCTCCAATTTTCCACCGACATGACTCCTTCCTTTCCCTCTTCTTTTCTTTCTCATTTCCATCTCTTCACTTTGGAAATTTTAATGGACTTCCAATAGAAGGAAAATGTCAAAGGGTCAATTCCTATCTTCTTTTCACAGATAAAAGGTACATTGATGAACTTATTTACATAAATAAAATGTATACTTCCATTTCTGTTATATAATTTGATGATTGCTCTTCATTGTAATGAACTGAAAATTATTTTGTACGAATCATGAATATGCCACGTATCTACTAGTTGTTACAAAAATCACATAGTAGGAAGTATGAATCAAATATGAAATATATTGGGAAGTATTTGGTTTACCACTTCCCACTAAGTCATAAAAAATTGTGTGCATCTCTTTTTTACATTTCATTTTAAAAATTATTTTTATAAAAAATTTATATTTAAAAGAATACTTTTAATAATTTATCAACCAAACACTTAAACACATACCTTTTTTCTTAATTTCTCTAAAAAATCTAATTAAAATGTGTTTGTATAAAAGTTACAACAGGGCCAAACTAACTCATTGATAAATAAAAATTATTTTAATTAGTTATATCATCAGATAAATAGTAAGTATTAGCCGAATATTCAAATAAATTATAAGTTGAATATATATTTATTTTAGGTTCAGACTAGCGTATGCCCGGGTGTACGCTAATCCACTGTATGCCCATAGAGTTTTGCTATTTAGATCATGAATTAACCTAAGTTCATAGCATAATACTATACTCTAACCTCTAATTGATGAACCTCAATCCCAAATTTTCTAACTCAAACCATGAAATTCGTTTAATCCTAAAATAATAACCGACGATTGTGATTCGTCAAAATATATCAAAGTACAAATAATATGCGTGAACACGATACACCCAAACATACGCTAGCCTTTCTCCTTTATTTATTTATATATATTTCGTAGAATGAAACTAGTTGACCAAATTCGGGCACGCGGTGGTAACCAAGTCAATCAAATCAGTTTAATTAGTAGACCTTAGGATTACGTGGGTAGAATGAAGAACAAGTCTATCAAATTGGTTGAAACCCATATGCCCGCTTTTAATTTTCAAATTTAAATTTCGTGACTTTTTTTCTTAAATGTAGAACCATCTGGGAGCGGGTCTTCTGTTCGCAGAAGAACCAGAAGTCCAGAAGTTGCAATAATTTTGTTGTTTTTTATCTGTAAGACTTGTTCGTGCTTAACATGTTCCTCTCTATTTGCATTTGCTATTTTTACACGCTGTCCTGTTCTACTTCTACTTCTATCATCACATACTTTGATGCTTCAGCTTACGTTAATAATTAAGATACCCTCTTCTAGAGTGGCTATTTTGATCGGGACCGGATTAAAAACCGGAAACCGGACCGTATAACTCGGACCGAGACCGGACCGGGACAGGATAGTAAACAATCCAATCCAATATTTGGGCTTAGATTTGAGGTAAAAAACCGGATAAAGACCGGATAAGAGAGCTCAACACCCAAAACTTAAGGGTAATTTGCATAAACGGTCACAAACCTTTGCACTTAGTACAAAACTTAACCAACTCCTCACCCTTTAAGGCTTAGGCCACTCAAATCCCACAATCTCAATATAAAATCAAGACCGAATTGGGACCGGACCGGATCAAGACCAGACTGTATCCAATCTTTGGTCCTAATATTTTCAAAAAAACCGGACTGGACCGGATCAATTTGGGCCAATTTAACCGGACCGTATAGCCACCCCTGCCTCTTCGGTGGTTATTTACTCAGATATAGTTTCAAAATCCATCCATTTCTTTCAACCATATATTACCAAACAGACTCCAAACGTGGGTTGTCCAAGAAGATCCTAAATTTTTTTTGGTAAAGAAGATCATAAATATTAGGATTTTGCTACGGTGACATGCATGTCACCGTGACATGGACTTTTCGGTCGACCTAATCCTAAAGGCGGTCGACCGAATTGACTAATTTGGGCAGCACGAGAAAACATTGCGGTCGACCTAATCCTAAAGGCGGTCGACCTCAATTCATAGCATAATTGATGAGTCCTTGTTATCATTATTTATGACTAGTTATGATGGTTTAAAGCGTAATTTAGACGAGCAAAAGAACCACACAAATCGACATACATAAGCAAAAAAGACACGGGACATAGGTTGACTTTCTTGTATTCGGTCTACCTCGTACCGTATTAGGTCGACTTCGACACCAACACTTGATCTTCATTTTACGTCAAATGATTGGATAAATTGATAGAACACTTATCGTCTATCTGGTCGACCTCTTTTTTTATCTGGTCGACCATGTTGTTAATGACTGCCATCAAGTGGTCGACATATATACCTTTACGGTCGACCATGTTGTTTCTCACGCCAACGAAATGACCGACCGAGGTTTATTCTGGTCAACCAAAAATAACAACTTAAACTAAGAACGGTCGACCAGGTGGTCTTTGAGGTCGACCGCAATGCTTTCTCGTGCTGCTTAAATTAATCAATTCGGTCGACCGCCTTCAGGATTAGGTCGACCGAAAAGTCCATGTCACGGTGACATGCATGTCATAGTAGGCATACCCTAAATATTATTGTTGGTATTCTAGGTTTATTTAGTTCGGAATATAATGAAGTCAATCATAAAAGACTGCAATAATCAAGACTCAGTGCTCTCTCTCTCTACGTATATACCAAAAGTATTTTGTAACCACATCAACCACCTCACACTGTCACACAGCTATATATTTGTGTGTATATATATGGAGGAGAATATACAATACCTGGCGCCGGCCCAGATGAGTACGTACCAACAACCATTGTCCATCCATCGCTACCCAATCAATTCAACTATAAAACCATTTCTCCCCTGCTTGCTTAATATATTCTACGTATAAATTCAATTAAAAAAAAATTAGTGATACAACTCCAAACGGTATGAAAGTGATTAAGTAATATACATGGATCTCTCTTAACAACTTGAGTTATTAGTACCAGTTGACTTATGCCATGGTATCAGAACTGATTTGTCCTTAATATCACGTGTTCAACTATGACCCTCCATGTCAAGTGTTGATATTCGTAGCTTACCATTTTAATAAATTCTAAAATTGAAAAACTCGTAAACTGGGGTATTTAAACTATCTGTTCTAAAAAAAAAACAAATATTCAAATATTATAGAAGTGAACTTTAGTACAAGTCCAAAACTTGTTGAAAAAGAACATCTTCAAGAAAGAAAGTTATATTGGAATCTACTTATTAGTTGCACGTACATAACTTAATTGATTTCTCTGCCATCACAGACACATGATTAAAGTACTGATACTTGTATTATTTATTCTGTGATTTGATTTCATAATAATTGTGATATAGGGCGTATAACTTTGCGTCATTGGTCCTTCCTCTTTTTTATTTATTAACATAAGCCAAGTCTTCCAACGAACAATCATGTATTATGGAGCAATACATATTAGAGGACGATATTATATATTAATCGTCGAAACCAAAAGGTGCATAAAAAAAGTTGGCTTATTACCTATGTTTGTTAACGCGGTGTTGTTAGTATAATACATTAATACTAGAGCACATAGAGTATATCACCCGCTCAGGTTTGATGCTTTTATCGGGCTTAGATTTTATGTAAAATGCTGCAAGTATTTATAGGTTTGATAACATAAACCTAACTACGTACATAACTTGGCTATGTACGATTTAGTGCCCACAATTAGCAATTATTGATTGGAGTCGAGTCCTCTTTACAACCATACTATTGATTCGAAATTATTTCATTTTAGCAAACTAGCTAGTCCTAAACATCCAGATTACCCTAGGATCAATCATGGTGTGGATCATAATCGGTTATGGATTATGAGCCTTTATAGTTTCAACTTTAATTTGTGTGAAATTCTTCAAAGAGAGTTGTTCAAACTCAACATGACAATCAAGTTTTGATGTCAATTTGATGCGTTACCAACTCTAATCCATGATGAAGCTAACAACTATTTGCATGCTACCCTAAACCGCTAAGAGTAGGAGTTGCATACATACTCACCCACCATAAGAAGCCAAAGCCAATTTCGAACCAAATAAACGCTTCGACAGAAGAAAACAAGATTAGGAGAGGAAAGAAAATAATGTATTATACTTGGGCGTGGGAACTCTAATAAAAATGGGGTTTGGTTGGTCGACAGGTTTCGATAATCAGGTCAGTTTCTGTGTCGTCCGTGTATTAGAGATTTAAGATAATAAGCCGTTTGGTTTGGTCTGCAGTCTGATTCGAGAGGACAGAACTCCGCAATCTTCTGCTACTTCTCGTTCGATGGTCTGGTGTGCTTGATTATGACCATTTTGTGCCGTATGCATTTTGACAAGTGGTTCTCCCAACTGCCCCATGTAAAACCAGCCCTTTATATTTAGTTGTAATAACATAACTTAGTCCTTGTTTGTTTCATGGAATTCATCATGGATTTGGTACGTAAAATACCAAGCATCATGGACTTTGTACGCACACTACAGAAAAAGTGGCATTTGCCAACATGTGAATTATGTTGTAATTAAGTCTTAAAAGTGTTGCATATGTAATATGCAACACTTTTAGTAGTGTCACCTATAGGATTTGGAAAATGAGGGTTTTGGTAAAAACAAAACCTTTGGATTCATGAGGGATTTGTAGCATCATGGATTTGAAGAGTCTATTGTTTGCATGATAGATTTGATAATATAAGTATGATGAATTTGCTATAAATATAACTAGCCATCAAGGATTTACAAATCCCACCCCAATATGTGGGATTTACAAGTCCGTGGGGTCCACGGATTTCCCCGCGGATTTGGATAAAAAAGAACAAATTCGTGGACCCCACGGATTTAATAGCTAACAACAAACAATGGACTTGGCTAAAATCCATCATGCTTGGAAATTGAGTCCCAAATCCATCAAGCAAACGAACCCTAATTTGTTGTCTTCAAACACACATAGGGTTGGGGGTTGGATACGTCACTTCCCTTTTAGGGGTTGTGATTTTGACAACCCATATATACCACCATTTGGTCTATTCCTTTTCACTAGCGTGGGCCCCGGCCAGTTGGCCGGAGGAAGGTGAGGTATGAAATTTGAGAATGTAATGGAGTGTATGACTTATTCTTGTATAGTTTTTTTTTGGGAACACGTGATAAAGATAGTGAATTTTAGCAAGAAAGAGACATGGTTGATGCAACGAATCAAAAATCGGCCTTATAAACCAAGTTCGAGTACCTGTTACCTTATGAAATAGTATTATTTATGGTAATATGATGAGGTGGAGTAAGTTTTATAGAAACCGAATTCCAGAAAACTGAATAAAAAATCGCATATCCCGCCTGTTTTCGGGAAATGAGCATCTCACAATCGTTGCTAGCTTTTACTCGGCCCATTGACCGATTAATTTTCGTTATAAAGCTTTCATCTTGTCTGTCATTGTGCTTTCGGATTTTTGCCATGTCATGATAAAATCTAAAGAAATCAAGAACGAACAACACGATTTGGGACAGAAACCGTCGTTCGTGTATCCCGGTAAAATGATGGTAAACACGGACTCAGCTGTCGAACAGGTTTGGATTGAGATTTTTATCGGGTGTCAGAGAACCATGTGATTATAAATTAGACTTGATCAAAACGGGACAAAACTTGAAATTCAACCTATTTGACCGACCCATGCCAAGCTCCAATTATTCTTTACTTTCAAACTTTCTATTTGAAAATAATGAAATAAAAGAGATGACTGCAATTCGCCATTTGCACATCACTACTTCGGGAACAAAACCATAGAAATTCAAAAGGAAACTGAAAATGTTTAGGAACGTTTTAATGTTAAAAATAATAAATGGATCTTTCTGTTTAGTTTTTTTACTAATAAATACCAAACGATTCCCTATTAAATACACTATAATTTAATCATTATGATATAAAATAGTTACATAATATATATTTGAAATGATAAAAATTGGACTAATTGGATTGGTCGAGGTTGAACCATTTAATAACTTTAAAATACATTATACTTTAGCCACTAAGATATAAAATAATAGCACAATATATGTTATACTAGAGAAAATAGTTTGTTTTAGGATGGCAAACCCATGATGTTCATTTGTTTTATTTGATGACCAAATCCCGTATAGGTCAGACCCATTCAATTCTTTTATTTTATGGTTAGCGGTTAGCCCATTAGAATCCACGAATTAGTTTATTGTTAATATTTTTCTTTTTTGAAAAAAAAAGAGTATTATTTTTGCCCTTTCATATATATATCTTACCAACACCGAGAAATAAAAGGGCTTGGCGAAACTTGTTTTGTTTTTGTTGGGCCGCAACAATTCATGGGTCTGTTTAAGTCCGCACGTGTACGGTAAGTTGGTCCGTTCCACAGAGGAAAGATAAAAAAATTGACACTCCCTATTATACCATTCCTACAAACGCTCCTAGAGTAGAGATTTTTTTTTGGTAACATAGAGTAGGGAATTTGAAATGGGGGAAGAGTTTTTTCATGCTATTATATTATGAGTAGATTTTACCAAGACCGAGAAATGAAAGGGTTTAAAGAAAAAAATTGACACTCCTAGGTCTGTTTAAATCCGCATGTGTACGGTAAGTTGGCCCGTTCCACAAAGAAAAGAGAAAAAAATTGACACTCCCTATTCTACCATTCCTACAAACGCTCCTAGAGTAGGAAATTTGTTTTTTGGTAACATAGAGTAGGAAATTTGAAATGGGGGAAATATTTTTTCCTTCATGCTATTATATTATGAGTAGATTTTACCAAGACCGAGAAATGAAAGGGTTTAAAGAAAAAAATTGACACAACTAGGTCCGTTTAAATCCGCATGTGTACGGTAAGTTGACCCGTTCCACAGAGGAAAAAGAAAAAAATTGGCACTCTCTATTCTACCCTTCCTACAAACGCTCATGGAGCAGGAAATTTGAAATGAGGGAAGAGTTTTTTTTTCTCCCTACTATTATATGTTTTAATTTAAAAAGATACAATAAATGTATTTAGTATCATTGATTATGATCATTACTTTTCTTTAAAGTGGTCATGTTCCGAATCTGAGTAGCAACAATTTTCCCTTCCTACTATTATATATTGTGTAGATAATCGATTGATGAGATTAAACTAGAGGTATTTTTTAGTGTAAAAATATGACATGAGAATGAGATTACTAATCTCATTACTCTATTAATCCTCCTCTCCCTTTCTTCTCTTACGAAACCCTAGCCGCAACCCTTCCTCCTCATAATTCTCCATTTTCCGGTGAGACTTCTCGTCCAATCTCCTCCGACAATGGAACCACCTTCACCTCCCGCTGCCTCCGACAGGCGACAATGGAGCCGCCGCTTCCGCCTTTGCCTCTCCCTTCCTCCACCTCCCGCTATTTTGAAAACATGCGATTGAGAGTTCTCGAAATTTCTAATTTCTAATCTCAATTTTTTTTAAATGAGTTACTATGTCGAAATTGAAGAGAATAGATTAATTTGGGCGATATCTTTCACACAAAATCCTCATTTAAACAACCCCATCAATTTGTCTTTGCTCCCGTAGTCCCGTTGTTACACGGCTTGTAAACGGAAGAAGTGATTTATCTTCCATGTTTGGGTGTTCTGCTACTGAGCCCCGACTTCATAAAAAAGCTATAATATGAAAAAACCTTCGACCGTGACACAAATCACTATAGATTTAAAATTGTCATTAACTTGGTGAGAGTTATTATGCAACATAATCATGGCACGCGAGCACAAAAAAGTGAAACCCTGGACGTTGCATCTCTATCTTTATCTAGTAGTGTCGAGGCATCCTCATATGCATGCTTTCAGAGGAGGAATCTCGATGAGCTGATATTCATTTGATCGACTGGAAAAATAAGAAAAATAAGGGGGGGGGGGGGGGGGGAATTGAGTGAAAAAATCATTATGAATTTTCTTTATGTACAGAACATTCATCGCAGCGAGTAATTTAATCTCGACAAGAACATCTACAAGTTGCTCATAATGTGATAAGTTGGAATTCAAATAAACATTAATAAGTATACATCTCCATTGATCTTGTTCTCCGAAACTCGCTCCGATAACAAAGAAACTCAATTGCTTTCAAATTGATCCACTCGTTTATTAGTGGACTGGTATAATTGTGATCCACCATTCACCCATATTCTTCTTCGGGTTAGGTTGGATGGGTGCGGTTGAGTTGCGGGTTAACCCGCTAAAACAATTCTCCATCTAGTTCTAGTTATTAATAAAGTTGACCAACATTTATAATAAATTTCTCTCAAGTTATTAAGACCATCAATTTATGCACTTACCACTTTTTCTCATGTGGATCCGTGTAGTATTTGTATTATATTTTAATTACTCAATCAACCAAATACGTAGAGAAAATTGACACACTTTGTGACTTTGATACAATTAATATTTTATAATTTGCATCCCAATATCTAATAAACATTACACAATATAGTAACCAATAATAGTAGTCGGAAAATATTATTTATTCTCCACCTTTGGAAGTTGATGAGCAGTGTGTAGTGCCGTTAGAAAATAATTTGAGTATTCCACAGTATAAATAAGAAACAACATTTTGTCATATGAAAATATAGCGCGGTTCATTTGGGTGGCCCGCAATCCACCCACCACCCACCCAATTAAGTGCGAGTATGAAATTTATCAATTCCCAATTTAGGGGTCGTTTGTTTGTTGGATTTGAAAAATGAGGGTTTTGGCCAATAAAAACCTTGGGATTTATGTTGGATTTATTGGATTATGAATTTGAAGAGTCTAATGTTTGCATGATAGATTTGATGATGGATTTGTTAAATAAATAACTAACCATCAAGGATTTGCAAATTCCAAATCAATATGTGGGATTTACAAGTCCGTGGGGTCCACGGATTTGGTTCCAAAATAAAGACCAAATCCGTGGACCCCACAGATTTAGCACCCTTCAACAAACAATGGACTTATGTTAAATCCATCAAGCTTGGGATTTGGGTACCAAATCCATGACCTAAATCCAACAAGCAAACGACCCTTACGCGCATCAATTACCCATATGATTCAATTTATTTCCGAGTGGATCGATATCAAATCGTGAATTAACCACCAACTTGCTCAGCCTTGCATATTATGAAACTAACCCTAGCCTTGTAGAGAGAAACAGATACTTCTCGAGATATTTTCCAATTCGTCATTCCTTGACACGTCAACGCCATAGCAAAGTCACGCCTATTCCCTCCACCATCTCACTTAGCGAACGTGAAACTCAGACACCATAGAGAAAACCCGCGTGACTTAAATCGCGCGTGAAAATCGTCCATTACCAACTTCCAATCCACGAGCTCCAATAAACTGCCTCAAAAAGCTCAGTGGTCATTCCCGTAATTTCCCTCCTTTCCAGACCTTCTTATCTATACCTTCCGTGTCCACTCGTCCACGCGACGACGTTTCGACGCTTCTTTCCCTCCACCTCTGTCTCACTAGTCCGGCACTAACCCCCAGGGAAAAAGTAACAAGTAATCCGGAAAAGAAAAAATAAATAAAAAGAAGCAAAAGCTGAAGAGAAGAAGAGAACACTCTTTTTCGTGCAGCAAGCAAGCAATTAACTGCAAACTTTGCATTTCCATCTTCGAAAGGTACGCTTCGAAACCCTAGAACTTTCGCTCTGTTTGTATTTTCTTGTTTCTTTCGCCTCTTCGGTGGTTTGTTCATTGAATTAGTAGGTTTGAGGACTGAGTTTCGGTTGATTTTGAACATCTACATTTTAGGTTGAGCAAGTTCTTGTGCCTGGTGCAGTGAGTAATTGTCCGGTGTATGAGACTGGCGGGAGGGAAATGGGGAAGGGGAGGCCGAGGGCGGTGGAGAAAGGAGTTCTAGTGCAGAACTCGAGCTCATCGTCGGAGGCATCTTCTAGTTCATTGAACGTGCCGCCCGCGCCGGTTTATTACCCGAGCGTGGAGGAATTCAAGGATCCGTTAGAGTATATTCATAAGATCAGAACTGAGGCCGAGAGGTATGGAATTTGTAGGATTGTGCCTCCCCAGGGGTGGTCTCCACCTTTTGCAATTAACTCGGATAGTTTTAGTTTCCCGACGAAAACACAGGCCATTCATCAACTGCAGGTGCGGCCTGCTTCGTGTGATTCGGAGACGTTTGAGTTGGAGTACACTAGGTTTCTTGAGGAGCAAGGCGGCAGGAAGTCGAGGAAGAAGAGGGTGGTTTTCGAAGGGGAGGATTTGGATTTGTGTAAACTGTTTAA